TTTTGCAAAATGCCTCTACAAATATTTTTAACAATTAAAAACAAAGTATTTTGACAAAAGTTTTCTCAAATGCCTCTACAAAGTATTTTTAACAATTATATTGAGTTTAATTCTACAAATTAAAAGATTAAATAATAATAAATTTAATTCTTTAAATTCAGTAGCTATAAACTAAAATTATAGTTTCTCTGTTTTAAATAATTAAAATAAATATTTAAAAATAAAAATCAAAACTAGTATTATCTTAAATTTATTAAAAGTGTAATTAAATATCTATTTTCTTAATTTTATTTGTTTCAAACTTCTCAATTCTACATTTTTGTAAGTTCTATCATTATATTATCATCCTCATCTCCTCCCATGTTCTACTTTATCTTTACAATAGTCAATATTCTTAACTAATTTATATTTTTAATTATAATTTTTTAGTATATATTTAGAAATTAATCAATTCTAATCTATTATTTGAAAAACTAATCAATTCTAATCAATAATTTAGAAAACTAATCGATTATAATTAATTATTTGAAAAAATTATCAAATATGATCGATCATTTCGAAAATCTAATCGATCAGAATCAAATATCGCTCGAGCGATACTAGAGTCGCTCAAGCGAAATACAACCGAGATTGCCAATTTTGTGCAGGGGCGTTTAGCTCGAGCGAGAAGAGTGTCGCTCAAGCGAGATACATTTTAGATAAGCGGTTACACAGAAGCCGCTCTTAAAAGCTCACTTAGATAGCGGTTAACCTGGAGCCGCTATTATATCGTTTCAATTATGATCGATCAGAATGCAGTTATGACTGATCATAACTATTTTAATCGATTAAATATCGTTTCAATCGATTAAAACAATTTACTGCAAGCGTTTTAATCGATTAAAACTTATTTTTATCGGTTAAAATAACTTGAAAAGTTTTACGAGAAAGTTTTGCGAGTATTTCAATCGATTGAATCGCGAAACAATCGATTAAATCAACTTAGAAGATTTTTTGTAAAGTGTTTTAATTGATATAAACGTTGTCAGTATCAGTTAAAACAAATGCATTAAAGAATCAAGAACGTTAAATTTTTTTTTTATAAAAGTAATTATTATATATATTTTTATTTTATAAAAATGATTAATAAAAGAAAATTTTATTATTTTTTCTTTTTTTAGGTGTAAAAGTATAATTAAATAAAAGATAAATATATATACTTTTGCATTTTAATTTTCAAATATTAATTTTTTTATGAAATTAATTTTAATTAAAAAAATTAAAGTGATATATATATATATATATATATATATTTTATTTTTAATTTATTAATATTATCAAATTTTAGCTTGATAATTAAAAAAATTACCAATAATTTAAATTTTAATATATCTATAATTTTATATAATTATTAATATAAATTTAATTCTTCTAATAATATTAACACATTTATTAAATTAAAATTCTTTACTTTAATTAATTATTTTAAATTTTTTTAACGATTTTTTTAAAATAAAAACAATAAAACTTAAAATTAATTTCTAACTAAATCTTCACATATTTATGGTTAATACTATATTATATTATTATGTTTAATTAAATTTTAAAATAAGTTCACTTTATTTTTACACTTTTATATAAAAATGACTAATATAAACTTAAAATATATATCCAACTATTAAATTATCCAAGATATTAATATAAATTTAAAATATCAATTCAGTAATTAAAATAATTTTAATTTTTTATAAATACATTGAAATACATTTTTATTAACATACAAGTAATATATATATATATATATATATATATATATATATATATATATATATATAAAGAGACTAAATTAATAATTAATTTAATTATTGATTTGGTGACCAGAATCGAGTGACCGATTCGGTGACTAATTTAATAATCAATTTTAATTGTTTTATTCACATGCTAAATTAAAAAATAAAATTAAATAATTATATTACTAAATTATTTAATAAGTTAGTAAACTATTTTTTTAAAATTTTTATAATGTTATTAACAATGTTATCACTTATTTTAAATTATTAAGTAGATTTATATTTAAAATATTTTAAATAAAATATTTATCTAAATGAAAAATAGTTATCAATTTAAAAATTATTTTTTTAGTGATCTGAAAATTTAGTCACTAAATCGAGTTACTAAATATAAAAAAAATTCAGTCACCACTTTCGGTCACTATTAACCATTTTTCTAGTAGTGACTGAATCAGTGACCGATTCGGTGACTGAATCAGTGACCGATATCTGTGACTGAAATTTTAGTCACTAAATCAGTCACTAAATATAAAAAGGGAAATCAGTCACTGATTCAGTTACTATCAGTGACTGAATTTTTCAGTCACTAATTTCGGTCACTATTTGGTGTTTTTCTTGTAGTGGATGTTTCTCGAAGATAATAAATTACCTAATCATAACTATGAGACAAAGAAAATAATATGTCCAATGAGTTTAAAATACAAAAAGATACATGCATGTCCTAATGATTACATATTATACATAAATGATTTTATTATATTAAAGATATGTCTAACATGTGATTTATCGCGATTCAAAAATAAAGTTGATGAAGTAGTGGTGAAGAAGAAATAAATTACCACTATTAACGTGCTATTATATTTGACAATAATAATTAAGTTTAAAAGATTATTTGTCATAAAAGAATATAAAAGAAATTTGACATCACATACGAATTATAGAAAATGTAATAATCTCTTTGACATCTAATTGATTCTCCATAATAAAAGAGACTTATGAAACATTTTCGAATTTGGTATAGAATCAAGAGACTTGAGAATTAGATTTGTTACAAGTGTGATAAATCCCTATGAAAATTTAAGTAATAAACATAATTTATGATGAGTTTTGTTTATCATTTATAATTTATTTCCTTGGTTATACATAAAAAGAAAATATATTATATTGTTATATGATGATTTTAAGAAATCCACAACCAATAAATAATTTATATGTATATTTTAATTTTTTAATTAATGATTTGAAAATGTTGTTGAAAAAAATAGTTAAAATTTTTGGTGCATACTGCCAAGTTATTACATAAAATATTATTTTACACAATAAAATTTGTCAGCATATGATAATTTAAGCACTTATAATATGAAAGATAATTATGCTTACCCTTTATTTCAATATAAAAACATTAATATTATGTTGAAAATGATAAAAATGAAGTCCAATAAAAAATACGAAGGAAACTGACTATATTAACAAAATATACATTCTTGTTCCCGTGCAAAACAATACTTCAACAGTCATATACTTCACACATCCAACCATTGAAAGAGATTTAAATAGTTAAAAGTGTCATCATATCCACGAAAGAGTGAAGTCTTTCACACCATGGTTTTTCTCGTAGAAAGCTTTCAACTCCTTTTCTTTTTACTTTGGTTATTGTGATGGAAGAAACAAACACTACATGAACACAGATAAAACAAAACCACTAATCACTGCATGGGGACTTTGTTTTATGCATGTGAAATGGCACATCCTCCAATGCATCAGCCACAGCAAATATGGTGCATGACTGCAACGTGTTTTCTTCGTCATTTTCTTCTGACTTCTGATCTTAACACAAAAGCACAATTTTCTTTCTCACTTTTGTCAATGGTGATAGAAACACAAATTTTATGGAATTCTTTTTGCTTCATAGATATTAAAAAACAGTTTACTAAAATTATCATAGTAGTTTGAATGATTAATTAGAAAAATGGGGTTTGAAACAACATTTTTGCATTGAAGTTTAAGGTATATTTCCAAGGAGAAGGAAAATGGGGTTGAAGTTGAAGGAAATGACATTGATGGAAGATTCCGAAAGAGCAAAGAAGCACAAACGCTTTTGATGTCCCTCGCATGTTCCATCGTCCCTACATAATTTCAAATTAAGTTTTGGATGAACTCCGCGTAAGCTTCACGTCAAATTGTTAATTTGAATAATTATTATTTATTTTTTATAAAAAAAAATCCAACAGTTTTGTTATTATAATCAATGTTTTTAAAATTAGAAGAATTCAAGGTTGAAGGATTTTAACGGGTTAAATTAAATTTAATAAAATAAAATTTTTATAATATAATAAATGTATAATAAGTTTATCAATAAAAATATATTTTAAAATAATTATTGTTATAATTATCATAATTTATAAATATAAGATATATAATTATTAAAATAAGATAAAAAAATACTATATAATAATAATTATTTAAAATTAACTAAGTAATATAGATAAAAAAAATAAAATATATTATATTTTTTATAAAAAAATTATATTAAAAAAATTATCTTAATTTTTTTTATTAAAATCGATTTTATCAAAAAATCAGCTGATTTTTTCAATTATATTAATTTTATCCTAATTTTTCTTATTTTATTTCATTTAATTAAAATTCAGTTATTAAAAAATAACAATTCAATTGTCAGACGTAGACAGATTCAACCAACCAATTTAATCTAATTTTTAAATGCGAGCATAACCTTCTCGATCTCATTTTTTATACACTTTTTTTTAATTTAACCTCAAAATCATAGATTATATTCGTACAATACATAAAAAACATAAAAATAAAAATAGTAGTTGAAATGACACATAATGATACTTTGACAATTTAAATTAACTTTCGTTTAATATTATAATAATAGTTTTACTTTATTTTTATTTTTATTAAATCAGTTTATACATTCTTATATTAATAAAAGTGAGTTGGTATGGTTTTTGATTGTGAAGATATGAACACTCTTTATCTAATTAGTGGTGTATCACCAAGATTACATTATTATAGACTGAGTGATGAGATTTTCACAACCAACACTCTCATTGTGTGGGGTCGCTGAATGTGTGTTTCTTTTATCACAGTTACTAAAATTAAACTTTTCAGTTCTGTTTTCAATTGTAGACGCTGCTTCCTTACAAGTCTTTGATGATCTGGTACTGTGCAGTGTGAACATGGGAAGGTCTTTCTAGCAAGCGGAAAATGGGGTCCACAACAAGAAATGAAAAGGAAGTGATATTCATGGAAGATTTCGAAAGAACAACGGAGCTCAAAGCTTTTGATGACACGAGACAAGGTGTGAAAGGACTTGTTGATGCAGGAATTACCAAGATCCCTCGCATATTCTGTTACCACCCCCCTGATAATTTCACGAGGGTCTCAGATTTATGCCACAAAGATTACATTATTCCAGTTGTAGACCTTGGCAACATTGATGAAGATCCTAGTGAGCGCAAAAGGATTGTTGAGAGAGTGAAAGAAGCAGCAGAGACATGGGGTTTCTTTCAGATTGTGAATCATGGTATCCCAGATTGTACTCTGAAGGAGATGTTAGATGGGGTGGTAAGGTTTTTTGAGCAAGATAGTGAGGTCAAGAAGGAATTTTATACTCGTGATAAGAAACCCTTTATGTATAATAGCAATTTTAATTTATACAGCAACGCTCGAACTACTTGGAAGGACAGTTTTTTCTGCGACCTGGCTCCTAATGTCCCTAAACCAGAAGACTTGCCATCTGTGTGCAGGTACAAGTTTCAATTTAGTTCATTAATTCAGCTTAAATGATTTGTCTTTCATTATTTGTAGTATTTCCTATTTTATTGATGGATTTCGATTAGCAGTATAATCAGAACATGCGATAGCAAGGGAAAATTTTGAAACTTGGGCCTTTACCAACATCTGGGAGTCATTTCCAAACTTGGACATAGAGTTGCAACTCAATATATCATTTTATTTCAAAATGGACAGACCCTGTGTGGAGGGCATTAGTTGGGTGTCAAATAAGAATCTCAAATTCCTCCTGATTGCTCAAAAAAAAATAAAAAAATGAAACAATATGGTGAAAATCTGCAGGAACAAAGTCAGAGCAAATATGGGAAAGAAATATTACAAAATATTACTCGCTATCTTACACTTTTTGATTGTGATGATTTAGCTTTCATAAGGTATGGTTCTTTCCTAATCACATCTTTGGCCTAGTGTATGATGGAAACTTGTTTGATTGATTTGTTTGCAGAGATATACTGCTGGATTACTCAAATCAAGTAATGAAACTGGGGACTTTATTGTTGGAGTTGTTATCAGAAGCTCTAGGACTGAATTCAACCTACTTAAGAGATATCGATTGCAATGTTGGACAATATGCTTTCGGCCATTACTATCCTTCTTGTCCTGAACCAGAATTAACTTTGGGAACCATAAAGCATGCTGATGTGGATTTCATCACAGTTCTTCTACAAGACCATATTGGTGGCCTCCAAGTTCTTCATCAGGACACGTGGATTGATGTACCCCCTGTGCCCGGTGCTCTAGTTGTTAACATTGGTGATTTTCTACAGGTATGTATGTCCTTCATTTCCTGCTACTGAATACAGACTAAAACTGATGTTTTTTATGGACTAAAAAGAGATACAGTAAAGAACCAAGGACCAATGTATATTAACAAGGGTCGAGAGTATAATCAAAATAAATGTAAACGAGTCTTGGAGGAATAACTTTCATCCTTTGCATCACTAGGCAGCATTGATAGTGTAGTTTTGGATGTCTACTGTAGGGTTTACTTTAGATTTCTTTGAGTTTATTATATGTGATCCTTTAACCAATATGGCTAATTCCCAATATTCTTGAATACCAGATTATCTCCAATGAGAAATTCAAGAGTTCTCATCACAGAGTGCTAGCAAATACTGTTGGTCCAAGAGTCTCTATTGCATGCTTTTTTAGCACAGCATTTCATCCATCTTCAAGGACTTATGGACCCATCATGGAACTTTTATCTGAAGACAATCCTGCAAAATATAGAGAGTTTTCGATTCCTGAATTCACACATCACTACAAAACAAAATGTATGAATGGTACTTCTCCTCTTCTACATTTCAAGATTTGATGAGCACAATGTGGTAGAATTTTTTGAAGGGTTTCTGGAGTAGAATGCAGCAAATATTGGAGCTTCTATTGTGTCAATTTCTTGAGGAGGAATAAATGGAAAACATGTGTGGAACAAGTTTATGCTTTTGTCAATGAATTTAAGATCATGGGTCTGAAATATTTTGGATTCATGGGAAGCTTTCGTATGTAAATAAATATGTACTGTGTTATGTTATTTTAATTCAGGAATGCAAAGCTTTGTTAAATTTATACTTGTCCGTGGGTGAATCTTATAGAAAACATTTTCTGTTGTGTGACAAATTTGTTTTAAAACTTAGCCAAATCAGCTCGTTCATGTGCGTCCTGAAATTTGAAGCGAAGACATGTTCGGATACTTTTGGAATTTCTATTTCATCGCATCTCCCATACTATTTTTTTTCATATTATATTTTATATATATATATATATATATAATAAAACATTAAATATTAATAATATTTTAGTGATAACTACTTAAATTCAAACAATAATATAATATATTTTCTTTTATTTTAAATAATAATAAAAATATCTTAATATCTAATTTAAATAAATAAATAATAAAATAAATATTTTTAATATTTCTCTTATTTTATATCTATTTATTTAAATTTAATATTTTTTATTCTTATTATTATTATTATTATTTTCAAGAGATCATTACTTTATTTAATTTTATTATCTAGTTATTATGTTTTTCATTTGTAATTATTTGTAAATATATTTTTTTCTCAACAAGATATTTCTCCTCTACACTAATAGTTTTTCATTTAGTTCTTGTTATAAATTTTCTTAAATTTTAATTTTGGATACACGTTCTTCTTGATCTGATCTTTCGTCTATAAAATATAAGGTAAATTATCCATTTTTTTCTTTAAAAACCCCATTATCTTTTAATATAAACAAATTTATGATAAATTCTAATTTCTTCAACTTTTATAACATTTTCAAGCTCAATCTAAATTTTTTTTGTTTATAAATACGATTTTAGAACTTTTTATCTTTTTATTTAAGAGTTTTATCTTTGATTATATCTATATTTTTTTCATCTCAAACCATTTTTTGTAAAGATTGTTGTGTTTTTGAAATCTTGCTTCCAATAATAATTTTATATCTATTTTTTTTTCATCTCAAACTATTTTTTTTTAAGATTGTTGTTTTTTGAAATCTTGCTCCCAATAATGATTTTATATCTATTTTTTTTATCTCAAACCATTTTTTTTCTCAAAAGATTGTTGCTTTTTTGAAATCTTATTATGTTGACCTAGTTGATTGATAATTTTTTTTTCATATCTCTTTTATCCTTATTCTTCCTTGTGGTACTTCATATTCTTATTTTAAAAATAATTTTAAATTTCTTTAAATGATCTTAAGATCAATTATGAAACAATAATAAATAAATATGACTTTATTTTATTTTTCTTATTTATCTCTTATTGAATTAAATTATGATATGATTTTTAAATAATAAATTAATTATATAATTTTCTTAAAAAACTTTCCCAACTAATCTTTCAAGATTATATTTCTATAACCTATCTATCATAATTTTGAATAAGTTATTTTCTTTTATTTTTTAAAAAAAACTAAAGCTCTGGATACCGTTTTCAAAATTTTATAGAATTTTTTACATATATTTTGATATAAAAGATATATGATATAATAAAGTTTCTCTTATCTCATCTTCCATAATATTTTATTCATATTATATATATATATATATATATATATATATATTAAAATTATAAAAAAATATCAAATATTAATTATATATCAATAAAAATTAGATAATATTTGTTTCTCTTATTCTAAATAATAAAAAAGTATTTTAATATGTAATTTAATAAATAAATAATAAAATAAATATTCCCTTTAAAACATACCCGACTTATTTATTACTTTCAGTTACTAGTATATCTAATATTTATATATAATACTAACATCTTTTAACATATTCAACAAGCTTTTTAATTAGTTTAAAAAGTTAATGTATCTTAATAATCCATGTAAAATGCATATGTTTTGCCAAATATATAACTCAATTAATGTAGGATGCTTAATTTATTGTAAGCTCTTTAATATATATTTAATTCCAGTATCTAATTAGCAAAACAGTTTTCAATCATATTTATTAAGTTAAAACGTGCATTCCTCTTCTACGTACTAATTTTTTCATATAGAAAGCTATTCTTAATTTGAACCACACTCATTTCCAATAATAAAAATGTTAACTTTTATACATCTTATAAATTAAATTTCATCGACATAAACGTCACTGATTCTCACACATAAGATCCAATGTTAAAACAATATAAACATTGACATTGAGCTTAGATCTCAAAATTAAAGTTTAGGGTTTCAAATTTTATTTTTTGGATGAAAAAAATGCGATTAATTTTTTTAATTAAAATTACTAATAAGATTTTCTTCAATTATATAAATAAATTATGAATAAAATTAATGAACATTTACTAAATAAGAAAGTTAAATTATAATGGCATATTAAAATGAAATTGATAACGAATTAATAACATATTAGTTGTTCATGCCCTCTATCTCTGCTCCATTATCTCTCCAGTTTGTATCGTTCCTTTCTTCTGCCTAATTTGTTGTGTTGTGTTAAGCCAGATTCAAATTTCAACTTGGAATCTCTTATTTGTCTTCTTCTTCCTTTTGGGTCTCTATTTCTGTGTCGTATCTTTCTGTTTGTTTGTGACTTTGTGTGGTGTGTGATGGGGGTGTGAAGTGGTTGTTAAAAGTCCCACCTTTGGGTTTATTGATGATTTGTTCTGTCCCTTGGACTGAAATCTGAAAATGGGTGTTCATTGTTAGGCATTGAGAGTCTGAGCATTGATTTGATTTGGAAGAGAAAGATGAAGGATTTCTGTGGGGCACCTGGCACTATTCTTGGGCTGGTTCTTAGGACGACACAGTTCCTTTTTGCTGCTGGGTCAATTGCTTCCATGGCCACCACAACCAGTTTCTTTAATTTGACTGCCTTTTGGTAATCAGTCAGTTCCCTTCTCCTCTCATTCAAGCCAAGATTTTGTTTTTGTTTTGTGAAACTTCATCCTGCTGTCATTTCTGTTTGATGCGAGTTCATGAATGAGTGTTGTGTTCTCAAAAGTTATTACTCATATCATATGCTAGCCAATTGTTTATGCTTGATTCATCTTCATGGCTGAACGTGTCTGGATGACAGAGATTTCATGAGTGTCGTGTTCTCAAAAGACATTAATTATGTCATATGTTAGTTAATTGTTTGTGATTGATTCATCTTTATGGCTGAATATGTATGGATGTCAATGTATTCAACCAATCGGAACCATTGGACAAAGATTGAATGACTCATATAAGATGTGAATCATTCGATCTTCGTCCAACAGTTATGATTTATGAGTATATGAATGCTTATTGATTTTTTTCATCTTTTATTGAGTGAATTACAATGAGTGGTTTCATGAGATTGCCGAAAACCCTGTCTTTTTTCTACCCCTACACTAATTCATTTAATTGTTTGAAAAAATTATAATAAAACACAGTATACAATAAACTAACCCCCGTAACTGTTTGAAAAATATTACACCGTATCTCCTAATGTGAAGGTTGTTGTAAATGTTTTAAAAAGTCACGAAACTTCAAGGAGTTACCAAAGTATTTTACTATGTTTTATTACTCACTTTGGCTATAATAGTACGCACTCTGCTTGCCTTTTGATTTCATATTATGAAGACACAACCTACTTGGTATTGGAACTATTCAATTCCAAATGAATTTGAAGCACTGAAGATGTATACTTTATGAATTTGATTTACCTTCTGAGAAGAAAATGCCTTTACCACTGAATAATTAGGTCCAGTAAGTAATTTTGATGCAGCAAATTAATTGGTTGGTATCTTGATTTGGATTAATTGGTGTGTTGTGAATGTGTTCAGATGATACTCCCTTCTCTTCTATTTTGTCCTGTTCCCATAAAGAGGCAATGGATGATTTATAATTTATTTCCATGAATCTATCATTTAAAGCTCTTTTTTCAGTCACTGACTTTCTGCTTGGATGCTAGAATTGAGGAAACATATGAATGTGTCTTTATGCACTTTGGCTCTTTGTGCAAAGAGTAACTGATCTGGCAGTATAATACTGAATAGAATCGCTGCAACTAGGTCCTAGGAACTAGTCTCATAATCGAGCTGAAGTGTTTGCATGGAACTAGTCTCATAGTCTTCAGTTAAACCCCAATGGAGTGTGACTGTGATATTCCTCCTACTAATTATATTGTGTTCTATTCAATTTTATGTTATTGCTTCTCCCGGACAGCAATAAAAACATGTGTCTCATGAAATTTTGTGCTTCTGATGAAGTGGTGATCAAGAAATTAACCTTGCATTGTTCATGAGTACTTCAATAGCAATGCATGGATGTTGGATATGTCAAAACTTAGATGCTGACAGTTCCACTGGTAACTGTGCAGTTACTTGATAGCTTCAATGGGTTTACAAATCATTTGGAGTTTTTTGCTTGCTTTACTGGATTTACTTGCTATGATGAGAAATCGAACCCTCCTCACCCCAGTACTTGTCAGCCTCTTTGTAGTTGGAGATTGGGTTAGTCTCTTAACTAGTGCATGTTTGGATAAGTTACATCTCTTTCAAAAATATGTTCAGAATAAAATTATACAAAGAATATTCTTTTTCAGAAGCACATTCAGCATTCAAAAGTACGTTTAGAATAGTTATCAAAACATATGATGATTAGTGTGTTACACATAGTAGCACTTGTATAGTTATGATGTTTATCATTTGACAAGGTTTCTTCTTGACCACTGTCCATTCTCCACAGGTAACAGCAACACTATCTCTAGCAGCAGCTTCTGCCTCAGCTGGCATAACAGTTTTGTACTTTCATGATCTGGGACACTGCCACATTGGAGACGAGTGCCTGAAGTACCAAATTTCTGTGGCACTAGCATTCCTAAGCTGGTTTTCAACTTCAATATCATCTCTAATTATGTTTTGGCTGTTAGCTGAGGGTTAGCAAAGTATTGCTCTTATTAAAAAAATTTCCACAAGAATTCTCTCATTCAACTAAAGTTCATCTTATTGAAATTTTTCGTTTCTAGCTATTGATAGGAAGAAATCTCAGTAGTGCTGTACTCTGAAATTTAACTGGGATAGCTTCAGAGTGCAGATTGTAAAGGGGAACAAGAATGTATATATGATTTTGCCTTGGAAAGTTATAAATCTGTATGATAAATTCACATGATAAATATTTACATAATCGCAAATGATCTTGAATTTCCAAGGTGAAACTTTAATTTCAATCGAAAATCAGTATCAAAAGCACCCAAGGAACTGCATTTAACTTTTGTTCTTGCAGGAAATTGGGTTGCTAATACGTCTACCCACTTCATCTTGACAAGTGTCGGTTAGATAATATAGCATGTTAGAATACAAAGTGAGGACTTTTGAGAGTTTTTCTATATTTTCAGCAGAGAAGCTCTAAAAAAGTACCTATTTGTATTCAAACATACCCCTTTCCATCAATTCGAATAACCTAAAAATACAAATTAAACTAATCAAATTTGGTTCAGATTTTTAACTTAATCGGGTCCAAGATGGATGAAACCAATCAAATTCAATGGTAATTAATTCAGTAAACTTTTTTAAACTAAATTGCTTTAGAACTATCTTTGGAATGAGAGACAGTGATCAAGAGAGATGAGATGATGGGATAAAAGTGTAAGCAAAAGTTAGTAAGATTTTCAAGTGTAACCAAAAGTTGAAACTTGTTGTAATTTCAATTTTAAATCTCTAATTAACAATTAATTGTATTTAAAAAACTCTTAATTTTTGTATAACATAAGAGAGTTTTTATATCAAAATTCATATATCTCTTTTTAGATAGATAAAAAAAAAGGAGGTAGAACAGCATAAGTTTGTTAAACTGGGTCAATCCAAAATTAAGTTTACTCAAAATAGCAACATTATGCTTTGTTCAACCAAATTTGTTGGTAGGGTTATTAGTAAATTAGTTTAATATTAAAAATTAAAACCAAACTCCTTTTTCTTCTCTGACTTCTTCTTAAGTTCTGGAGTAATATATTTTCTATTTCTAAAATTTGACCATTCTAAGTCTTTTCCTTCTCTCCACCAACATAGGTGGAGTTCAACAAAAAGAGGCATGGAAGAGAAAAAGTTGGAAAAAAACTTGAGATGAAATGAGAATGAAGAGAGAAATATATTTTTAACTTTTAATTAAAATAATCATATTGTCTAACTCATTTAATTAAAATATATAAGAAAAAAAGAATATAAACTATATTATCTCATTTTGTAAAAAAAATTAAAAAAATCTATTGGTTGGTTATTTGCTCCTTTTCATTTTCCAAATCAAGGCATAAAGTCAAAAGTCCAAAACTATTAAAGGATGATACTTGATATATCATCTCCAAAATTCACATATCAAAATTTATATATTATAAATAAATAAATAAATAGAAATTACAAAAAAATTAACACTTATATTGTGGGTAGCATAGGGAATGGAAATATTTTGTTCTTGAAATTAATACCACCTACCCACAATTAAATCTTTCATTTAAAAGCCAGTGGTTGACTTTTTGCTTACCTTAATTTGTAGATGTTGGAACTTAAGTCACTTGATTCCTAGGATTTGGAACTTTTTACTTAAAAAGAAAAAAAAATGGGAAAATGTGTTTTGTCCCAAAGAAAATGTGAATGGAAAATTTTAACTACTGTTTTCAAGAAACTGGTCAAGAAATTAAAAAAGTGAAATTTTATACTTATATGTTATTAATTAATATTTTTTAAATTAAATTATTGAATTATAGGTTGAGATCAATTAAATTTAATAAAATAATATTTTTATAATAAAGATATGGGTAAAAATATGGTTGAATATATTTTATTTTATATTAATTTAATTAAAATTTAATTATTTAAAAGTAATTGACAAAATTTTTAGACTGATTATCGATTAAATTGATAAAATTGACAGATCGGTGCGTTTTTTGAAAACAATGTTATCAACAGTTAAAAACTCAAATCTCAAATTTTAACAATTTTAAAATGATAAAATATTAAATGAGTTTGCTTGTTCTTATTTAAATAATAATAATAAAACAAGCATATTTCAGTTTCTTTATTTGTTTGTTTAGTCTGCTTATTTTAAAAATAAATAATTTTCTACTTTTCTAAATTAATTTTATCTACTACTTAAATAAGTAATTATTAATCAAACTAGTTCATTGTTGCATGTATTTAAAAATAAAATAAAACTCTAAAATTATTAGCCAATCACCTCATTAAAGTTGTTATATACAAAATTTGATATATTAATATACGTTTACCGACAAAAATAACAATAAAATAAGTATTACAAAAATGAACAATGTTACGTATAATTGCATTATAATTACATTCTATAATTAAAAGGGTGCCAGAAAATCAATTTTAATAAATTATTCTATTGAACCACATGGAGATTTTTGGACAGAAAGATGTTTTATCTTTGAAGGTACTCTTGAACCAACTTTTTCTTCACCACTCCTATGCTATAAACTTAAATAATACACAATCAATTAAACATAATTGATTATGGATATTTTAATGATTCATGATATGTACATAATAATTGATTATGTTTCACTAATTTTACAAAGACATTATATGATTATATGATATTGAAACAAAGTGTAAGATTTTGAAACGAATATTAACAAATTATATAAAATTGTGTGGTCATGATTATCTCTTTGAACTTTTTACACGTTTGATACACACATAAATCGTGTAAAGATTATGTTATATTCTATATAATTCATATTATCATGAAATAATGAAGCATCATATCAACAACAATAAGATTATTCATAGATTCTTTAAACCATCAATTGAATAATTAGTGCAAAATATAGTATAAAAACTTGGGCATCCACCTAGAGCATGTAAGGAAAATAAGTCAAAAGATCATGATTGGTTGTTGATGGATCTAAGTAGCTTTTATTGGAATCACATCAACATTTTATGCTTCTATGTAGTAATGATAATAATGTAATCAATAAAACTATCCTCACCTGATAAAATAAGACTGACTACTGTAATTTTATCCACTCAGTTATGAAGATTTAAAATAAAAACAATGAGAGTTTAGTGATTTTAGGGAGAGAAAAAAATACTGAACAAATTATATTGCTTTAAATAATTTATACAATCAAACTTCAAAAACGTAGAACAAACACAATGCCACACAGCCTCAACTTGGATTTTAAGAAATCCCTTTAAATAAATTATATATGAAATTTTGCGTCAAAATTTTCAAGAAAGATACAAAGCTACACTGTAACAATAACATAGTTACCAAAAAACAAATGAAAATTGTCGTGCTACAGTGAAGTAAAGAATTGGGCCATTTGCAATGGACATCAATAGTTTTCATGTCATTGCCATCATAGCTTACTTGTAATCCTATTTTAGCACATTAGGCCAAGTAAAAAAGAAGAACAATAAATCAAAGCACTGACACTATTTACATGTCAATACTTAGAGAATGTTGAGAAAGGATGGATGCAAAATGATCCCAAGTACCAGAATAGAAGCAAAAACTATGCTGCAGGAGGCCTAAGCTCATGATCTTGGGATGTGTCCCTGGCAGATTGAGGAAGATATTGCCACATTGGGATGTAGCCATAGTTTGGATAAACAGCCATCTTGTTAACCCCTGCTTGATATGCAGCAGCAGCAGCTACAGGGGGTGCCATAAACCCTGCAGGTGCAATGGGCAAGGATTTCAACTGCTTCTCAATCCTCTCCTTATCTGCTTTCAGAACAAGTTTCTCTTCCCGAAGTTCGTTTTTCTCAGCCTGATGAAACAAAAAAACTGTGACTTGAACACTAAAGCAATGTTGAAGCATGAACTCGTGAACCACACCTAACATATTTCAATACTACAACAAAAACAAAGTTATAGAGAAACAGAGGCAATACATATAAAGATTATAGCTTGAAGAACAAATTTCTAACTCATGTTTTTATTCTGTTCTGTTGTGCGTAGTCAATTAGTCATCAATATAACAACCCTCCTAAGCTCCAATCAACACTTATAATTCATCAGACTAAAAAATTTCTAAACTACCGTCAGAATGTCAAAACAGATACTGTGATAGAGCTTTCGATTCTATTTTGGAGAGTTTGAACTCCTAACGTGTTTTTGTTCAATGAAACAAAAAAAGAATCTGAATCTATACATGAAAATTACACCTAAATATCAGAGACTATAAAACATAAAAACGTAGAAGTATCACAATCCCTAATTTATTTATTTTCAAACTTGAATTAGGCATGCTAGTCATGCATGCAAATGGAAGAATATGCAAATATTGATGGGCAGTAACAATAGAAGTTGCATAACTAACTGGATGAAGGGTTAATGGAATGCAAATGTCAGAACAGAGTATGTGTCACTAAACCAACTGACAACAAAAGAAATATACAAATACAATAAAATAAAAAAATCAGAATAAATAATTCCATTGACAAAGGATGCGGTTCCGTTACAAAAAAATATGTTGAAATAACTGATAAACCATGTACTCAGACAGAAGTTGAATTTAAAATGAAATAATAGTCTAGGACAAAACAGTAAAATGCACAGCAGTCAAAAACAACGCAGCATAAACTACCACTTTTGCTCCAAGGATAAAAAATAACCCCTACATGAAAATTACGATTCCCATTTTTCTAAAGAACATAATCAGAGAGGTCAACGCAGCAGGATTCTCTCTGATAATACATAGGCCTCTAACAATTTTTTTCAATCAACTTTTACTAATTCATACTAGCTACATAATTTCAGAACTACTAATCATTATTTGTCTTCTTCACGGAGAAAAGGACCATCTTAATAAATGCTTTATTGGTGTGCATTCCTGACATCAACTGTATGCTAAAATCACATAATCTCACCACTACTTACAAAACTCATGAACTTTAGCTGTGCAAATAATATAACCACTGGTGTAGCGGGAAGCTTGAAGCCGTTTGAGCTTTCTTTATGAGCAATAAGTAAAAAAAAATGATAAAAATAATTTCAAGATGAAGCTTCTGGTAGTTGCACCGATGTACAATTCATTTACTTTCCAACACCATTCAGGGAGGCTACAAGAATGAAGTATGTACAGAACCCAACATTTCAAAGAAAACTAATCCAAAATGTAGAAAGTAAGCTAATGAAATAGTTAGCTCACTACAGTATATGTCTGAAACAACACTGACCTTTAAACATTTTATTTCCTCTAATAATTTTTCATTTGTTGTTTTGAGCTCCTGAGCTTCCGTTTTAAGTTGGCTCAAGACTCTGATAGCATCATCGAGTATAGATTGTTTATCTGTCCTCACAGGTCTCCCAGGTTCCAAAACAGAGCTTAGGTCACAGAACCTACAAAAGTCATGACCAAGTTCTTCCCTTTAATTATTAGAAGAAGCAGCAAAACACAATACAAAGCAGGAAGAGTTGTTTGTAACACGAGTATCTCACAAACCTAGTTATCTTAAATATCTAGAAAATAAGATCACTTTTGGCATTCACATAACAATAGAAAGTTATCAAAGAAATGTTGCATTTGGTAATTCATGAAAGTTGGTATCGCCTTGTGCTCAGAGAAGTCATATGCCTAACAATAACCTTGTAATTAGATGAGAGAGTTGTAAATTTCACACAGTCACTGTACCATACCCATGTGATGTATCTAACTCAAGTATCTAAAATGACTGTAAATGAAACACAACCTAAATGTTCAATGCGACAAGTAACCAGAAATTAATGAGAGTATACATTCCTTATGCAACAGCTATATGAAATGCTAAAAAGTTCAGCCAGTACTCTGACATGACATCGACCATAAATTCAATATTTAAAGCATGCATGCCTTTCATTGAGTCTCTCCCTCCGCAATTTCTCACGGCATGCTTTTGATCCCACCTTACAGCATGAATCAGTGCGCCCCCTACAAATGATTTGCACCAAATGGATCACCAAAAATAGGCCGTAAACATGATTCAAAGACAGCATCACTCCCCCAATATAAACACAAAATAGAAAGGTAATTAAACCAATATGTTAGGCATAAGCTGAGATTTAATGGGTGTCTGAGACATCAGCAGATACATGTGCGATAATCATGCATGAATTAAATTTCATATTGTTTTTGCTAAAGAATGAAATTACAAATATTGACCAAAAGAGAGTGCATAGAGTCAAAATAATATTGTCATAAACTTTTCAGAACAGTAATTACATCCCCACATTCTCAGATAGTATATCACTTCAAAAGTAACAGACAAGATACCTCTTCTTGGTGTTCTCTTCACAAGTAACAGCATCACCTGGAATGTCAATTTCAGTGCTCACACTTGCAAATACAGGAAAAAAGAAAACGTATCAGCCATTTGCCACACAAAATATTAAGCAAAAACAACAACCATCATCTCTTGTCCTACCATGTGATTCTGTTTGCCACACAACATTAAGCAAAAACAACATCTACATTCTCTAGTTCTAAGATGTGATTTGTCTACATGCATCAATAGACACCAGTTGCTCTATCAAAAAACTGACTTAATTTTTTTTTTTTAAATGAACTTGAATCACCCAAAAAAGAACAACCAATCCTATTGACGATCATACATTAGGAAAAAAAAAACACTAACAGCTGGGATGGAGCTAATGAAGCATTCGAATCGAATTCCAGAATTGCGTACATCACAAATTACGAACCCAACCATGCAACACCAAATTCAGAGAAAAAAAAAATCATCGTATATCACCAAATCAACAACATTTTATTTTTAATTTTAAAATAATGAACTTGAGCTACTACTACAAAACAACGAGCAATCAATCAAACAATCATACAGATTAGCATATCAAAAGGGTAATCTTAATTTTCACCTATATCACCAAATCAATACCATAAAATCAACAATGAACCCCCAAAAAGAAGAAACATGCAATCATGAAAGAAAGAAAGAAAAAATAACAATAGTTAAAAAAGAAAATGAAAAGTTAACAAAAAGAAGAAACCTTGGATTGGGCCAAAGGAAATCAGGGGGCGCTTGATCGATGAAAGAGTAATCCAGAAAATCCCAACAGCCGCTGTCTTCTAAGGAATCCATTTGCGATTTCCACTTTCTTTAACCAAACCGCAATCTCTCCCTTCTCTTCACAAAAAAGCTTTCAAATATTCCCCCACGCAAATAATAAAAAAATATTTTGGGTTTTAACACCATAACTATTTATTTTATAATAATAAATTATATTTCAAACATATAATTAATTATATCAACTAACTTACATCCTTAAATCAATTTTAATTAGATAATTTCTTTAAAAAAACTGTTTACATGAAACGTTTGTATGAATTATATCAATTTAAAAATATTAAATACTCTATTTATATCTATCAAAATTTAATTAATATATCCTTAAAATATAAATAAATATAAATCATTTAATTACGATCTTATTTTGAGTAAATTATATAATTAATAATTTAAATTTTGATATAAAATTATTTTAATTATTAACAAATTAAAAGTAGAGATAAATATAAAGAAAACTAATATAGTTGTGATGATAATTTAGTTTGAGATAATTTAGAAAACGATTTTAAAAATAGTTGTGATGATAATGTGTAAAATGTTGACAAAATTGAAAGTAAAGAATATGTAATGGAAAGAAAGAGAAAAGGCAGAGAATGACATCTGCATAAATTATAATATTGAACAAAATAAAAGAAGATGAACAAAGTAAAATTGATTTTCGAGTAATCTGACCTATTTGGAACAGTTTTTGTTTTTTATCACAAAATAATCACTTATTTGGAAGAAGTGCTTTTTTTTCTTTTTCTAGTTTGCATGGATTGTTTAGACGTTTCAATATTAGTAGCCCTTTTAATAATAAAAAAAGATTATATATTTATATATAAAAAAAAAGACACGTAAAATTTAGAAAGACAATGGTGAGGTGATATCTCAAGTTACCAAGTCCAATAGAGAGATTAGAAAGAAGACTCGGTCCTTCAAAAATGGACAATACCCAAAGTCACTAGTGTGGACATGTGGACCTGAATGAGTCCAATTCATGGGTCATGTAGGTCATGGAGTCAAAGTTCCTAAAATGGGTCTTGGGAAGACTTTGTAGATCAATTAGCACAAAGTTTTTTTATCTTCACTAATAATCTTCATAGTGAATCCGTAAGAATATAAGATTTTATAACTTTCAACCAAACATATTTTCCTCTTCATTTTCAAAAGATGCCCAAGTAAACCCTCTTTAAATTTTGTACCTAACCAGGTTTATCAAACTTCCTGCTCCCACTATCTCAACACAAAAGACATGAATTATATACAGAGATATTAATAAGGTGGATGTATATGATTTTATTTATTAATCATTATGGAAAAGAACCCACTTTTCCCTTTTAAAAGGGACACTTTACCTTGGATTCTTCTTTTAGGTAAATGGATGATTTTTCAATTTCTGTTGTTGGGATATAGTGGACATGAGCTAACCTAATTCATGGTGATTGGTGGGGGAAGGTTTCTTGAGAATTTTTATAATTTAGAGAATTTTTTTTCACTCTTATGAAACTTTAAATGATAGGATGATAGACCAAGTTCATCAATAAAAACCATATTATGTGAAGACTAAAATCATTCATTTTAAAGTAACAAGGACTAAGTAATTTTTATGAAAAAGTAGACACCTAAATCATATTTATTATCTAAAAAGAAAATTTCAGTGGTCCAAATAAACAGGTACTACTAGAGCACTTCTTGGTCTGCTTCCATGACCAAAAGAAAAGAATGATTTCTTGACTCTATCACTGCCACCACAAGCTTCAATTCTGTTCATCTCATGGACATGCCCATTTTGTTGTTGTTGTTGAAAAGCCAGTTGAATTGCCCCATAAAACTTTCTATCCATTGATGAGTCCATGGAAAAAGACCTTCTCATGGCTTGAACCGAGAGCCTTTCACCTTTGGCTCTAATGTCAATACATTCATCTCCCAAGCTGTTCACTTTATCAAGCTTCTTTGCTTTCTTCTGCTCCGCCAACTTTCTTTGTGAGGAAACACTAACAGTAGGTAACTCTTGTCCTCCTTGTAAGTTTTGGTCTCTATCAAGTTCACCATCCAAATCAATCACAACAAAACCTTCATCACTAGCATGGTTTTCAATGTTTTGGCTTTGACCTTGAAGGGAAGGCCTTGGAGTGGGAAGGTTTAGTTGGTCAACATGGACTTGGCTTGTCAAGGACACCATTCTTCTACAAAGGGGGCATTGGGTATTGTTCTGAAGCCAAACATCTATGCAATCAATGTGAAAGACATGGCCACAGTTTGGTATAACCCTCAGCTTCTCATCTCGTTGAAACTCACTCAAGCAAACTGCACAATCATCAATGCTTCTTTCACCAAAGTCTGTGTCCCCTTCTTCTGGCTTATAATGAATCACTGGGATTAACCTAATAACTGCTTCCTCTAGCCCTCTAGGCCCAGATGTAACAGATGGGTCTTCACCTTCCCTGGATAGAGAAAACAGTCTCATGTGATCAACATGGTGCCAATTGAGGCAGCACTTGACAACTAACATGTAGTAGCCTATAAGGAACAAGGTTGTAAACGTCATTCCCATCACAAGGATTGCTAAGAGGGGAAAATTTGAACTAGAAGGATGTGTAATATCATGATTTGGAGAATTCGTGCAAGGTGAACAAGCTTGTGTTGGCACATGGAGTAGGTGTCCTTGACTCACAAAATCCATACTAGAGACTCTACAAACAAAAGGGTTGTCTTAGATCATGGAATATATCACTTGAATTCTCAGTTTTATCACACTCTCCCTGCAAAATCTATAGTATGCTTACAACACTAAGTGAAGGAGGCTATGGTTTTTCCCCAAATCAAAACAGAGAATGGGAGTGTTTAGAGAGTAAAGAGGAATGAACCATGGAGTGGTAGTGAGAATAGAGAAAGACTAAGAAGACTTATAAAATAGGAGGTGGGTTTGAAATTCAATGGAGAAAAGTGTCCTCAAACCGTGTTTGTTATTGCCTCAAATCACCAAAGTGAATTTCTCTATCACTAGTTGGGCAGAAATTTGATTTTATTCCTCTATTTATTGCCTATGATATTTGTCTTTACAAATTTTAATACTTCTTCAAGAGGGGTTTTTATAATCACTTAATGATGAAGTGATATGCTTTAATTATATCAAATCAATTATAGTTTCTGACTAAAAATAAATTTGGTCATTGGTAATATTTTTTTACTAAAGCTAATATTTTATTTTTTTCTAAGATGATGTATTGGTGAGTGTCCAACATTTAGGGTAACGTATGGTTCAATTTTTAATGAAGGGTGTGTAGAGTCAGTGATGGTCCAGCTAGAATGGTGACAGTGATTAATAAATGACCAAGTCTTTCCCCCATGAAACCATCTGTTGACCTCAATTGAGTAAAAAACGTGTCGAGTCTAAAGTTTGAAAGTTTGAGGCATTATGAATTTCGTCATTTCCTTTATAATGTTTGAAGTTAAATATTTGAAGTAATAAAAAAAGATTCGTTCTTTCAAAAAATTAATTAACATTTGTTCATATATGAGATGTAGGGTGGTAAATTTAATGGTGTTTCATTCCCCTGTCCAAAGGGTATGAATGAGAGTACTCTGTTTGTTATAAATACTTCACGTACTCTGTCTCACTTTCTTTCTTGCACAGGCTTATTAATTATTGTGGTTCTACAATCATTCAAGTGTTCATAAACCGTGAATGTTAATATAATATAGTCAGTGGTCAAAGAATTAATGAGTAAATAATTGCAAGGTTATATGAAAGAGTTTCTACAAATTTAACTTATAAAAAAAGTCAAAAAAAGTATTTTTCTTTTTTACTAATTTTTTCTAATTTTATTTTTTAGATACAAGTTGTAGTGGAATAATAATCGATGACCTAAATTATGAATTTATATCTTTGCGTTTTAATTTACTTTTAGTTACATTTTTTAGATTTTTAAAAAATTTAATTTAATTATTTATGTTTTAATTATAATATGAGTTATGTATTAAAAATACTTATTTACTATACATTTTTTTTTGTAAAATAAAAATTCGATACATAATAAGATATTATTAGTATTGAATAAGAAAGGTCTTCTCGTTTGTTTGTTGACCAAAGGTGTATCCTGGATTTTGGGTCCTAATAGCAAAACTGATACCTGATTTCGTTTTTTTTTTTTGAGAGAAATTGGGCTAATGAGTTGCTTCCTGCACCCCATATTCATCTAAAATAACAACAATATTATCCCTAATATAAATAGGTTTTGGAAAGTTTATTACCCCATATTATTATTTTACTATCATTAAAAGAAATGTCGTAAAATTGACACACTGTTCATCTCTTCTTAACACATGAAAATGAGTAGAAGGTATTCATTGTGAAATCCATCTCTTATTATTTCCCTTTTACAAATTCCAGTTTTTTAAATATAAATAATAATGAATATAATAAATAATATTTCAATATTAGAAAATAGAAGATAATTATTAATAAATAAAATACATTGATAAAATAACAATATTAAATCGAAATTTATATTACCTTCTCCAATTAATAAATTACTTTTTTTATTCTATTTCTTATCTATTTATTTCCAATTAAGTAAACTCTATTTCAACCAATTCTTTTACCTACTTTTATTCTTTTTCATTTTAACTCTCTGTTTCTTTCTTTACTACTGAAAATATCATTTAAAAGAAAATGTAGTGCCAATTTAAAATCTGTAGAACAAGCAAAACATCTAAGAAAATCAACAATTCTATCACGATGTTAACAGAAAAAATTGCGCTATTATACAAAAAATTCATCATGACACTTACATAATTATCTTGATGGGTCCTAAACTTTTTTAAAATCCTATTATAATCTCTAATCGAAAGTTAAAATGTTCTTATATGTTAATAATGCTGATGCTTATTGTTATGTAATCATGTTAATTTATAATGCTAGTGTCATTCACAATAATAAATTATTACGTAATTCAAAAACCTGATAGAGTAAGTGTGTATATATATATATATATATATATATATATATATATATATATATATATATTATATATTATTACTTATCCGAATAGATAAAAGATTAAAAATACAATTGACTGAAAAAATTTATGTGTAATTATATCGCTAAATTCGATGATGATGTGACTATCTAATATTATTATTTAAAATCCTGACTTCGTAACTTAAATTATCTTAGATATATTTTTAATTTTTTAATAGTTTTCTAATTTTTAAATAATTAAGTTTGCTTTTAGAAATCTTTTTCATGTTAATCATTGTTTTAACAATGATTGATTGGACCGAGAAGAGTGATGCATTGAAATTACTTTTTAGGGCATTTAGATTCACATGAAACAAAACCACTTTTCCGGTGCCGACAGTAAATTTTGTTTTTTAACCCAGCACGCGTTAAACTTATTCAAATTTTCTACACATTCTAAACAGCGATTTCATTTTTATCACTCAGATTTGAAATCCACAATAATCATTAGATCAAATCATTGATCAAGCCAATAATTTACCCATGTTTTTAAATTACGAAAAAACAGTTAATTTTCCATTTATTTCTTTGTTATTAGTATTAATGAATAATCATTATATATGTTTTCTTATTTATTTCCAAAATAAATATATAAATTATTTTGTCATTATATAATTAATAATTTTTATTTATTTATTATTTTAAATAATTATTTTTTCCCAAAATAAATAAGTTATTTTTTTTGTTTTTACCTTGTTTTGGGTATGCAATCGAACATAATGACGTAGTTAAAACAAAGGAAAACCAACCCTTTGACTCCACAAAATTACCTACCAATTAATGCAACTATAGGTCACCACGTGTTTGACATTTCAAAAAAGAAAAAGAAAAAAAAAAATCTCTTTTCTTTGGCATGAAGTACTTTATTTTCCTTGTGAACTTATGACTCTGTATGGAATTGAGAGAGAGAGAATTAAAGTGAGAAGAGTTAAAGAGTTTCAACGAGCAAGCGCCACCTCCTTGACCATCCAGATACAATGGACGTTCTACTTTTCTACGTTAAAGAGTTTCACATGTTTCATAGAAGAAAAATAAATAAAAATAATAATTAATAAGATATATATATATATATATATATATATATATATATATATATATATATATATGAATAAAAATATGATAATGAAGTTCATAGTTTATTTTCTGCTCTCTGGTATCTCTCATTTCTCACCAACTAAACGTAGCTTTCGTCAAGTCAAAGGAGTTAAAAGAATGTATAAAAAATTATTGATAAATTGATGTAATCAAATATGTAATGATGAAAAAAGAAATACAGAGAGATTTGACAAGACCGAATTAAGTGTTAATTTGAATTGTGGATGTGTCTCACGAACATACGTATAGTAGTCAAAGTTTGTAAAATTCATTTAAAAATTCAACTATATATATCAAATGGATCAGTACAAATATTTATAACATGAAATTATATAAAAATTAAATGTGTCTTTTTTTCATAAAATGAGAGAGATTTTATTTTGGTTTCATGTTTTTTTTTTCGTTCTTCTAATTGGTTGATGTAATCAAGTTTTACTAAATACATTTTAAATTTTTTTTTCTAAAGCGTTATTCATTTAAACTTAATATTAAGAACAAAAAATAATTATATTGGAATAAAATCATAATTAATTGAATAACATTGTTAACATGACATGACATGAAATTATATATCATATTTATATAAATATGTGTGATGTTTGTTAACATGGAAGTGAATTATATACCACGTTTATACATATAATAATAATAATAATCTTTAACGTGATATTGAATTGTATATCACATTTTATGGTTTTTTTTATAACGTGACATCACATTTATGTATGTCTATATGATATATATAATGAATTTAAATTTAAGTGAGTATATTTATGGAATTTTCAAATATTAATTACTTTGCATACGTCACAGAAACACGAGTTTATAAATGTTGTATATATATATATATATATATATATATATATATATATATATATATGTATATATAGTTATGAAAGTGTGTCTGGCAAAGGTGCAGTGCAGGAAGGAAGAAGAGTATATTATATGATGAGCGAAGAGGGTTCGAGGGGAAAGGCGAAGGAAGAAGAAGAGAATGTGAAGTACAGAGGAGTGCGTAGAAGGCCATGGGGAAAATATGCAGCAGAGATTCGTGACTCAATGAGACAAGGTCAAAGGTTGTGGCTGGGAACGTTCACCACAGCAGAGGAAGCTGCTAGAGCCTATGACAGAGCTGCATATGCCATGAGGGGTCCCTTTGCAGTCCTCAACTTCCCTCATGAATACCCTCCTTTACCACATGCTTCTTCTTCTTCTTCTTCTTCTGTCGATGTTTCTTCTTCAGCTTCATCTGTAGCCTCTTCAGGAAGAGGAAGAGAGAGGAGTGAGGAAGCACCTCAAGTTTTTGAGTTTGAGTGCTTTGATGACAAATTGTTGGAGGACCTTCTTGCTATTGAAGACAAAAATAAACATGGCAAGTGAAACATGGTGCATGTAGGTTTAACTCCTCTGTTTGGCTACGTTTGTATTTTCAGACATAAACATTTCCAAAAAAAGGAACTCATCATTTCTATAAATTAATTTATATAATTTATCTATATCTGTATTTTTCAACTTTATGTATAAGTTAATTTAATTTATAAAAAAAAATTTAAACTATATTTTTTCAATAACTTTTTCTAGAGAACTTTGTTTGAATATAGTCAAATTAAAATTATAAATGTTTTTAAAGATTTTCTCCTGAAAATATAGTGTTTTTAATGAAGAAGTTCACAAAAAGTGCCCTAACTTTGCCTCCAAAACGACTCTAAAAAATCTATTGTGCGGCTGGGAACACGTGATATCTGTGTGTTCTGTAATTTTAGTTTTAATTTATAAGAAATAGTTAATAACGTGTCAGGGTGCAGATTAGTTTGATCCATGTAATTAATGATTTTATAGTTGGTGGTGAGAATGTTTCGTGTTTTTTTTTTTAATTTAAATTACTATTAAATTATTTTTTATTAAAATTTTAAAAGGTTAAACACGGATGGATACTTATTTGTTTTATTAAATTTAAAATTCATTGTTTGACGTATAAATTGAGAAAACAAGTAAATTATAATTAAGATATTTTTCACAAAATATAAATAAAACATACAAAAAAAAGTAGTGTATATAAAATAAAATTAAAGTAAGTTATTAAATTACGGATGTTTATTAATATCTAATCCTATTCAATTCAACCCAACATAATTAAATAGATCTCATTTATCCTTTATCTATCTTTTTCATGTATGCCTACGTGCTTTTATTTTTTTCTATAAACCCTAAACCCTTATCGTCGTTTCCTTCCATTGCTCTTTTCATTCAATGTTATTTTAAGGGGTTTATTAGATTAAAAAGTGACTAATTTTAGATAAGATTATAAACTATTTTAAAATCTTTAATTTTTTTTTCACATACAAAAAGTGAAAATAATTATGTTCTTAAACATCCAAAATGATGTTTCAGATTAATGGTTTCAGAACTTATTTCTATATCCATTTTTACGGAATAAATTCATATTAGGAAACCCATAACAAAATTATAAGTTTTTTATTACTAAATCTAAAAATATTTTGGAAACACCTTGTTTTATCAAATAACTAATTTGGAATATATTTTCAGAATGTTTTATGGATAGTTAAATCCAACATACATTCTTAAACTACATTTTTTCATAAATTTATTATGAATTGTTGAATCCAAAATATAATTTTAGAAATGTATTTCAATTGTTCTGAAGATTTCTAAAAATCTTCATAATTTAACAACTTGAAACACCACAAATATATTGTATGTATTTTCCACAAAATTTTTAGATACATATTGTGTTATATGACAGAAAACAAAACAAATATATCGTATGTATTTTCTACAAAATTTTTAGATACATATTATGTTATATAACATAAAAAAAAAATTGCTAATTTAAGAATGAAACGAAGGTCTTAAAATGGAGTAATACAAAATAGAGGTACAATTATGAAGATATTGTGAGAGGAAAACGTAGTTCACATTAGGGTTTCTAAGATAAAAAGAGTACAAAAACACATTTTTATCATATATATATATATATATATATATATATATATATATATATTATTTTATGAGGGTGAAAAAAATATGAAAAATACTAAAAAGAAGGAGCCCAAATAAATTGCTTTAACGTTATTATGTAATTGGATTAAATTTGATCAAATTCAATCTTTTACTATTTGGCAAGTTTTGTCAGTTCAATATGATTAACTTAATGTATTAAATCAAAATTATGAAATATAATATTATAATTTTTATTTAATTATTATCTTGATTAAATATGTATTTTTAAAATATTAAATTATTTAAATAATAAATAATGTAATCTATTTTTAAAACAACATTATTTATAGGGTTCCCTGTTATTTCATTAACATTTTTTTCTTTCTCATTTTTCCTTACACATTTCATCATCAATCACTACAATTACATATTTCTCCTGTTTTTTTCTTTTTCTGTATATGCAAATGTCTTATGTATGAGCGTGTTCAGATAATAAGCTTATGCATAAGTATTTACATGAGAGAAGAATAAGGAGAAAACAAAATTAAATAAGTTTTTTCATAATTTAAAATTAATCTATACGTAAATAAAAATTAAACTTTTAAAGAAGTTATATAATTTTTTTTATAAATTAATTTATACATAAACTTATTTTAATATGCAAAAAAATATTTCATTTTTTTTATTCCTGAAATCCTAAAAGTGTATTTGGAGATTCAAACAAGCCCTAAGTTTTTTTTTTTTTTTTTTTTTTTTCAAAACCAGAAACTCGAGGATGAACTTGTATGTTGAAGTGTTGTTATGGATTTTGAAAAGTCCCAGCAATAGGATGAGTACTATGATTATAGTCAGATGAGGAATTCTAATTTCATGATTAATATGTGCATGAAAGTTGGTCGTGTTTCACGTACAAGAGAACATAACAAAACCAGTGTCCGGTTTTCAATCATATATACAAGTAGTACACAAGTCAATGCTACTCCTAAAGTTTGATTATTTATCATTACACAGAGGGAGGTTTATGTTGGTTTTGTTGAGCTCTCAAACCTAATTATCAAAACTTCTTAGCACACAGCAATTATGGTGACAAATATTTACTCACGTTCACATAATTGTTCTCATTATTCATGATAAACTGTGACACAGTCCAATCCATTTCCACATTTGGAACCTGAAACATTTTAGAGATTGCACACATGAGTAGAATGTAACACCACCATTGATATTCAATTATTTTATGTGAAAATTCATGAAAACCATAACAATTTTTCTCGTCGCTGAAATGAGTGTCAAATCGATTTCAACTTTACACATGTATATATGAAGATGGTAAAAAAGTCTTAACCATTACTAAATGTCGCAGGTGTAAATGATAGAAGAATTTTGAAGTGTTTTGGATTTTTCAATTTTACAGTTGTTAGTGCACATCGATCTTTTATAAACTAAAACTCTCAGGAACTTTTTTAATTTTTTTTAATATATATTATATATTTTCCCCTCTCCACTTTTATATGCTTTAATTTTATTTCTTTTTTTTTTTCACTCTCCTCACATTTTTTTTCTTTTCTTTCTCCAAATACATAATATTATAATTTTTTTTTACATTATCCATCCCTCTTTATTATTTCACATATCATAAAAAATAATTATAAACGATTACAAAATATGTAAAAGAATATTTTTTTAAATTGATCTCCTTCCCTTACTTAAAATAAATACAACGTACAATAATGTATAAGCAGTAATCTTAGGAAACTAATTAGAAAACTAATAATATCATACATATATTTAGGAAAATAATTATAAACTAAATATATGTTTACGTAAAATACAATAACAAAATATATTTACATATATCTTAATACACCCCACACTCAAGAGGACAATGGACACTGAGACGGTCCATAAAATCATCAAAGAACACACGCAGAAGTCACTTAATAAAGATATTCGCGATATGATATCGTGAAGGAACACGAAGAACTCGAACCTGATCACGTGCAATATTTTCCGGTACAAAATATATGTCCATCTCAATATGTTTTGTATGTTGATGTTGTACCGGAACACTATATATTTTCTATTATTTTTAAAATATAATTTATATTTCAAGTTTTTATAATTGATTTACACTTTTTAAAACATTATCAACACAGGATGAGAATAAATAATTATATTTAGAATTTTTTAAAAGGATGATAAAAGTAAAAAAAAATACTCTAAATATTTTGTGGTGGAGGAATTATTTTTAAGATAAGGGTAATTAAGAAAGAAAGCAAAATAAAAAAGAAAAGGGGTGTGAAAAGTAAAACGTGTGCTGCAAATATTCACAGTCTAAACGGTTTTCATGAGAGTCAGAAATGTTGCATGTTTTGGTTTCTCAAATTTACGTCTACATGAGCATGAATTTTTGCCAAAAATAATTCTATATAAATTTAAAGATATTGTTTAAATCTATAAAATCCTTTTTTTTTTTTTAGATTTGGTTCATGTAAAGTTTGGTTCTTTTAGTTTCTAAAGTTTAATTTTGAGAAACCATGCAAACGGTGGACAACAGAGGCATGTAAAATATATAAAATCCTTTTTTATATTTTTAACACAGATATCACATGTTAACATTTTATAATATATATTATTTAGAATTATCTCTTCAAACCATACAAAGCGTTAATGCCCGTCCCATCATGGTAACGGGCCGGGTCGGATCGGATCGGATCGGGAGGAGGGCAGGTATTTTTTATGTATTTTTTATATATAAATAAATATTTATAATTTTACCATTTATAATTATTATTAGTTAAATATATTTTTTAATTTATTATATTTATATTAAAATATATATATATATATATAATATTTTTTATTTTTTATTTATACATATATTGAATATTTATATTTATATTATAATAATAATAATAATAATATGTTTAAATATTTAAATATTTATAATAATAATAATAATATTATTATTATTATTATAATATTGTATTCAAATATTTAATTATATATATAAATTAATTTATTTTTAAGTTATCATTTAAAATTTTGAAATATATAATCATTTTTAAGTTGTCAAATTTAGGATATGGATAGATGGTCTCTACCAATATAGATTTAATAACGAAAAAATATAAATAAAATTTAACTTTTTCAAAGATAATAAAACTAAAAGAATTTTTAAAAAATAAAAATAATTTTTAGTAATTATTTATTATTTTGTGTTTAATGATATCTTATATCTTATATTTTCAAACACAAAATGATTTTGAGTCATTTTTTTAAGTGATCAAATAATGATATATTAATTATCTATTATTTAGTATATAATAAAAAGTAGTATATAACTTATAACCCATTATATTATACAATATTATTAATTATAAATTGTTATTATTATTATATAATATAATAAGTTATCAACATGCTTAAACGACAGCGATGGGAGTGAAAATGTTGACAAGTAGTGAGTTGGAAGACGTAAAGAAAAAGGAAGTGAACCCTTGTGCCCATGCAAGAGGGAATTCAAGGTATCTTCCTCCATTTTTCCTTCACATTATTTTCCATCAAAAATCAATAAAAAAATAAAATATTTATTTTTATCATAAAATTGTTTAAATATAAAATGATGACATCTATTTTGTCTCAATGTTTATTTTTTCTGAAAGAAAAAGAAATTCATAATTTTACTATCACTTGATTTGTTGATATATTATTATTAATTATAGTGAAAAAAAGAAAAGAGAGATTGTGGAAGAGTAATGAGAGAATGGGGTTTCTGAGAAGCTGCAGGCATATGGGAAAAGTGTTGAATTTCAAAGATGCTTATTGATGAAAATGGGTTAAAGATTGATATTGAAAGATGAAGCAAACTAAGAGGATGATTGGATAGGTAAGAGTATTAAAAGCATAGCCAAAAATATTAATTTTGGTTAGATTAGGAAAAAGGGTTCAAGGGGAGTTGCATCTTCACCATTCAATGAACCCAGTTCCAATTGTGATTGAAAGTTATGTATGCTATGTTCTATGGATAATCATTCCTCATCACACATTTATAAAACAAAGATCAAGCGTCGTTTTCAATTTCCCTTTGCATCATCATCATCTTCAATGAAACCTTTCACATTAACCCTTTGTTACCCAAATTCACAACATCTCAAAATTCCTCGTAGCAAGATCTGGATTTCAACAAATATCACAAAAGACGTGACCCTTCTAATTTTACATATTTGGTAAGCATTGAGTGCATTTTATAACAACAAAAAACTGGTGTTAAATTTTAACTCTTAAGTATAAAAAATGTCAAAATCATACAACATTAATATTTTTCATTGTTTTAAGAACTAAATTGGTAAGGTCTTATCTAAAATGTTAACACTCATCAATCACTTGTATCCTAATCGTTTGTGTCAACGCATTTACACTAGAAAAGCGTATCGTTGTGAAGGATTAGAAGTAGATTGAAGCAAAGTGAAGCGTGAATGAGACATAACAATGGTAGATAGCTAGGGTTAGTGTGGTAGTAACTAGGTAGCTATCATTGTTCATCACAAATTTTCAACCTCAACTCAACTCAAACTAAACAAGTCAAGCAGGTAACATATTAGAAATTTTTTATGAGGTCCCCTCCAATCTAATTCTGCGTTCATGCAATGTTTATACAACTTCAATTTGATTTCTACACCTTAATTTCTTCACAAATTTTCGTATAATCATGACTCTACACTTTTCTGCCAGTGTTCACTGAACCAAACAATTCTAACATTTTCGTTCATGGAATCTGTTATTTCTGCATCATGTTAATGTCACTCAAAGTTCCTGCCATAGCATTGTATGCAAGATTATTATACTCAATAATATACATACACTCATGATGTTGTTAAACTTGATTCCTAGAATGGCAAAAATTTACTTCATATAAAAAATACAAATTTAATAATAAATATAATAATATTAATTTTTTATTATTAAAATAAAAAAAATTAATTGAATTTATATAATAATATAATTAAAATAAAAAAATCCTAAATTTCTGAAATTTCTATCTATTCGAAACCCTAAAATATTAAATCGTTCGATCTCTCAAATTAATCTGTCTCATCTATTCAAAAACCCTAAAATTCGGAATCCTTCAATTCCTTGATCTAACTTAGAAGGCGGTGAGCAGTAACAAGCAACTGTACAAGGAGCGTGACCAATGTGCGACCTAGGTGAACCTCGTACAACCATCACGCAACCACTATGCGGTTCAGGTGAACATGCGCGACCCAAACGAGTGTCGCGTGACCACCACGCGATCAAAGACAAGCACACAACGATAATTACCGATGACGATAAGCAGCGACGAACAGTGAGAATGAGGGATATTTGAACTTGTGAGAAGAAATGAGGAAAATCGAAGAATATCTAAGTTTTTCTTTAAACTTAGATCTTTTCCTTTAAACTCGGTAACTCGTCTCTAACTCACGACTTTACTCAGAGTCCATCGAGTTTAACTTCGAATTTACTCTAAAATGAGTACTTATATAGTTGACTCATTAATTCATACGAGTAAGCGAATTGACTCGCAAATAATAAATCACTGAATAAGTTTTTGGAATATTTTCATTTCATGTTTTGTATTAATGGCTAATTAAACTAATAGTATGTTTAATACATTATTTTAATTTTTTATTTTACTAGTTGAGACTTTTATTGATAACTTTAATGTTTTTACTACACCATACATGTTTTTAAAATTTTAACTTTTAGGTTTTTAATTGTAATTTACTTATTTTTAAATATTATTTTTATCTATGTTTGCATAAGGTAAGATTTTATTATATTCTTCCCAAAATAAAATTTTATTATATTTGTCATCTCTTTATAAAATAGGTTTAATATTTTTATTCTTTTATATAATCAAAAATAATACATTTTATTTTACTTTTTTATTCAAATATTTTACATTATATTGTTTATTTAATAGATTAAATTTATTTATTGCATAACCTATGATATTCATTAAAAAATAATAAAATAGAACGTAATTTCCTTTCTGGATTTTTATATAACATCTTTCAAGAAGATTCAAAACTGGTACGTATATTTATGAGGGTGACATCGTTTACAGTGAAACTCAGAAGTTTATACATTCTCATCGCTCACATTACAACATATTTTAACGATAAAATTATAAGATTTTAAAACGAATAATATTTCAATTATAAGAATTAAATTTAATAATATTATTAATAATATGAAATTTGTGACATTTTCGAAACTCTATTCAGCGCATAAATGAAAAATTGCTGTGGTAATGTACATGCATATCCAAATAATCTAATTTGCTTCCATCTCTTTTGTTAGAATCCATTTCATCACTTCACTACAACATAAAAAGGATTAATTTATTGAAGAAAAATAATTTTGTTTATATTAATGTTATTTTAATTATTATTTATTATTATTATTATTATAATAAAAAATAAAATAATACACTTAAATAGGTATCATATAATTATTATGGATGTAAAACAAATGATTATTTAAATCTCATTTTGTGCAACATAATATATGTGTAATATTAACTATACTGTATTTTTTGTAATTTTTTTCACTCGTCCAAACATAAATTTATATTTCTATTTTTTTTCTCTTTTTGTTTACACATTATTTTATTTTTATTTTAAAAAAACTTCTAAATTTCTTAATAAGTAGTTTTATGTTGTTTTTGGTATTGAAGTTTATTAAGCTGAATATCATAATTTTTTTACATTTTACCAAAATAGTGTCGTTATGTTCATGATTGCAAGATCATTTGACACATTTATTACTTTTAGTTGTCAAGTCCCTATTAAAATATCTTAGAACTTAAAAATCAACACTTGTTTTTTAATTTTTTTCAAAGCACAATCATGACATTTATACACCTTTTAACTTAACCGAAGAATCAGATAAAAAATAGATAAGGTCTCAAGCATTTTATATATATATATATATATATATATATATATATATATATATATATATATATATATATATATATATATAAAAGAAAGATCCTCAAAATTATGGAGTAATGAATTGTTGTTGACTTAAAAGATAATGTGTCAAATTGTATACTAGATGTAATATTTACGTATTTGTGAGATACATAATATACCTAAGATTTGTCTATAAATTAGAATATTAGAAAAATATTGTTTTATATTCAATCTAAAATTATTATTTTTATTACTAATAGGAGTGGATATTGATTTAGAAATGAATAATATATTTTAAAAGAAAAATTATATTTATGAATTTATTTACTTAAATATTTATAGTAGATTTACTTCTTTTTTTCGTAAATTTTTTTCGTTTATTCTTATTTCTCTCTTATGTTTCTTATTTTTTTCTTTTCTCTTACTTAATTTTTTAATTAAACTACTATATTAAAATTTATTATATCAAAATTTAATAAAAATATTTTAAAATCAATATTTAAATTTAAAAATGATTAATTATTTATTTAAAATTATATGATAATAAATAATTTTTTTTATTTTGTTGATAAGTAATTTTATTTATGATGACATAAATAATTAATTTAAAATTATTTATTATAATAAATAATTATTTATCTAATTAAAAAATATCAAATATTTATAAGTTAAATGTATTTTTTATTTAATAATTTAATCTAATCATAGTTAGTTTGAATTATGGTAATTAGTTAATTGAATTTTTTTTATTAAAAAATACTTTAAAATTGATATTTAATTTTTCTTAATAATTATAATATAATAATAACAGTTATAACATTTCAAAATTATCATATAATATTTTTTAAATATAATATATTAAATTATAGTATTTCCACACTATTTAAATACTTTTATTTTTTAGTAATAATATAGAAATGATATAGTTTAAATGATATATTATTTTTTAAATGATATTTTATTTTTTATTTAATAATTTGACAAAGTCATTTGTCTCTCTGTGATAACGATGACAGTCATAAGAATACACATGTTACAAATGATATAGAAACAATGCATGAACTGAGAGAAGCTACCTATATACACTTTTAAGTATATAACCAAGAAATCTAATTTTAGGAGTGTGGACATGTCAAAAACGAAGTTCAGCCGCTCAAGCATCACATGATGTTTGGACTCATCTTGCTCTAGCTTGCCTAATTGCTTAACGGGTTGGAAACGAGGGTTGGTCATCCAGTAAAGAGGGAAATACTCTCAGTGGCAGATCTTGACCATTGATCTTGGGAGGACCAAATAATATATTATTAATAATTAATAAATAAATATAAAAGAAAGAAAGAAGATGAAAGGGTGAAAGGATAAAATTGTAGATATATACTTAAATATATTAAATGATCATTAAGTTTGAGGAGGACAAAATCATAAATTTTATGAGAGTTACAAAGCGAGGAGAGCTGAAAGGATAAAATTGTAAACAAATAAGTAAATATATTAAATGTTCATTAAGTTTGGAAGTAAAATCATAAATTACATGTAATTACAAAGCTTTGGGAGGTCATGACCACCTCAGCTCCCAAGAAAATTTGCCCTTGAATACTCTACTAGTGAGGGGTTCGATAGGGGGAGCACAAATTTTCATGAATCAACCTTTAAAGTGCTTATAGGACGACTAGAATAAAGACAAAAGTGCTTATAGAGTAATGATATTGATTCTAAAGTAATAAACATTTTCTTTCATGCACATAATTTAATAAAATCATTTTTTTTTCTATTATACCATATATAGTAATTATATGTATATCTAACATTTAAGAACTACCAATTTTATCATATGTTTTCTCAAAATTTTTATTGAAAGTTTCTTTGATATAAATTATGCATACAACATATATATAAAAAACTGAAATGTTATTTTTTCAAAACATATTAAAATAAAAATAATTTAATTACTTTTTCAATGGATTATAATTCAATATATATATCGAAGTGTGAAGTAGGTATAGGTGTTGACGCATAAATTTCATTGGCTATATAAGCGAAGCGTGGGGTTTTCAAAACTAATCCAAAACAGAGCAACTCTGTGACTCGTGTCCCCTGTTCAATCATCATCTTCGATGGATTGTTCTTCCATTCTCTATTCATCAAACTCGTCAGAGTCCTCATTGGGATCCCCTCATCACCACTTACCCTTTAACGAAAACGACCCCGAAGAGATGCTCCTCTACGGCATGATAACCTCACACCAAGAGAGAACTACCTCATGCAGAGTCATCATCAAAGAAGAAGAAGTTAATTCACAGCACAACAACAGCAACAGTAATGGTGTGAGTAAGAGCTTCCGCGGCGTGCGGAGGCGGCCATGGGGGAAGTTCGCGGCAGAGATAAGGGATTCCACCCGGCATGGGATAAGGGTGTGGCTGGGGACATTCGACAGCGCGGAGGCGGCGGCGCTGGCGTATGACCAAGCGGCGTTCGCCATGCGGGGCTCTGCGGCGGTGCTGAACTTCCCCGTGGAGAAGGTGAAGGAGTCACTGAGGGACTTGGATTGCTCTCTCTCTCAGCTTGAAGGGTGCTCTCCCGTTGTGGCCTTGAAGAGGAGACACTCCTTGGGACGCAAAATGGCCGCAAACAAGAAGAAGCGAGAGACTCATGAGAGTGATGGTGGTGGCGTTAGGGTAGATAACGTGGTTGTGTTGGAAGACTTGGGTGAAGAATATTTGGAACAGTTGTTGATGATGTCCTCCGATGATGCTAGATGTACTTGGTGAATCAGATGATTATTATTATTATTATTATTATTATTATTATTATTATTATGATGATGCACCAAGTTAGCTCAAGCTATTTGTTATTATTGTTGACTTTTATTTATTATTTAGTTATATTTCCTTTTTTTTTTTATCATGGCACTTAAGATCGTCATTAAACCCTATGTCTTAAACATTTCTGCAACTTTTGCTTCTTTCATCGCACTCCCATTTGTCAACGTTTATTTATTTCTTGTGTTTCCTATGTTTTTGTTTTCATTTATTTCTTAGGAAATCCTAAGTCTTGAAATATATTTCTACACTTGTGTTAGGAACAACACTCGTCATCACAATGTCATATGTTAGAATGATCAAATCATAGTATTTGAGTTGATGTTTTTGTTTTTGCTTTTCCCTTTAAGTGCAAAATATGTAATTGGAACCTTTTCTTTTCAGCTTTCTTGTGAATCACTTTTTTCACTTGTTTTATAACGCTTTCATAAGAGATTCATGTGTTTTTTATTTCATACAAATTAGCTTCTAGATTTTCTTTTTGTTTGTCACATAGTGAGTTATTTTAAACGTTTTCCATTGAATGTAGGACTGTAATTAGCTATACGCTAGGAATATGCTTGGGAGATAAATTTAGAAACAAATGAAAGAAAGTTAAGTTTTTAGATTTATAATAAATTCTATATGCAAATAATTAGATGATTTTATAGTAAAATAAAATAAAATAATAATTTATTGAAAATTTTCAAATTTATGAAGTAATTTGTTTGTGACGAAGCAAGAGAAGAAATAGAAGAAGTGTTTTTTTGCGATAATTTTACGACGATAAGGATCATAATAAGGGACATAACATTGTTTATGACGTGGTATATGGTTCCTTTTCATGGCAAGGATGTTCAAAACAAGTGGCATAACTATGTTGACGTGGTTGGAACTTTGAGGCTAGGGTTGTCTCGTGACAATATAAAACTAATTGTTTACAAAACAAAGACTCAAATGAACATGGATGAATTTTTTTATATAAACATTTTAAAAAAAAAAAAACTTCTTTAAGTTAACATTAGTTTTGTGTGAAAGGGACCAAGTAACCAAAATTTAATTGTTGAAAAGGGAATTAAAAAACAAAAAAAAAAGGAGAAGAAAAAAAAAAGTGTGACGAGCAATATTTGAATGAAAAGGAAAAAAGGAAAGGGGAAGGAAAGAACCCTGGTAAGTTGGTGGGATTTCCAAAAACGTTATCAAATCGAAGCTAGTAAGATTAATATTAAACTCTTGACCAAGTTTTAAAGACCAATTTTGAAGCAAAAGAAGCTTCTCTTGATTGGATTCTTGGACCAGAATCCAAAATCTTGTGACTTATTTTGAATTTTAATCCTCACGTGGGATTTCTTAGATTATTCTATCCTTCTTAATGTTCTACCATCTTCCCTTGGGTTCTTCTTTCAGTGGTCTTAAAATGGAAAAAATATTACCAATTCTATTGTGGCATACATACCCTCTATCTGTGTTTTTTTAACTAATTTTGAAAATTAAAATTAACATTTGCAGAACAATCACAAAGATCTAATTGCCATGTGATTCATGAATATGAGTGAGAAATTTGATGGTGATGGTCTAGTAATAAGTCAAGTCAAGTGAAATAGATCCAAATTAAGGTGTTTGTTCATTGAGGATTAGCATGGTTAGTTTGGTATTTATTGGAAATTCATGATTTAACTTGGATTCTTTATGGTTCCCACCTTCATGATTAAGTGAATTTGGCTAACATTTTGAAAGAGAAGTACAAATGCTCCAAGTATTCTCATTATATGCTAATCATTATTTAATCACTCATCAAACTTCTTTTTTTTTTTTCAAAGCAAAGAATAATTACAAGTTGGCCGTCAAATATTTAATTATTTTACTATTTTTATCCACCAATTATTTAATAGACGTACCTTAGAAAATATATTCACAAGCCCGTGGATTTTTGGACCCAGCCTTTTGGGCCGAGTCATAAGCCCATTGGCTTATTCTCATCCCCACTTTTCTCAAAAAAACGTTTAGTATATATAAAAAGATAACTTGTATACTCAAACTCTGCAACTGTCACAATCTTATTCTCACTCAAGAAAATTCCAAATCACCAGTGCAACATGTTGCAAAACTAGGTTAGTCACGTAGAAGTTTATTTCACTTTTTCATTTTTTTTTTCTCTTAAATGTTTTCATGAAGACGAAGAAGTTTATTCATACATAGTTTCTACTTTACAAGACACGTCACTTTAACTTCAGTTTTTCTACTTTATCCAACTGGTATCCAAGTTTCAAACTAACATTATGAAAAGTTACATTTAGAGATTAGTTAATTATATTGGACAATACAATTTTTCTACTTAATTATATAACCTTCGATTAAAAAAATTATAGTCAATTTTTTGTAATTATCCACCGACAATGAAAACATTTATTGTATAAAAAATGAGAATAATAATTATGAATCATATATATAAATGCTTCAAATAAAAATATGATTTGTTACATATTTACTTAAAATTAAGCGTTTTTTAAATTCTTATATATATATATATATATATATATATATATATATATTTGAATAGGTTTATGAATTGAAACTTATAAAACTTTATATTAGTCCAAAATTATTTAATATCACACATTTATATACATTAAAATTGGTCTAAACTGTTTATTTTAAACACATGTTTAAATATAAAAAAAATTATTTATCATCTCATTTTTATATATTTTTTTAAATTTAATATAAACAATAAATAATAAATATAATATATATTTATAATTTCACAATTAACTAATAAAATATATTATAGTTATTGTAAATTATTTCAAGAAACACACGGATTGAGAGAAAAAAATATTAAATTACTCTAATAATGACTTAAAAGGTTTATCTATGTTATATAAATCTATTTGAAAGATTAAGTAAGGTTTATCTATGTGATGAGTCATTTTTAAAGGTTTTGATTAAGCTGGGTCTTTTTTTATTTTTTTTAAATGTGTTAATCTAAATTTTTAAATAGAATTATATTAATTTGTAAAATTAAGACTTATTTTTTAATTGCTGAAATTCGTAGGAAATTTGATTTTGATTTCTTAAGAAATTATTTGGTATCCTGACATTATAATATCTATAAATATAATACTAAATATTTATCATAAATTAAAAATTTAAAACATATTTAGTAAATTGATTGAGATTGTAAAAATGTGATAATGCTGAATTATTTAAACCTATGCTTTGCCAACGAACAATTAAGAGTGAATATAACATATTTTTAGTTCAATAAATGTTGGAGACACTACTAAACACACGAGATGAGTGATAAAGGAAACACAAATTCATTTCATCAATAACAATTTTTCACACTAAATTAAGAATAGGAAATTAAATTACACGCATGCACATATTTTTCTTGAACAAAGCAAAAATATTCAAAGCATACACTAACAAACTAATTAATAGAAGAAGATAACATGAAATTTATTTATTTCAAGAGCCAAGAGATTAGACTGTAATTAAAGCATATATTACACAAGAGTGCTAGCATGCATGCATGGTACGTAGAAGCTTCAGCAAGCCCTAGATTAGTTTCCCAAAGGAGGATGCTTCTTCCATGGACTTTTCTTGGGAGGAGGCTTATAGTGGCCATCCTCCACCTTTGTGAGATCTTTGTCTTCTTCTACCTTTGAAGGTTCATTTTGTGTGGTTGTGGGCCACTGTTTTTTAGGAGGGTGATGGCCATGGTCATGGTGGTGGTGGTGGTGGTGGTGGTGATCAGCTAGGGAAGTGGTGGCCAAAAAGGCCATTCCAAGTATTAGCAGTAGGCATAGGGACATATACTTGGAGTACATTTTGGTTCTTGATTGGTTTTTATCTTTTGAGTTCATGGCGCAAATACAAGAGCAATATCATGGCAAATATATAGTGTTGTTCAACCTATCTTCTAATGGCACGTATCTTTATTTTAATGCATTGTTGGTGGTGCATTACTGTCAAGGTTAGTATCTAACTTTTCTTGTTTGAGTTGTACTGAGTGTAATCAAGGATAAGATTAATCGTTATTGCACTCAATGTTGAGTTTGATGAAAATCAAAGTTTGACCCATTCCTCAAAGTTTGATGAAACATGATGAAATATGTAAATAAGAAATAGAACAAATTATGATTAAGTGTGGATATTTTTCAAACTGGTTGGTATATGCATATATAAATAAAAGGAAAACTTGTTCACTCAAACTCTTCATCTGTCAACAATACAAAATCAAAATTTTCAGTTAACCTCATTTTCTTTACCCACTCTCACTAACAGACAAGCTAAATCTTTTGTTTGTTCCAAATTCGAAGATAAAATCGTAAGACTATACGAATCTAAGTGTCTATTATCTGAAGTCATAGGTTTTGAGAGTTGACAACTTTTTCTTCAAACACAAATGTTTTGAGAGATAAACAACATTCATATATCAACTATATAAAAACTGATGTACAAATCACATCTTGTGCTCCATATATACTTTTCAAATCTCAATATGGTCTATGATGTCCCTTTATGAGCCAGAAAAGAAGAACTTCAAAGAATATATCAATTAATAATAGCCAAGAAACAAAATTCTTTGACGCGTCGACTCATACCATAATTCTCATTTGTGCTAACATTAAATCAACTGTTTCATAGATTCTGTGATCCCACACAAGTGCCACATCACACTCACTGCAACAAAAGAAAAAAATGATCCCTCTTGTCTTTATCACAAGACATATTTTATAAGGTATTATATAATTATAATTATTGTTGTATTTTCTATTTTTCCCTTGTAAATATTATAAGTATATATTTTTTTAGTAATGAATAAGATAGGGAATATTAAAAGTCATTAATAAAGAAAATAATTTAATTTATTGGTAATATATTTTTTCAATTTAATAAAATTAACTTAATTAATTAGTTTTGGTGATATGGTACTGTTTCTATTAAAAATATCTTAATTAAGGACGAGACAAAATGAAAATAGGACAGTTTTTTTAATTGTAATTTATTAAACATTAAGGAGCGTTATATCTTTTATTTTTATTAACTACATTTATAATTTTATAAATTTCAATAAATTAAAATAAATAATAAACAGAGCAATACAATGATAAAAAATTGCTTTATGAATGAAACTGAATTATATTTTGAAATTAGTCATTTTAATGTCTAAAAGTGTAAAGTGATACCAATTTAGTTCTAAAAAGAATGAAAATATAATTTATTGACATTATTACAGCATATTTGAAATTACTTTGAAAAAAAAATATCTGACTCTTTTTTGACGGAAAAACATAACTCTGAAAAAAAAAATCAATTAGAAACATTCATAAAACAAAATATTTATGATAGTTAAAAAAAAGGTACTAGAAAGAGTATGTTAAACACTGTTACTGACACTGAGTGACCCAGTAAGCACTTGCACCACGAAATCATACTCCACTTTGTTCTTCATTCCCTTCCTTAAACTTATTCTTCATTCGTTACTTCCCTCCACAACGAGTCTCTAATTGCCTAATAGTTTTGTTTAAATTCTCCTCTTTCCTCAACCGAATATATGCTTGTCCTTTCAATTCAACTGCTACCACTCGTTTCCAAGACACAACCAAAAGTGACCCTCAAAAGATTACATATAAAAACCCGAGGGATTGATTCGCTCCTTAATTTTAGTTGAAGTTATGTCCTGTTTTCTTTCTTGTCCAAATTATGCTACTTATATAAGACTCAACGACATAAGTTTCCTGGCCTTTGTTTTTCCCTTCTTGCATTGTTGTTCTTTGCTTTGGTTGTCTTTGATTTGAGGGTAATGGAACGTGGGGTTCTTGATGGCATCATCAATAGGCTGCTTCAAGTCAGAGGGAGACCTGGGAAACAGGTGCAGCTCTCAGAGGGAGAAATCAAACAGCTCTGTATGGTCTCTAGAGATATCTTCTTGAAGCAGCCCAATCTGCTGGAACTTGAGGCACCAATTAAGATATGTGGTATCTATTTGCCACCCCATTTTGTTTTCTTCTTCTAATTTATTATGTTTTTAAGTTTATTACTCAATTTAAGTATATGGTCATGGATTTGTCTCTAGATCAGTTCTATCTAGAGGAGCTATTGACGTCAATTTTTTAGTTTCATATTAAATAATTGGAAAATGGTTTAGAAAATGCAACTTGGGATAACAAAAAGCAGTCCCTTTGATTTTGAGGCGTATTGTTCATTGGAAAATAATGCATATGGACATGGTGAAACAGAGAAATAGAAAAGAAAAACTCTAGGTATGATAGTTAATTTGATGTGACGAAAAAAGATAAATTGAAAGAAATAATGAGTGTCATATGGGGTGTTTGTGCCATTTAGTTGTTCATTTTTTTTTCTCCATGCATGTGAATGTTTATTGAAAAAAGATAAAAAGTAGGTGGGAGGTAAAGATGATTATATATGTCAGTTGCTTTTTTTATCTTCAAACACTTGAGCTGAACATAATTTGGTCCATGGTTGCTTTTATTGGCTAATGAACAAAAGTTATTGTTGGACATGCAGTGCTACTGATTATAGTGTATCGTATTTAAATTAGAATATCTTGAACATGTGTTGGTCTAAATCCAAGCAACCCATGTCTCTTAAATATCTTGTCCTGGATTTTATCTTGAGATTTCCATGTGTGATAGAGGATTATCACTATCGCACCTATCAATAGTTATTAGTGATAACTGTTGAGTGGAGAATAGTCAGAATACTCTTGGAAACCAAAACACTTAGAATATGTTAGAATTTATAGAATGTGTTAATTTTTACTTTTTGGGAATGTTAAATTGTCTCTTCTTATTCTTGTTTGCTGTACAAGTTTTGAATCATCCACTTTAGGTTTCTTGAATGCTTCACAAAATTATTCTCAGTTCAGCTTGAAATATTCTTACAACTTTATATCTAAACCAACTAAAAATAGAAAGTTAGTTGTCTTCACCGTGACTTTAATCAAGCAAAATTCTAGAAAAGATGTTATGAATGGGTCAACATGTGATGACACAACATTTAGGGAATGAATACGCCTCTTCTAATTCTTGGCAAATTTATTGCACATTTTTCACTTGTAAATAATCAGACGAGAAATTTGCATCTTTACAGGTTAAGTATCTCACTTTGATTGAGAATCTCTGTTTGTTGGTATTCTTTTACAACAATATACAATGCACCCATATGTATCATCTAAGATACTCAGACTTCAAAATATTTAAACTGAAGGATGTTTAGTCAATGAGTTCTTCAACTATGTTTTTGTGCAGTTTTTAACTGGAACACCAAGTATTGTATACATGAATTTTATTGCCTAGTTTTAAATTGTTCAATATAATCGTGTAACTCTGTTGAAACCAAAAGAACTAAAATCGCATAACTGAAATAGATGGAAGGAGAAAAGTACAATTAAGCCTTTTTGTTATCGGTATAAGGTAGGACAAGGAACTAATATCTTGTTTCATTTCACTATGTTACCAGGAGACATCCATGGTCAATATTCTGACCTTCTGAGACTTTTTGAGCATGGTGGATTGCCTCCTCGCTCCAACTACTTGTTCTTAGGTGATTATGTGGACCGTGGAAAGCAAAGTCTTGAGACAATATGTCTTCTTTTGGCCTACAAGATAAAGTACCCTGAGAACTTTTTCCTTCTTAGGGGCAACCATGAATGTGCCTCCATAAACCGTGTCTATGGCTTCTATGATGAATGTAAACGGAGATTCAATGTCAGGCTATGGAAAATATTTGCAGATTGCTTCAACTGCATGCCTGTGGCAGCCATCATTGATGAAAAAATATTCTGCATGCATGGGGGACTCTCTCCTGCATTGCACAATCTAAGTCAGATAAATAGTTTGCCACGTCCAACAGAAGTACCTGAGAGTGGTCTACTTTGTGATCTCTTGTGGTCTGATCCTAGTAAAGACACTGAGGATTGGGGAGAGAATGAACGTGGAGTTTCATATACTTTTGGTGCTAGCAGGGTCACAGAATTTCTTGGAAAGCATGATCTTGACTTGATTTGTAGAGCACACCAGGTTTAATATGCGTTTGATTTTGTAAATTTTGAGTATATGCAATTGTGCAAAGAGTTCAAGTGTTATATGATATGCTTCTGTGTTTCCTTTTGTAGGTTGTTGAGGATGGATATGAGTTTTTTGCTAATAGACAACTCGTGACTATCTTTTCTGCTCCTAATTACTGTGGAGAGTTTGACAATGCTGGAGCAATGATGACTGTTGATGAGACACTTATGTGCTCCTTTCAGATACTAAGGCCTGTGGAACACAGAAAGCCTAAGTTTGGTTTTGGGAGCAAAACTACATTCAAGGCTAGTACTCTTAACAAAAATCTTGGTATTTTAGTTCTTGAATCATGAATGATTGAATACTTTTTTGGTAGTTTCTACTTGTAGTTAGTTATAACATAAGGTGAGATTACTGACTAGTATAACTATATTCAGGAAAGATTATTGGCACACAATTTGCAGTAGGGAATGGTGGGAGTGATTTCTGTGCATAATCGGTCCAACAATGATTTAAGTCTGAGAAACTCTCTGATTTGTACCAGGCCTGACCACAATCATATTAACATTGTTCTTTTGCAATGTTTCTGCAATCGAAGATTGTGTAAAGATAAAAAAAAGAAAAGTAATTGAGAGAAGTGCAGAAAGTGGTGTATAGAAATTGGTGTGCAAATAATATATCCCTTGTTATTGTTAGTGTGTCTAAGAAATAGAGATGGAAGTAGCAATCACTTAGTATTTGAGATGGGTTGTTGGTTAGTCTCTGACTTAGCAAAGCATAATGCTATTGTTATAGCTTAGCTGCTACAATGGCTCATACTAAGTTTGCTGCAAATCATGAAATCAGCATTTGTCATTACATTTATTGTTTCAATCCACGTTTCTCAACTTGTCATATTGAACTGTTCATTTGTATAGTTTGTGTTTAATTCATGGATTAATTGCCGTTTTACTCCCTAAAATATAGCATGAATTCAGTTTTGGTTACTCAAGTTTTTTCAAAAATATATTTTAGCCTCTTAAACTTTGAATATAAGAAATATTAACAATATATTCTTTAATTTGCTCTAATTATTGATAAAAAATTATTGAAAAATATAAATTTCAGTAGATTCTATTTATCTGAATCTCTCTCCTTTAACCAATAACATAGTATGTTCTAAAGAGAGTTTGGTTAAGAAGTATGTTTCCAGTAATCCAATGACAAAAAAACAGAATTTTGTTTGAATAGTTTACCCAGTTGAATCCCATGAAATTCTTCTATCTGAAACACCATCTTTTCATTCCTTTTTCAAGCAGGCAATTCTTGATGCTGCTGGAGTATGACCCCATTGAGCCAACTTAGACCAATAGTAAGGTTTGTAACATAGCATAAATTGACTTGAACAAAGTGATGACTCTGTTCACTTCAATGTGAGGGAAGGTTTCAGCTAGCAATGTGAGTTGAGGTCTATGAAGAACATCTAAAAATTATCTGTTTTTTTTTTTTGTTTTCCATTTTCCCTTTTGAGTATATATAGCTCAATTTCTTTTTATGTGGTGGCTCATTCTTAACATGTATAATGCTGTCACAAATTTAGGGGTCAGGTTTCACTTTTTCTTTCTTTTAGTTTTTGATGTGAGAGACAATTATGTAATTCCCCTTTTTCATGTCCCTGTTGTATTATAAATGGCAGCATGCATTTTGGCTTTCTTTCTTGTTACTGTAATTCAGAAGTATAAAATATAATAAACAATGTGACGATGGTAAAAAACTTTTATTGTCATTGTTTGTTTCTTTCATTTTGTATTTTTGGGTTTATTTCAATATTTCTTATTATTTTCTTAGCTCTGTTACTAACCTAGTCCACTGTAATAAAATGCATATGGGTTGGACTTAAATTTTTGGGCCCAATAAAGCCAAGTTGAAAAGGGTAGTTATTCATGGCACCTTCTTCTTGTACCTTCATAGTTTCTCCCTGTATTTTCATAATTAATTTAAATTCTATTTTACTCTTATACCTGTTTTCATCTTGGTGGATTGAGAATATAGTTCTGGAAAAAAAAATTCCATAAACATGTTCCGGAATTAATTTTCTAGCAATCCAATCCAAAACCTACTTTCTCGAATGGGTTTTTAAAAAAAAAATTGAAATATATTTTCAGATTGATTTTTTCATAAATAAATTCTAGAATATCTAGAATGCATATTTGAATTGTCTTATCTAGAAATACATTTTAGAATAAGTGTTCTAAAATACATATGAAGAAATTAATCAAAAATGCATTTCGGATCAAGTGTTCCAAAATTTAATCTAATTTTTGCAAAATTATTCTGAATAATATGTAATTTCAATATAAAAATATGAAATAGATATATAATATTAACTATTATTTATTTTTAAGTGTTAAAAATGATGTTAAATATAAGTGATAATAGAAAAAAATCAAATCTACAAAATATGAGTAATGAGGTGTAGAACTTTCTTAGAAAAATAAAAGATGGGATTAGAGTTTGAAACAAAATTTATTGAAATGGTATTTAAGAGCTACGAAAAGAAAATGTCTTATTCATTCTCTTGCACAAATATGTTTTTTTTTTTTTTTTGAAAGATTGCGATGGACACAATAATTTTATGAAGCATGTTGCCTATTAGTGTTAAGATATTTTTCTTGGGAAAATTATAAGAGAGGTAATTTCTCGGATTTGATGATATAAGCACGTAATTGAGAATATGAGAGGTAAAATAATAAATAATTAAAGAACAATTTTTTGACCTTCATATTGGTAACATTATTTTTATATGTGCCAATTGTGGTCCACGTCAAGAAACAAAGCCTGTTTTTGAAACTTGTATGTTTTGTAATTATCTTGTTTTATAATTTAGTGTGTTGCTATTATTTAGTAAATATAAAACTGGTTATGGCTAAAAAATCTCACTTGTGTTATTATCATCACTACATATATTTATATAAATAAATTCATTTTTAATAAATTTGAGTGTTTTGTTAACAATCCGTGAACGAATTTCTGTGATACAACTTTGAAAATAAACAAATAAATAATATACACACTAGGGTATTTAAAACTAATTCAAACATTTTAAATTGTTAAACTAATTTTAAAAATTTGGAAATTGAGCAATTCTTAAAAAATTGTATTTTATTTTATTATAGAAGATGAAAATGTAATTATAAATTCGCATCCTAACAATACACTATATATAGTATTTAAAAAATACAAGTAGCTGGATTGAAAGTCCACTGAGAATACAAAAATTTAAAATAAATTAATTCTATATACCATGTCCTTGAACAAGACATAAAAAGGAAAAAAACATGTATAGTATTATTGATATAAAAAAAATCATATATGAAAATGTAATTATTTCTATATTTCATAATTTTCATATGTCAATAACATTATACCCATCAAAAAATCTAATTTCATATTAGATTTGATTTATCTCATTTTGTGAAAAATGAGATTATAAATATAGACAAGAACTTCTAAACAGTTTTTTTCTTATTAAACTAATCATATCTTTTAACTGAAATCTTAATCTATTATAAGTTTTTTTTTTCTTAGGAAAATTTCATGATATAATTTAAATTAGGTTTTCTTTTAGACTACTTGTATAAGTAATAAGATAATTTGTTGGTAATTATTTTCATAATGTTTTAATTAAAGTATTGCTACATATTTAACTGTAATAATGCTTAATTCGCAACAACATTTAAATTGAATATCTTTAAAATCCAATTAAAAATAGGTGCTAAATAGTGATTAGTTATCTGCAAAAAACGTTGAGAAGTTTTAGTCATAAGCTTCAAAAACTTTGTTTATGTTGTTGTTTTCCTCATAAACAATGGATAAACATTTACAAGATTCTGACAAGTTTTGTAGTAAAATTGAAGTGTTCACAATACATTCTAAATCACCTTTTTATCTGATTCTGAAAAAGAATTGATCTAAATAGGATATACATACACTAAGTGATTAAAATAAAACACTAGCTACATATATATGAATTCACTTATCATTCAGCACCACCAATTTGATTATTTTGATGCCTGCAAGTTGCTAATGTGGCAAACCCTAAACGTGAACACTTTTCAATTCTTTGTTAAATCTGGCCGTGGCATCATTGCACCTGTCATGTTGTGGAATCATCATTATTATAGTAGGAATCATCATTATCATGGTGAAATTTAAAATAACTTGTATAAACATCCTCTTCTAATCCATGAATATGTCTTTCCATCGTGACAATATGTAATGAAAAGAAGTTACTGTTTGTTAATCTGATTCTGACCAATCTAACCTTTGCAAAAGGTAGCGTACTGGATTAGAATACTGGGTTCGTGCACGTTAACATCAAGTGTATTAGTTTATATGTGTGAAATGAAAAATCATCATCAAAATATGACGACATGGAATATTTATGAATTTGTGATATAGCTTGTTGCTTGTTGACTGGTTTGCGGCATAGAAGGGTTAATAATTCTCCAAGTAGGATCAGTGAGAGGTATTGCCATGGTTGACAATACATAAGCAAACATTTTTTAGTGTTGTCTGTGAAGAGTTGACATGGAAGCATGTCATGCATGAGCATATGCTGTAGATGCTGATTATATTCTTTTTGACTCTGGAAGCCATTACTTGCTGGTAATGTGCTATATATTTGAATGTCATGCCATGTTCTTAATCCCAACACTTGTTCTTCTTCTACTCCTTGCTAACCAGGTTTGTGCTCTCTCTATCTCTCTATCTCTTTGCAGAAGCAAAAATATTGTGATATTTGACATCACTACGTGCTCATCATGTTCTGGTAAATTTCTGTAAGATAGTTACATCAGTGATGTTAACTACACTTGAATGCTATATGCTCCTAGAAATGAAACAAAATGTATAAAAAAAAAGAAATGGTCCATTATCCCTTTGCCCTTTGTTTATATTTTCAATTCATCGCTTTGTTTCAATTCTGTAATTTCTTCATCAGTTTAGAAAAACTGAAGATTCAAAACCACATAGTTTCTGTTTAGATAAACTTTTATATAAATTAAAAATAATCTTTTAGAGAAACTAATATGGAAATTCTTTTACCAACTTTTTTCATCCAAAATACTTGCATAAAATGCTGAAACTTTTTGAGAATTTTGGCTGAATTATGAAACTGTTATGGCAGATATTTTAGTATAATTAGAGTGAGTTCATTTGAATATCAGTAGGGTTTTGGAAGGAAGAACAGTTTATCCATATCTTACATCAGCCCTTACAAAGTTATTCCAAATGATATAGATTGTGAAATTGTTATTTACTTACACATTTTCTCTTCTTCATGCTCTATTATATAAATTATGCATTCTTCGTATAGATATAATTATAAAATTATATACACAATTCTGAAATACAAATAAGTTATTTTTTAATATTTATTCAATATTATGAACGAATGAGATATGAGTCATAAACAAATAATTCCTATTCTTAATATTACGTCAATTGTTTTTTCTTTCCTGTTTGAGATTTTATATTTGATTAATGATATAATGAAAGTATATAAAAAAGATAGTTTTCACGTTACAGAAATATTAATTTATAAGAATTTATTCAATTATTGAGCCTGTAAGGTATTTAACCATTATTATATTACTTGATGCAGGGAAGTTGTGGTTCTCTCTAGTTAGGTAACAGAGGGTAGCAGTTACAGTAATGGCAGGACAACTGGGAGTGTTGAATGCACTTGATGTGGCCAAGACACAATGGTACCACTTCACAGCAATTGTGATAGCAGGAATGGGCTTCTTCACTGATGCCTATGACCTCTTCTGCATTTCCCTCGTCACCAAGTTGTTAGGGAGACTATACTACACACAACCAGGTGCACCAAAGCCAGGAACTCTTCCTCCAAATGTTCAAGCTTCTGTCGTTGGTGTTGCACTTTGTGGTACCTTAGCTGGCCAACTATTCTTTGGTTGGCTTGGTGACAAAATGGGGAGAAAAAGAGTCTATGGCCTCACTCTTGCGCTCATGGTGGTGTGCTCCATTGCCTCAGGACTCTCCTTTGGGTCAACTCCAAAGGGTGTCATCGGCACACTTTGCTTCTTCAGGTTTTGGCTAGGGTTTGGGATTGGTGGTGACTACCCTCTTTCTGCCACAATCATGTCTGAATACGCCAACAAAAGAACTCGTGGGGCATTCATTTCGGCAGTCTTTGCCATGCAAGGGTTTGGAATCTTGGCTGGTGGAGTAGTGACTTTGGTTGTTTCCTATTCATATGACCGAAAGTACAAGCTTCCCACTTATGAACAAAATCCACAAGCATCTGTGGTGCCATCATTTGACTATGTTTGGAGAATAATTTTGATGTGTGGTGCAGTTCCAGCTGCACTCACCTACTACTGGCGCATGAAAATGCCTGAGACTGCACGTTACACAGCTCTTGTGGCTAAGAATGCAAAACAAGCTGCAGCAGACATGTCTAAAGTGTTGCAAGTGGAACTTGAAGCTGAAGAGGAGAAGTTGCAGAAACTGACACAGGAAGAGGGCCACAACTATGGTTTGTTCAGCAAGCAATTTGTCAAACGCCATGGCCTGCATTTGGTTGGAACCACCACCACTTGGTTCTTGCTGGACATAGCATACTATAGCCAGAACCTTTTCCAAAAGGACATCTTCAGTGCAATTGGGTGGATCCCTCCAGCACAGGAAATGAATGCAATTCATGAGGTACTGCATAAAGTTAATAAATTAGTGATCAAATTTAGGGTCAGGTTACTTTTGTTTGATTATAATTTTCATTTTCTCTTTCTATTTTTTTTATTATAAAATTGCCGTTTGTTTAAAAATCAGTACATGAGAAAACAAGTTTTCAATATTTCCTTTACATGTTGGGAAGCATAAAATAAATTATAGATAAAGTGTTAATTTTGTAAATGAAGAATAAAAACAAAAGTAGAAACATAAAATGAAAGCAGAATTACACAGTCCTCGCATTTAAAAAACAATCATGTATGAATTGTTTGTCACTGATTTCAATTTTTCTTGTAGGTATACAAGATTTCAAGAGCACAAACACTTATAGCATTGTGCAGTATTGTGCCAGGTTACTGGTTCACAGTGTTATTTATTGATTACATAGGCCGTTTTGTCATCCAATTGATGGGGTTCTTCTTCATGACCGTGTTCATGTTTGCTTTGGCTATACCATATGATCATTGGACTAAGAAAGAAAACAGAATTGGGTTTGTGGTGATCTACTCTCTCACCTTTTTCTTCGCCAACTTTGGTCCTAATGCCACCACATTTGTTGTGCCAGCAGAGATCTTTCCTGCAAGGTTAAGGTCAACTTGTCATGGAATCTCTGCAGCTTCTGGAAAGGCAGGTGCAATTGTGGGAGCATTTGGGTTCCTATATGCTGCACAAAGCAAGGACCCTTCCAAGACTGATGCAGGGTACCCTACAGGGATTGGGGTTAAGGACTCACTCATTATGCTTGGGGTTATCAATTTCTTTGGAATATTGTTCACCTTGCTGGTTCCAGAATCAAAGGGGAAGTCACTGGAGGAGTTGAGTGGGGAGAATGATGAAGATGGTGCTGCTGAGTCTGAAGTGTCTTCTAGGATAGTTTCTGTTTGATTGAAGTTTAACTTAAGTTTGTGTTCAGCAAAGTGCTTCAAACTAATGTTATATTTGTACATTTTCATACTTTTGGTTGTGACTTGTTCGCAGTTGCTCCATGATTTGGGGGTGTTAGTTTGTATGTTCTTTCTTTTTCTTTTTGTTGAAGATAAAGTCCTGGTAATTGTACCTTTTAAGATAAATATACCAAGAGTATATATTGACCGTGTAACTATTTTACACTTATGCCATCACAGTCCGTCATATAGAAAGTTTGTAAATTTGTTTGATATATAGTTAGTCCTAATATTTAGAAAAAAAATATATCAGTAAGATATAAAATCTTCTGATAGAACATTTTCAGGAAACTCATTATTTTTTATAATAATATCGAGGTTTTTCTAAGTTCTCAATCATTGTGTAATAATCATAAAAATGTATTATACATTCCTTTTAAATTTTTGCAATTTCTTGGTAGCAAAATGAAGATGTGAAAATAGTGTGCTAAGTTTGGAGTTTTCTATCAATCATGTCAATAATATAAAAACAAAAATATATTCTTTTGAAAGACTTTTGATGTGTGAAAAATGCATAGCAGGTTGATACAAAAACTCTATCTTGTATTATATATTTATTGGAAAATAACTTCTATAAACTAATTAAGAAACATGCATGCTATAAGCAATATCTAACAGGTTTATTTTAGCGGAGTTAAAGATTGTTGAAAGCAGATGTCACTGCACACTAACTGATATTGTTTCAGTTGGTATCATAAATGTATTAACTTTTATAGTAGCTATTTTAAGAGTGAATTTAATAAATATTAAAGTACAATAATAAAAATAACTAAAGATAGATTTTAAAGTTACATGATAAATATTTCTTTTCCTGTATAATTTTTGGTAAACAATGAAAATTACAAAACAATTTAATGAAAATTTTACTATAATATGTTTCTAAATATTAATAACCTTGACAATGAAATCAAGCATATATACATTAACGTGAGATAGAAGATAAAGGAAATTAATTAAACAGAGACTTAAAACATTAAACTGTAGAACTTAAATATGGCACTTTTGTTTTCCCCAGTGATTAGTGTAACTAACACTAATACTATATACTACATTTATGATGGGAAGCAGCATCACCCTCCCAAAGCTCCTGCATTGCAATCATTAACTATTAGCAGCATACCAATGAATGCCCACAAAGATGTCACAAGAAACTGCATTAGACATCTTCCAATAGAAACAGTTTTTTCCCAAGAGATAAGACATAAATCTGAATAGTTTAGAATCTTTCATGAACTACTGAACATGCTTAACGTTCTTAAGGAGCTCCTTAGTAAGACCCTTGCAAATATTGTTATACTCACCATCTTTGCTTGAACTATTTTCCATATCCAGCTGATCTTGCCATGAGCATCTCATTGGAAGATGAGGAACACTGTTGTTGTGGAACAGAAAATGAATGAGTGCTGGAACTCTGCCTCCTGCATGAAGATTCAGCTGTAGAGGAAACCTCTTGATCAATGGTTGATACTCCAGTATCCTTGCTAAGCTTTTGTGAATTATTCTGCTTCTGATTGATATCTGCAGATGATTTTAATCTTTTTCTATTAGGAGGATCATTCTGGGGATTGTGAAGTGTTGGCACCTTTTGATCATTAGATGAAGAAATGGGGCGTGGAGCCTTGTCCTTCATGGAAACTTTTGGAATGGCCAAGTTTTCACTATCATCAACAACTTCATGTCTCTCTTCTGAGCCAGACCCTTTTGAAGCTGCCTCATTTTCCCACATCTTGAATATAGCTTCAGTCAATTGTTCTCTTGCCATATCTATGTCAATGATTGGTTTTGGATAGTTTTGTCCCAACTCAACTCCTGATGCCCTTAGCACAGTAAGGGGTGCATTCCAAGGGTGGTGAATCCACTCAGCTGGCATTCTTGCCAACTCAGGTAGCCATTGACGTACATACTCGCCTTCTGGGTCAAATTTAGCCCCATGAATCTGTTCCCCAAGTGAGCAAAAATTAGAGAAGTCAGAGTGCTAGCATAAATGTGTAAGGATTTTCCTATGCTTCGAATGAGTAGTATTTTCTCCTTGTAATATACATTTTAACCAAAAGAGGATCTTGTTATTTATCTTAACATAAAACCATTCATGATCTTCTCCTAATAGCTTAAAATTTAGCATAGTTGGTTAATGATATGGTATACAATAACAATAGTAGAATTTGAGGTTACATACTGGCATACCATACCTTAACATATTATGAATCACAACATCGAATGAACTAAGTCAAGCAGAAATCAGATATATGCCACTTCAAAAATTTGTAAATAATAAAAATGAACAGACAAATGTCAACAGATACCAAATGATTGCATTAAAGAAAATCTGAATTAAAATCTATAGTATTTTACTTCCACTAGAACCAAATAAGTCTAGGAAGCAATTTCAGCTGCAATTTGTTTTGTCAAACTCAGATTTTGATGTTGACAAATGAGGAAGTAAAGAGGAAAAAAAGGAAAGAAACCTCAGTTCAGAAAAATCAAACACAAAAGTAAATTCTAATATATTATATAAATTGTGTTGATTATAGTGAGAGTTGAAATCTCCTATTGAGTACAAACGGGGAAGGTAAATGACTTGAAAGTAAAAAAGATCCATAACCTAATATTTTAAAGTTTTGGATTGAAGGTTATTTTATATTCTATTATATGATTGAGTGTAGTCTAATTCGTGAGAATCTGACCGTATTTACTCCCTTTGAAAATACCCAATAAACATACAAGCATAAAAATGAATATAAATTATGAATTTTAGGTACTTGCATCCTACTATCACAAAGAAAATAGTTAAATCTACAAGAAAACATGACATACCGCAGGATCGTCCAAGCGCTCAAGCTTGTGCCCATCAGGTAAGCAACCTGAGATATACTGCCAGCCCAAAATATCACTTTCAAGATCTGCATCCAAAAGTGTGTCCCAGAAGTATTTCATTCCCCATTGCCATGGTATGAGCAACATTTTCACTGCAAAACTAGACACTATGACTCTTATTTTGTTGTGTATCCATCCTGTTGCCCATAGTTCTCTCATTCCTGCATCAACTAGAGGATAGCCAGTCCTACCTTGTCTCCAAGCCTTAAATTTTGCAGGATCAGAATCCCAAGGAAAATATGTCAAGTTCCCAAGCAGTGGCTTCTCTACTGTGAATGGGAAATTGAAACAAAGATAACGCGAGTACTCTCTAAGTCCAATGGCCCTGAGAAAGAGAGTTACACTCTCTTCACCAGCATTGTTTCCTTCATTTGCCCATAATATCTGCTTGGTACGCGCCAACTGAAAAACTTTCCTCACACTCAGTTCTCCGAAATGAATATATGGTGACAAGAGTGAAGTGGAGTCCCCACCAACCTTTAACCTGTTTTTGGAGTAGTGAAGTAGGTGGTGTTCAACAAATTCTGTTAAAGCCTTGTCAGTCTTGTTCCAACCTGGACACCATGCTCTTCCTAACAATGCATTGCTGGATTTCTCTGATTCATCCTCAAGACCAAGACGTTCAATTGAATATTTCCCAACTTTTCCTGTCATTACTGAAGAAGAGAAGCAAATTTTCATCTGAAAGTTTTTTCCCTTTTTTTTTTTTTACGTCTAGTGTTTCATGTATACACATATATGTGAATTTGTGGACATGGTATAATATAACAAAAACATCATCACTTAGCTGCTTGTTGTCACAAGCAGTTATTATATGTTCTCATATTCTCATTGGTTTTAATATCTAAACTCCACTAAATCCTGATATAAATTTTCATATCATCAAGAAAGTGTTATATGAATGGACTGTAATTTTATTTTTTCTTATAATTATTATGTTTATTTATTTCGGTCAATTTACTTGTGTGAGTAGTATTGATTAGTCATGAATTTATCCTGGTTTTAGACAAATTTGTACTCTAAATATAGTGGGCACAATATTTTTTTGATAGTAAATATAGGTATAATGATGGGTTGTTATTTCTTATTTGGCTTTAAATGGTTCCGTATGGGAAACATAACATGACTCTGCAGTAAATACGAAAATAGTTTTGCTTCCCTTATTACTCTTCTCTTCTTATGTTATGGTTCTGTTTTATGTTTTTATTGTTAAAGTTATCTTCATTTAGCATAAACAAATAATATCATAGTAGGCTGATTATAGTGGTACCTTCAGCTAGAATTAGTTGACAAGGAAGAATAAGTGAAAAAGCTTGGATTTGCATATGCGAACATCTGTTCCAAAAGGGATCAAAAGCTGTAAAAGCAAGTCCACTCTCGTCATATATATTCCATGGCTCAAACAACAAATCTCCATTGTAGCTTTGCACAGATATACCATGTTCCACTAGTTTTTCTTTGATATTGTGATCACGAACAAGCGAAACTGGATCTGATAAAAGAGTAGTAATCATATAAAGTGTCAACTAAATGAGTTAATATAACATTAGTCTCATGGTAAATAATATCCTTCAGAATTTGGTATTTAACGAAATCCAATGGTATTGTGTGATCCATTGAGCCAATCTCACGTATTGAGATATAAGACTTCTATTTTACTGTTGTATTCAAGATGAAACTCCTCTCTTTAACACCCTTACGCTTTAAAGTACAGGGAAGAGTAACTCAATACATTGAATAATTCTAAAAACAAGGTCCAAAGTAGTAAGGACTACGGATCCCAAGAAATTTCGCAACATATAATTTTCTTAAGAATTCTGTCTCCACCACAACAAACAGGTCACTTAAATAATTTTTGTTATCTGCTATATGATTTGTATACAAGTTCAAAGAATCCTCAATTTTTGGGGTTTCAAATATATTAATAATACCAAATTGCATAATACTAGGAAGCAATACTAATATGGCTAGAACCTTTAACAAAGTAATTCTGTCAAAAGCTATATGTTGTTAGACAGCAAAACTTACCATAGAGATGGTTAAACACTACTTTTGTTGCTTGAATTGCATTTGCACATTCCAAAAGAGCCCCAAGAGTACTATCAGTTTTGATCAGCACAAGTTCAGCTCCAAGTGTTTTCAGTGAATTACCCAACTGAGTAAGAGACTGTTTCAGCCACCACCTCGACACTCGGCCCGGGTAAAACTGTCCTTCCTCTTTGGGGCACCAAATATAGACAGGGAAGACAGAGCCATCCCTAGCAGCAGCAGCTAATGCAGGATTGTCTTCAATTCTAAGGTCCCTCCTAAACCAAACAATAGTCTTGCTGATACCCATAAAGGATTCTTCAAATTTCACATGCCATAGCCAAAGCCTTAACCCTCGTCAAACAATAAGTACTTCACCTTAAGTTTCCTTTTAACACAAACAAGCAAAGTGCTCACCTTCAAAACTCTATGGTTTCCTATCGAATATTCTTACCAGCCCAACACAAGACAAAGCAGCTGAAGACCCTGGCACTGGCTACAAAACCTTGGATCTGAAATTTTCTCAATTACACAGCTATTTATAGCATCAGAATCAGAAAGGCTCAATTCACTGTCAAAAAGGACTTAACTCGTAAGATATGAGACCAACAAATTGATTATCTTATCTGAATCTCCAATTCCTACTCCTTTGCCTCTTTGTTTTCTGTATGTCAAGCAACCTAAATCCAACTCAGAAACATTTCCCCACATGTTTCGTACACTCGTCAATCTAAATTCTAAACCCCACCAATGATAAGAACGTGTAAATGGGAAATCTCCAATTATTAACCAAAGAGACTAAAGATCAATAAGAAGGTTCTGGTGCATATATAGCACGGTTCACCTCAAAATCATAAACAACAAACCAAGAAAGACTACATATTCACAAACCACTAGAAATCCTTAGAGACAAAAAAGATGACTAATTTCATACAAACTCTTCAACGCAAACCCACTACAGAACTTATGAGCTAGATGTCCAGTGTTTATTTAACCCTTCATGAAGTTTTGCTGAAGAATGGTCAAGCAAGGACCAAATGAAATCCAATTTAGTGTAAATTAGGCTTAGTTAGCTAGGTAGACTTTAATGTGAATTGGCAGAAAGTCAAAAGTAATTGAATCAGGACATTGTGTTTTTCCAAACTTGTAAGGAGAGGATCCCACCAAAGTCTAAGTGTGTGGATCACGTGTGGGAGATCGCACTGGAGAACGCTCTACGCTGGTGATAATATAAGAAAATTATTCTTTCTTTGATCTCATGTTTAAAAAGTAATCATTGTCCACGCAGATATTTGTTTTTTCTTGAGTTCTATTCATAACAAACCAGTAACATGGGCCAATAAAGGTCCAATTTAATAGGCTTTCAATCAGCCCAAAAAGAAAGCCTGACACAAAGATCACTTGGGAGTGCTACTTTTCTATTTTATTTTTTAATTTTATTAAATATTTATATATATTTTTATTTCAGAGTATTTAATTCTAAATCATAATATATATATATATATATATATATATATATTTAATTAATTAAAAGAATAATTGAAGAATAAATAAATATTTTCTGAAAATTTTCCGTTGAAGGAAAAATGTAAAATGCAACTTATATGATTATTTTTACAAAATCTCATGGATTATTAACTCAGACATTCATGATTCCAATTTATAAAAGATTATTTATTCTCTGGTTTTGCTATTCACAAGAAGATTTAATTTTTTCCTGATTTAGTGTTGGAACACATCATAACCAAGTTGACGTTTAAATTGAGGGTGGAAAAATCAAACACATTCAACAAGACCCTGTTAGAATATTATATTTTTGCTACGAAATGAAGTTCAATGTTTTAGTTCATTTTCCTGTGAAGGCTTATTTATTTTTTAGCATATAAATCTATCCTTACATGCCTTGTCGTCTAATAATGCATGATTATGTACCTTCATCTTTTAATTAATTATTATTGAATATGTCCAAATTATCTAGCAGACAAATTAAAAAACGACACACGTGCTAACATTTTTTTATAATCATTTTTAAATATGTTTTTTTTTCAAATGCATGTGGTCGTCTAAATTAAAAATTCCTATATTTTATTAATTAGCGTTCCAACATGCATGCACTTAAAAATAATAATAATAATAATAATAATAATAATAATAATAATAATAATAATAATAATAATAAAACCTAACTATAAAGATTAGTTAACTCTCTCACGGAACGGCTTTATCTTTTAAAGAAGAAAAAGACACATAGAAAGTTGTTTTGAGTAATGTTTACAAATGTTGGAAAATTTATCAAAATTGATTATAGTCCTCTCTTTTCTTACTAGGAAAAAAAAACATTTTAAATTTCACTATTCTTATTATAGAATTTATTTTTATACATTATAAATACAAAAATAAAAAATATTTATAGATATAAAATAAAATATTCGCTTATTTAAAAAATAAATGTATTTTTTCATTGAAGATCTATTTTCAACTTTATCATTATTCTTTTTTCATCTAATTTAGAATAATAAATAAGTTAGTCCATTAGATTAAAAAAACTAAATGATAAAATCAAGAATATATCTCTTCTCTTATTCTTCAAATAAATAAATTATTTTCCATATATATATAAAAATATTTTAAAAGGTGATATTTTTAAAACATGTTAAAAAGATATTCTTTTCAATGAAAATTTAAAAAAAAAAAACAAATTTTTTTAATGTTATTTCACATCCTCAGACAAAATTTAACCAAATAAACAAGAATAATTTAAAATAGATTTGAAAGCAAAAGTTTTTTTTTTTAATTAATTTATTTTAAATTTAATTACATTTTTAGATGCAAATGCATGACATACATGTTTATAAGATGAACCATGACAACTGTACGATGTTGTGTCTGATTATCATATTTTTTTAGTGAGAATTGACCAAAGACATACATAACAGTATCAATAAAACATACATGGCTGCTTTTAACTTAAATCCTATAAAGATATACTAATGAAAAAAACATGGTGGAAAAGTACTATATAATTACTTTATGTTTGGATATGAAGTAATAATTCTAGTAATTCTTGATATATGTAAAATGAAAATTATAGACAATTTATAAATAATTTATTATAATATTCTTTTATGATATAAAATTATGACAGAATCATTAAATTTAAAATTAAAAAAAATCTTGAATTTAATGATTATAAAAATATTAATATATTTAAATATTACTATAGTGTGGAATGAAAAATTGAATTTCTCACGTAACTATTTTGATTTGACTAAGTTCTCATCTACCCATAACCAATTCGAATTCGAGATCTGTAACTTGACGTTAAAAATATTTTGAATCTGGTTTTCTTGATCTCCATATTTATATTTTATACGTCATTTTAATAGCTTACGTATAACTCATAATATTTAATTTTTTTAAAATTTCATTATTAAAATTAAATCTCAATAAAATATAACACGAAAATGATGAGAGATTCATAAATGAAATAATTCAAATAATTTAAGTAAACTGAAAAGATTTTGAAGCTAGTTTTTCATTTTTACTTAAATATTTTATATATATTTTTTCCAGTGAATCAAACTTCAATATAGGTTTAACTTCTAAAACAGGTTTACGATAATAATCATTGAATAAGTTTTTTTCTTATACGTTGTTTTTTAATGAGATTCGACAACTTAATTTTCAATGTTAAGAAATTATGAAACCTAAACGTGAATAACTAAAACTTGATCAACATTATGAAAAAGTTAGAGTATGTGAGGACTAAAATATAATAAGTCATTATTCTAGCTTTTGTTTTAATTTATTCCACTTTTGTTACATATTTTGAAACTGAATAAGGGTATTTGTTTGATATTTTTGAGAAAGAAATATTGAGAAAATATTTATTAATGCACTACAAAACACACAAAAAATAAAATAAAATAAAATATTAACACAATATTAGGGACTCCTAGTATAGAATTTATCATGACAATCTTTGCTTCCTTAATGCTCATAATTAACACAAAATTTGAGCAATTTTTTGTGGACTAAAAGTGTTGTTTAAAGAATTATTACATAAATAATTCAACTTTTGTTAAAAAATTAAAAATTAAACAGATTTATGATGACTCTCTTAACATGTAATTATTACTCTATTGAAAAACATTGGATCTCTTTCATTCCACCACCTTCATTATAAAATGAAAAGTTGCTTAAAATTCATTATCTCATCTATGTTGAAGGAAGAGTAAAATAATTCATTGTTAGGAAAATATAACTTTTCACCTTTTTTTCTTAGTTTTTAATACAATGATAGTCATCAAAATATGATAGGAATCTACATAGTTTGGCTTTATTAATGTTATAAATCTTTAGTAAAAAAAGCTATTAAGTGTTGAATAAATAATTTAATTTTTAAGTGTTCATAAAATAAGAGGTTATTATGTAATTATTTATGTATAGAATGTTTTACTTTTACATTTAAAGTATAGATATTGTTAAATTGTTTATGTTTAATCTGAAAAGGAATATCGCGATTTCTTGTTAGTAATGATAATATCTAACGATTCTCATATTAAACATATTATCATTAAAAAACATTTTAGACTCTCAGCTTGAGTATCAATTTAAGGAACGAGAATGTTCTAACATTATTTTCACTCTAATAATATTGTTAGAGTTAATTCTTACATCTAATAATATCATGTGTCGCTATAAAAATAATGAACAACAATTTCAAAATAGATAATACTTCAGAATTAGAAATTGTCTCTAATAATATTATTATAGTGAATATGAAATTAAGATACTCTTGTTTCTTAAACAAAATAATTCTAAATATAAATAATTGAATAATAATTTGCATAAGAAAAATTTGTTAATAATTTTAAACTATACAAAGTTGCTAAAAAGCCAGAACATTAATAGTTGTACAAGTTAATGCAATTCTAAAATGTCGACAAAAAACAATATTACTAATTAATGCATGGCCAACAAAAGGTCATATAAGAACTCTTGACGGAAAAATAAAAATAAAAAAAAAGCTATAAAAATGAATCTTTGGCGTAGAAACATTGAAAAATATTAAGATTTTGTATTTGTTGATCTTAATTTGAATGTTTGGATAAGATTTGGTCTGAAAGAGACTGCAAAATGCAAATGGGCCACTTCTAACAGTGGCAGCAGAAATCAAAGCACGTGACTTCAAAATTGTCGTTTCGTCTTATGCATGGATAAAGCATAACATTTAAACATGCAATGTGATCCGAAGCTGATTGATTTTTTTATTTTTTATTTTTTTTAAGTTTTGGATTCAACTCATATATTCTTTTATATAATTGATTTATAATCTCATTCATTTAGTATACTTATTCTATTCCAAAATCTAACAAGACTCTCTTTCTGAGTTCTTATGTAAAAAAACTAGGTTTCAATCCAATTTTAATTCTAATAACATGGTAAACGTGTGGTTTTTATTTTTATCAAGATTTAATCTTATATTTCGACACATTTTTTCACAAATACTGAACTCAGAAGAAGAACAGTAAGAACTCATTCAAGAAGAAATAACAATATTACATGATCCTAATCATGACTTCCAATTGATGATTAATTGGGAATAATAAAACTTTGATGAAAATAGTACAAGTCAATTAAAGTCTAAAATTTTACTAAAAAGAAAACCTAATAACATGATTTTCATAAATTATATATTTTCTATGAAGTAGCTCTCTACTCACCGTTTTGGACTTTTAAATGATGAAATGAATCGACACAAAAAACGTCACTTACAATCAATCATACCTAAAAGACCTTTAACCCCTTACATTCTTATCCTACACACACTTCACAATAATATTCAACCCTCAGTACGACAAAGCGTGACGTCTATTGAAATTTCAAATTATTCCCTACCCTCACTTAAATACTGTTGTTACATTTTTTTTATATATAAATATTATTTTTATTAATATCTATGGTAAAATAAATGTTTGATTAATTTTTATATTTTGCCTACGAGATTTAGTTTATATACATATATTCTTAATTATTTATATTTTATAAGACAATATTTAAATTCTGATATTTATTTTATTGTAAATATATATATAATTTGAAATTTATAAATATATATAGGGAGAGAGAGAAAATGAGAGATCCTCCATTTCCCAGAAGCTGCAAAAGCATGAATGGTTTGAATATGAAAAGGGTTTGATGAGGTCTTTGTCTTGACCATTCTTATCATAACAGTGGCGTGCGGAAATATCAGAGGATGTATAAATAGGGATATGAAAGTTGAAGAATCCTTGCAGAGCTTACAAAGTGGCTACAACTTCACACAAGAGTAAAATTTAACCTAATCATAACATAAATAATAATATCATTCATTCCAAGGTTTGAAGATGGTTAGAGCTCCTTGTTGTGAAAAGATGGGGTTGAAGAAGGGTCCTTGGACCCAAGAGGAAGATCAAATCCTCATATCATACATCCAAAAACATGGCCATGGAAACTGGCGTGCCCTCCCAAAGCTTGCGGGTACTTCGCTTTCGTTCATTTCTCAACTTCCACTTTTTGGATAATTTTTGTTTTTATTGATTCTATTCTGGCTTCTTAATTCGGACCGTTCTCAGGGCTGTTGAGGTGTGGAAAGAGTTGCAGACTAAGGTGGATTAACTACTTGAAACCAGACATCAAAAGAGGAAATTTCTCAAGTGAAGAAGAAGATGTTATCATCAAGATGCATGAGTTGCTCGGAAATAGGTATATGGTCCTTCATTTCTTCTTCTGTTTAATGACATTCGTAGTTTTTTCTTAACTTCATGAAAGAAATGTTCAAAATAATAACAATAATTGATGACTGTTTATCATGGTTCTTGTCTTTTTCTTCATTTCTTTGCAAGGTAATCAAGATTTAGTGGTTTAAACAGCATCAATGTTGATTATAAAAAGGAATGGGTCCATTAATTATTAGTACAGACAAAAGAAAAACCATCAAATGTTATAGCAAATTAAGGATTGAATGATCTATTAATTGACTTTTATGGCTTACTTTAATTAAACTATGCTATTTTTTTACTATATCTTAATGAATGCACATAATATTTAATTAAATATTTTAATAAAAATGGCTTAATATTTAGTCATAATCATGCATTACTATTATTATATAAAAACCAGTAGACATTGAGTAGGGTATAGGAGGTTTCTCTCACTTTTTATGTCATTTCTTTTCAGATTACATGCAACTTTTTAACATATGCTAAGTGCATGAGATTTATTAATCAATGGAATCCAACTTTGTTGTTTTCTTTTTCACTTTAACAAAGAATCTGATGCAAAAGTTGTCGCAATTCTTGTTTTTCAGGTGGTCAGCAATAGCAGCAAAACTACCCGGAAGAACGGACAATGAAATTAAGAATGTGTGGCACACTCACTTGAAGAAGAAGTTGCTGAGTTCAGATGCCAAAAGGGTTTCCAATCCAAAAATCAAACGATCCGATTCCAATTCCAGCTCCCTAACTCAGTCAGAACCCACATCATCATCAGCATGCACTTCTTCCAGTGATTTTTCATCATTCAGTGAAGGAACCAAGAACATGGACAGCACCACCATGATCAAGAGTGAAGATATCGAGTCTGAGGAGACAACAATGCCTCCAATTGATGATAGCTTTTGGTCAGAAGCAACAGTTGAATATGAAAGCTCCACCATGATGATGCCATCAAATTCTTGGACAATTTCAAATGAATTTGCACCCTCTCATTACCACCAATACCAATTTAATTCAGTTGAAACCTTCCAACAACACAGTGTTGGCTATAATGATTCAAACTTTGATGATGGCATGGATTTCTGGTATGACATATTCATCAGATCAGGAGAGTCAATAGAATTGCCAGAGTTCTGATCAAATTTTCATCCAAGGGTAATTAAACTTGGCACACAGAAATTTTTTTTGAAAAAATAATTATGATTATGTTATCAAATTGAATCTGACTGTTATTAGGAATCAAGTGGGTACACATTATTAAGAGTTAGAGTGATTCATTGAAAAAAGAAATCAGTGAAGAGCAAAAAAAAAAAAAAGATTATGTTGTGTAATATATGCATAAAAAGAGGACCAAAAATATGCAGAATCAAAAGGAAAACACTGACTTTGTTTGATGTATATTTTGCAATACTTCATTTTTCTTTTGTTAAAAAAAAAGTTTCATTAGGTTAGAGCTATTCAAATTGTAATAGCAATAAATGTAAAAGAATAGAGAATTCAATTTTTTTACTTCTTTGTTGTGTTTTATTGGTTAATTTTCTGTCTGCTTGTCCTTTTTGTTTGAATTTATGTTCAAACACTTCACTCATGTGGATTATTAACTTTGAAGTGGTCCACAAGAACTTGCAACTTGCAAGTTATTTTGGCTGATTTGAAAAGTAAATTCCCACCTAATGCTTTAAAAATCACTTGACCTTATCCTCTGTATAAACTATTAACGCATCATTTTAAATAAATAAATAAATAATTATCTGTTGAAAGATAAATTTATTAACTTTTATGATAATAAGCTGGATAATGGATATGTGTGATCCATGGAGTACATGTTTATGATAATATTAAAATAATCTTACTCATCAAAGAACTAATCTAATTTAATTTTATTAAAAATATCATATTTAGGTTTTTCAGAGAGCTTTTTAAATTAAAAAAATGTCAAACTTCAGACTTTAGAAAAAAACATGTTAGATTTTGACAAAGTGATTTGTTCATATATAATAATATTATATAAATATAGTATATATAAGTATTAATATTAATATTAATAATAAATTTTATATTAAAAATAATGTCAATTTAAAATTTCGAAAGCGTTAATGTATATAAAGTTTTGAGTGATTCATGATTATTTATTCATATTTTCAACCCTAAGGAAATAATAATAAAATTATTAGTTTAATCAATACAAATATCATATTTATATAATACAAGAAAAGAAAGAATAAGATTACAACAACTAAAATGAAGAGAAATAAAAAAAAATCAAATATAAGTTAAACAAGTATGCAGAATTTTATTACATTATTTAATTATAATTATTAGTACAAATTTTAAGATAAACTAATAAATTTATTATATATAAAATTTATAATGAAATAAAAATAATAAATGTATTATACATAATATTTATATTGTCAGTACTATTTTTGATTAAGTTTTCAAAATTACACTTTCTATTACATTTGATAAACACAAATTTATTTTGGTTTCATTAATTTAGTCATATTTTTTATTAAATAATTAAGATATTTTGTAAGATTTAATTATTTTATATTTTAGAGGAGTTGATGTTTTATGGTGAATAATACCATGATGGTTGAAGGACAGTTTTTTAAAGTTGAGAGAGACTAGATTCTTCACGTACAGAAATATTTTGAGGCTTTGTGTCGATACAAAAGAAAAAGGTCAAAAGATAAATTATCTCTCACCCATCATTTGGAGTGTTTGTCTTGAAAATATAGAGAAATTATCTGTGACAAATTTTGTGACTGATGATGATGATAGAACTAAAGCTAGTTGAGAAACTCCGAAATTTTGAAAGAGATACGCAAAATTGAAGCAATAGGTTAATAAGAAGCATCCATGATGACGTTATTTAGCAAAATACTAGTTCACAATCCTCAAACACATGGTGTGTGTTTGCACGCTAGTGCATCCAACACAAATAACTCTTGCACAGCCACCGCAAACACATCAAAATGTTGAAGCCATTAAAAATAGGGCACTACAGCACACAATCCAATTAAATATGCGGCCCATGGTCTATTAGACACCATGACTAGAACAATAAGCTCAAATATCCTCCTAAAAGGATTAGATGTTGCAATACAACAAGCAAATCCAATGAAAAGCAGATTCTCTCCACTGATAGTTCCTTTGTATCCTGAGCATTATTCAAAATTGAAGCTACTTCTACAAAGGATAGATGACAAAAAGCAAAGTGTCTAAGAAAGGCATGAGTAAGCCAATGCCTTCTCCTCAGAAAGCTCTTCGGCCGTCAAGTCCAACTTCTTCCTTGAGAACTCATCAATATGAAGTCCTGGGTAAAAACATTGGAGAAGACAAGTAAGGATCAGATGCATTCATTCAATTTAGAACTATACAGAAAGAATATTTGAATGAAGAGAAAAAACGCTTACTAAACTTAAGGTAACATTTTTCTAAGTTTTTCAGCCAAAAGCTATTACCATTCTTTTGGCTCATGAAAAACGAACTACATGGTTGTTTAAAAAGTTGTGTAATTATGACAAAACATTTAAAACATTATTTAATAGAAAAACAGCAACGCCTTAGTCAACTAAGATAGGTTAAGTTTCATGAAGGTTATTTGTCGAGAGTAAACATTCAAAAAAATCAAACTGGCCCACAATTTGGGCTGCATAATGACAGGTGACTCTAGAAGTTTCAACTTTGTTGGAATGTCTAATTTTCATAGTTAAGCTTTTGCACATCTTTATTTAAAAAAAAGTTGCATAGAAAGTATCACCACTAGAAGAGATTGTTCAACTAAATCTTATTTCAATATGATGATGATGCATAATATGAACAAATAAATTTTTAATGACATGCGATATATCCGGGTTTAGATTCAATATATTATGATGTGACAAAAACTAACCTTGGACAATTGTCCATTCCCCATTGGCACAAGTGACAGGGAATGAATAGATCAGTCCAGCTGGAACATTGTAAGAACCATCAGAATATACTCCCATAGACACCCAGGTGCCCTAAATAGCAATGGAAAATAAACAATTAGCTTAGCTGGAGAAACATACAAAACCTGAATTAAAAATCAAACAAAAACATATCTAACCTGAGGAGTTCCAAGAAACCAATCTCTAATATGGTCACAAGCAGCACTAGCAGCTGATAGTGCACTTGAAAGCTTTCTAGCTTTGATAATTGCAGCACCACGTTGTTGAACAGTTGTTATGAACTCCCCATTCAACCTTGATGATGAAAAATTGCAATAATGTATCAATAAAAACAATTTAAAAAAAATGCTAGTCAATATTTACAGTATTTGTAACATACCAGGCATCATCCGCCACCAGAGTACGGACTGGTTTGTCCCCAACAGTTGCATGGTTAACATCAGGATACTGAGTAGATGAGTGATTACCCCAGATTATGACATTCTTCACTTCAGAAACCTGGACACCAAGTCTTTCAGAAATTTGGCCCAGAGCCCGGTTGTGATCCAATCTAGTCAAACAAGAAATGTTTTTCTCGGGAATAGATGGAGCGAACTCCTTCAAGATCAATGCATTGGTGTTTGCTGGGTTAGCAACAACCAGAACCTGAAAGATATTGCAAAGTCTTCTATAAATAATCCAATAAAACACAAACTGAAGAAACCACGTTTTGAAAAAAAAAAAAAAAAGTATACATTCCATGAATATAGGGTCAGGATGGAATCACAAGAAGCAAGAACTTAGCCATACATACAGTAAACTAGCACATATATGAACTAGATGGAGATTATTCCCTAATTCCTAGTTCATATTTAAGATTTGAATTTCCTGTAAGTGGTATAGTTTGACAAACAAGAACAAAAACTCAAAATAATCACGGCCGATACATGCAAATTCATTGCAACTCCAAATATATTAATTGGCCCAAAAACCACAAACAAGATCAGCATATCTGCTTATATTTCATTGGACTTACATGAAAAACGAACAAATTAATAGTTTTCAATTATAAGACAAAATTAACATGTCCAACAAATTTGACCAAAGCATAAAAAACAGAAAACAAAATATAACAAGTTTTGCCATAAAAAAAAACATTAGAAAGATAGTTCAGAGGTCCTCAAGATTCGGATGAAAGGGATTACCTTGCAGTTGGCAGCAGCATGCTTTTCAAGGGCAGAAGCCTGGGACTTGTAAATTGAGACATTCTTAGACATCACATCTTTCCTCTCCATACCTTCTTTTCTTGGGAATCCACCAACCATCACAGCAATATTGACACCAGTGCATGCCTCAACCACATCAGTTGTTGCAACAACACCTGAAACAAATAATTTCACAATATTTATCTTATAAGACACGGAAACAACCTATCTCAACTCTAAAATTGATTTTCCTTGTTATTTAAGCAACATTCAATAAGGGTATGTCAAACCTTTCAGAAGGGGGAATGCAGCATCCACCAATTCCATTTTAACTCCGTTCAATGACTCTGCTGCTGGAGGAATATCAAGCATGTGGAGGATCACAGGCTGGTCAGGACCCAACATCACTCCTCTAGCAATCATAGGTACAAGAGCATATCCAATTTGCCCTACAATTGATAAAAACATTTTATAAACACAACAACATGATGAAAAAAACACTTTCATCCATCCACTTGCACACCAAATTCAGTTCAAAGCATAAAAATCCTACCACCATAAACCCCCACCTACCAGAAAACATCATTGCAAGTTTTTTACGAGATCATATAAAGAAATTATAACAATACATAGATCATTAACTAAAAGGAAAAAAGAGTATAGAGTACAGGAACACTACATCGCTTTCAAAACAATAATACGAAAATCAATAGAATTGTATAAAAGAACAAAAGAAAGTGCACCACCAGAAAAACTCAAATTTACTATGGTTTGTATTTTCGGTTCAATTAAAGTCAACAATTGCAACAACGTTTCTTATGAAACAGTGAGAAACACACAACACGATCAACAGATCCCATTCTTGATCTTTCCCGTAATAGTAAGTCAAGTTTCCACACTGAATGTCATAGAAACATATGTTTCTCAATCATTCACAGAGAAGAAACATAACAAGGCATCATATTAGAAAATAAAAGTCAAGGACTCAACTACACTAGTTTCAACATTTACTCCAACTGAAACATAAAACACAATCCATTTCTTTACAATCATAAAACAAAAGAAAAAAAAAAAAAGCAACATTGAAAAACAGTTAAATTAGAATCCCAAGCCAGGCTTACAAATCAAATCAATGAAAAACAAATCTATATAAAAAAGGATCACAGCACACAGACATAAACTAACACCATCGTTCATCACAAGATCAGATCTGAGCCACAGATCAAGATTCAAACACAGCCAAAGGCATCATTTGGACACAGACCCATAATCTAAAACCATTAAACCAATTCAAAACAACAATCAGATCACAGATCTCTTATTGAAAACCCAGAAGGGTAAAACTAAGCGATCGTGACGAATCTAAAGCGTATGAACCACAGTAAAGAGATTGAAGCGAGTAGAAGAATACCTGCAGCGCCGGTGACGAGAACGCGAACTGGATCTTTGGCCATTTTGAAAGAAATGGAAAGAATCGAAGGATCAAAGAGGGTTGAAGGGACGAAGAAGAGTGAAGGAGTGAGTGATAGTGTGTGTGGATTGTGAAACGAGGGTGGACTTAGGTACTTATTTGTGTGGAGATGGTTAGGACTGCGTAAACGACGCCGCTTTGATGGGTTTAGTTTTAACGGCAAAAATTCAAACCTCTTTGTCTCGAATTTGATATTAATATAGATTAATATAAATAATTTTTTAAGACCAATTAAAACCCTCTTTTTCAAGATGAATTTAATATTAAAATGGATTGTTTATTTTAAGAGAAGTGATTGCATTTCTTACGAAATTTAAAATATCATGAAAGAGTTCGTATAAAACTTGTGAAATAATAGAAATAAGAATAAGTATATGTTGTCCTTATATATTTATTTTTTTAATTTATTAATTTTTTTCAAATTTTAAAATATGTGACTTTAATTTTTGTAAAATCTAAATTAATATTTAATAATAATAGTTATGATTATAAACATATTAAATTTATATATTTTGAATTTAAAGATTAATTAATAAATTTAGAAATTACTGAATTAAAATAAAGTTGAATGAAAAATATATTTAACTGATAAACAAATAGAAAGAATAAAGAATATTCTGCGTAGATGCTTAACAGTGTGAGTGAGTGGTCACGGAGCATCCGTGATGTGGGGTCCACGCCACAGTATGAAGCATGCAACCAGACATCATGAGCCACGTATGTTGTAAAGGTGGACCTTAGTTTTTAGCTTTTCAAAAGTTAAGAATCTATTTCCTAACCTCATAAAATTATTTTCTTTTTAATTTTCTATATTTTCTGCATGATATTATAAACCCATTCACAATTGACACATGAAGTGTCCTAAATTTGTCATTAAATCGGTTAAACTAATTTGTTAATGAGTTATTAGTTGAACTATTAATATGCCAGTTATTAGGCATTATGTATATATAAAATTAAATATATTAATAAATTAGTTTTAGTGTAGTTGTTTTCCTTCTTCATCTTTAACAAATTAAGGAAGAAAAGTCGTGTGATGCCTAATATCAATTCTTTTATGTTTATTTTAATTATTAAAATAGTTAATTTTAAAATTTAAAGTTTGCTAACAAGTGAGTCGTTGTAGTATAGTGGTGAGTATTTCCGCCTGTCACGCGGACGACCCGGGTTCGATCCCCGGCAACGGCGAAAGAATTATTGTTTAGTTTTATTTTATGGTTCACTTTTTTGTTTATTTTCTACTTTTACATTGAATAAAGTCATGGATATGTACGTAATAATATATTATGAGGTTATTGAAATGTCTAATAGTGGTTTATAAATGGATAATAATGAAATTATTGACTATCACCAATGGTTAATTACATATATATATATATATATATATATATATATATATATATATATATATATATATATATATGGTTAAGGGTGTCAGAAAGACAATTTATTTGTAGATATAGTTAATGATCACTCTTTTCCAAAGACAGGATAGTGCCATTATTAAAGTTGGGTACTTTATCAGCTTGTGAGCTGGCCTAAGGCTCATGAGTTTCATAAACCTTAACAAATCACTATTACCTAACAAAAGCAACTGAAAATAATTGAAGTTAGGAGAGAAAATGGATGCATGTGGACATATTGGATAAAGAACAAACAACAAATTGACTAGAAAAACCAAATAATTAAAGCAAATGTTTTCACCACAAAAATAAAGCTTAACAAAACTCCCAAATGCATTCTATACACACTTCATTATTTGTCAGATTACAAACAATGCAGAATGGATATCAGATGCTTGTTGTGAACCAAAAGAAGAATGAATGCAAATGTGTTTACACAAGAAAATGAAAAGAAATCCCTCACAAAGCCTACTTTCCTATACATCTTCACACACACAACTATTAAGCAATTATGTGCTCATCACTTTTGTTTCTCAATAGAATCAAAATGAAAAAGAAATTATATATCAAACCATATCATGCCCCATGTATGTATCAATCTTGTACTCTAAATGTCAAATTAGAAAAATGATGTACTTGTTGAGATCAAATTGATTCAGGTACTTCGTGCTAGCATCTCCTGGAATTCAAGCATGGACCTCTCTTTCTGAAGCCTCATATCTTCACGAAACTTGCTTATGAATTCTTCTGCCTTTTGATCCACATGAATTTGTGGAGACTTAGCAACCACAACCTTCCATGCATCCTCTATAGTGTTCAAGCCACTACTCTCACCACCATGATTCTGGTTGCGATAATCACCAATAAAATTTCTCTTAATACTAGTTTCACTTTCACTGTGATTCTGGCTGCGACACTCATAAATCAACTTTCTCTTTAAAATACCCTGACTTTGGTTACCACAATCACCAACCAAACTACCCTTTAAAACGGCATGCTCCTCTTTCTCTTTGCCTTTGCTTGTTTGCCCTTGTGCATGAGCACTTCTGCTGTTGGTGGCATGCATGGACACAGAATTAGCCTTGTCAAAGAGGTCATCTATGTGTATGGCTGCACAGTGCTTGTGTTGAATATGGTAGTAAGTAGTGGCACGTGGCCTTGTAGAGGTGAGTGAGCGATGAAGTTTAGAGTGCGTGAGATGGCCAAGGGAGTGAAAGGCTGAAAGGAGGCGTTGAAGGGTTGTTTTGAAGAACTTGGGGATGTTGAGTTTGTGGAGTTTGCATTGGACTGTGTTGGAAAAGCTATTCCATGCCTTCTTGGCAGGTTGAAGCTTCTTACCTAGCTTCATGCGAGACATCACAATGTGAAGAGTGTTTCTGGTTTTGATGAGAGAAAAGAGTCTTGGAAGAAGAAAGAATGTGTCTCTAAATGAAGCGAAGGACTATTAGAAATGGTTCTCAATTTCATGAAGGAACATTTGATGCCTCATTTTAGTTTTTAAACAATAAATTTGTTCTACAAGTTGCTATCATCTTTTTGGTGCCTCAAATTGGCACATTTCTGTCACTAGAATTACACAACTGCCATTTCTTTGATTTCTGCATTATTTATCAAAATTACACATTGATGGCACGAGTTGTAATAACATGAAAGCTCGATCTTAAGGGTGTAATTCTCACTCCTACCTCAACACTTTCGGCAGAATTGACAGCATGGGAGCAACCTTGGGTGCTAAGTATGGTGAGAATAATGAAGAAAACTAAATTCTGCGAAGACCAATATTATAGGTTTTCCCATGTGGTGGCAGTATGCAACTTTTGGGTTGTATTGCGGGCTTCTTCTTTTTTTCTTTCTAACATAAAAGTCAAGTTGATCGCTGATCAGAACCCCACTCCCCATTGCCAAAAAGAAGAAGAAGAAGAAAAATGCATCATCTTCATTTCAGTTAGATTGACATTGTCATTAAGTTTTGTGTAAAGTTATGAATATATCTTTTAAAATGTGTTACGTATATTGAAACTTTACTCTGTGATGGCTGCATATAAACTACATGACTCTTAATGTAAGAATCATTACATTAATTGCCATCTAAACTAAGATAAAATCATGATTAGTCACTTTTATATACAACATTCTAAATCCATAAAAGAAAGAAAAAATAATGGTTAAGGAACTAAGCTTTAGCACACTAAGAAATCTTTAACATCTGAAGATTTATCTCTCAGAAAAATCAGGAATTACCAAAGGAGGTGTATTATGCCATCACCATCATGTGTAACTTTGTTTCGTAATGCCATATTAATACAGTGAGAATGAGTATGAGATGTACATCTGTCACAACTCAATCACCATCCTCTTACTAATAAGTTGAGTATGAGTTAAATACATTAAGTAATTCAGTATTGATATTAAAAAGCATTAGGTTATGAATTAATCAATTTTATTATTTAATCAATTTTATTATTTTTATTTAATATAGGATTTCAAATTAGACTTGGATTTCCAATGTGAACTTATACTTTTTCTCCGGTAATTATGAAAAATTTATGATGAAAAGTTAGGATTTTGTAGTACTAACTTTCCTCTATCTCACTCTATCAATGAAATGACCATTTTATGGACACATCTGCTATCATTTTCCAAAGAACAGATTGAGAATTTGAATGTTCCCTGTAAAATAGACTAGACTAATGGAAATGAACCAGCACTAACTGGTACTGAAAGTTTAGACCACTCTTTCCCCATTTGTTTTGGAAGCATTGTGATTAGCCATGTTTGGCAGTCAAGTAGAGAGGATAGTGATTATTGACCCACCACAAAACATACCACCGTCCACTCCACTTTGCTTAGAAAGTGATAACTGCAAACAGTAGAGTTTGGAAAGTTTTCACAATGATATTATGGTCCAATTTAAATAATATTCTTCACAAACATTTATAGAAAAATATAAAAAGAAATTAAAATGAATTGAACGTATCCCATGAACTAAACAACTTGTGTATTAGTTTTTGGAGAAGTTGAATAAGTTAAGTCCATAAGTTTATTTAAGATTATATGAAAAACCATATTTTTTTATTGCTTTTTTCTTATAAGTGTTTATGAATAAATTTATTTAAATAGAACATGAGTGTTTAATGGATTTATGTCTTTTTAGTCTACTATGGGAGAGAAAACAACATAACCTTTTCCTTTCTATTAAAACTGGAAAATCACTTTATTTAATATATCCTTTTAGTAATAGTGACATCAGCATGAAACAACTACTTAAGTATATTTAGTTTAATCACTCACACTTGCTTCCTCTGTTGAACCAAGAGCCTGCTACATCAAAGTTAACAGAACATGAAATATGGAATTATTAGTATCATTATTACTATTGTTATATTATGTAAAGTGTAGTTGTAGCTTTGTTTCTCATTCATTTATTAATTGATTCTCTATATTTGTTAGAGGAGTTCAATTACACATGTACCAATGTACAATACCAATAACAAGAGCTTTGTTTGCAGGCCAAAATACAAAAATAACAAAGGGATTTATAGAGAAAGAGTGAGATTCAAATCATGTTAATCAAAAGTAAATTTGCTACCTCTAAACCTTACTATTCTATCCTCTATTGCAGGTCATATCCAGACTGCTGTAGATACTGACAAGTTTTTTACATTAATTTGCCTAATATAGATTTCTTTACACTTGAGAGATTGATGCTACCTCTATTCTCTGAATTTCATCAGACCATGTCTGTCTAGGTGAACCACAGAAATAAATTTAGGAAGAAGGTAATGATTCAGTATTCTCTTCAGGATTTGGAGAGGGAATGGATGATCCAGTTATTGCATTTTTTGTGGGTGGTGGACTATATGTAATATATACCTTTTCTTTGTTTTGGTTCCACCACTCTTCTGCTTGCTGCTCATTGAATTTCCGTTTACTGCACCCACCAATAAAAAACGAAAAGAGAAAACAGAAAAAGATAGTATTAATGATAGAAACAATTGAAATAAGAAAATAAATACTGAAATTAATGATAGTAACATATTGCTATCTATCTATAGCAACAAATGATTAAAAAAGTTTAGAAGCTTTCAACAAACATCACTACTATAATTGTCAATTGATATTATATAACATGTGTTGTTGTCTGAATGAATATAGAAGATCATAAGGGATTTCAATGTTTAGTTACCTTTTTAACCACACATATAATTTGTTACATGCAACCCCCAAATTCAGAAGCAGGATTTTTATGAAATAGGATAAGTTAGTTAGTAAGTGCCAAAAAGCGGTCATCATATACAATGATGAACATATATGTGTGGAAATAGGTTAGATAGGAAGTAGCTCTTATACCTGAATCTAATTCGTTTGAAAACTTTGTAACCACAAGGTAGTTCTACGAGTGTGACAAAAACACCTGGCTCAAATTGTTCAATGATTGATCTTTCTCCTTCTGTCATTTGTATACTATTGTCACTTAATCTTGTTACTTTTCTTGAGATAGTTGGAGTCATTGCTGGACTAGTTACAGTTGAGTTTCTGATCTCTTCAATATTTTCTCCATCCATGGGTGAAACAACCCCAGAAGCATCATCATTTCCTTTCATTCTTCGCTCTTGCAGCTTTGAAGAGTTATTATCTGAGGCAGGTGACTTGACTCTCGGTGTGGAGGAAGAAGGTTCAAAATGTTTTTCTTCACGAAGAAATTCTTCGGCTTGAGCATGCATGGTTCTCAAAGTCTCATTGTCAGGTGGCAATGTCTCAGTCACTTCCCTCAACTAAACAAAACCAAATGTAGAAGCAAGTTTAACTTGATATAAACTTCTACACAAGTAATGGAAAAGCAAATAAAATAATTCAAGGTGATAAGTGCATTAAACTTTTTGTATATGATAAAAATCAACTTGCGCACCTTAACTTTTCAGAAGTTTTTGCTGCTATAACATAATCAAAAATACCTATAGGCTATACACTTGGCTTTTTAAAACAAGAAACAAACAAGCCTTATTGTTCCTTTAAGATGTCTTAGAAGATAATAATTGTCACAATTAAAGATTGCAGATAATATTAAATCATTGTGACAGTAATTATGTAGCTGTGAAACACAACTTGACTCCAACTCAGGATTGCTTTTTGTTTCTCAGGGAATGTTGACAATCATTGTAGATAATAATGTATTTTCTAATTCTTTCTGAAAAACATTGGAAGAATATAAGGTTTGTTATGGACATCTGCCCAATCATATGATATTTAGTCTTGGTTTCCAAATTTATTTGCTTAAAGAGATAAAAACAAATGCTAGAGAAGCTAAAACTGTGTGTCCGGACTACCCAATGGAGTTTGTTTTATGTAACTTAACGCAATAAATACAAATAAATATAGGAGATACAGATCAATATAGGATGATTTTTCTTTTACACGATAGGATAACATTGATCCTAATTAAAAATGGAAACAAATGTGAAAGAATAAACCTAAAATATTATCTAAAATACTCTAAAATATTCCAAGATATAAAAAATGATCTAACAATATACAATCGTATAAGTGACGCTAAAGCTAGGACATTTCTTTTTTTCTCTATTGTCTGTCATTTGAGATTGCAAGAATTTTGGACACATTCAAATCACTCAATTTCTTTTGTTTGTTGAAATTAAGTATAGTTTAGTTTTAAAAGAACAAACTAAATGTTCTGATTCAGATTTTCTTTTGACAGTAATCACAGCACAATAATGACGTAGATGTCATAGTCACTCAAATTTTCAGGTAAATAATTGTGATATTTAGTTTTTTTTAACACCACAATAATCCATTCCTGTGATATTTGGCAATACACAGTTACAAAAATCTAGTAATTTTATTGTAGAGTGCACTTGGATAACAATGATATTCCTTCATGCAGAACAGTCACACCAAGTTCTTTTAGGTTCCAAATTGAATGCCTAACCTATTGAGTTCTCATATATAACTATAAATCTAAATAGGGACTAATTCAGCATTCGGAAAATAGGCAATTTGCACTCAACTTTTTGGCAAAATTTGTGTTAATTATCTGATAGGATGATTGCAAGTTGTTCCCAAATTTTTATAAGATTCTTGCATGGCTATGGTATTGAAAATAATATATATTAGGGGGAATATAATATTAACACAGAAGAGAAAATCAAAGACAGAAGATCATCGTTCATAGTTAACTCATACATGCTGCATATTGTCACGAAACATGCAACAAATAAGATTTGAATTTTCCTAGTGATCAGCTACGCTGAATATGTATATATATCCCACATGTATGATTTTTCATTCCAGTTTTTTGTCATTTTGGATAAAACATTGTCCCAAGGCTCAAGCAAGAAAAAATTATTTGAATAAACTTGAGTTCAACTGTTGTGTGAAAATATAGAATTAAGATACCTTATCTGTCATGGACTTAATAAATTTCTTTGATTCTCTAAGCTTAGAAGATTCCTCTTCAATATATTTCTGAAGCTCCTGAATCTTCATTTCTTGTCTGTCACTCTTCTGCTTCAAACTTTTATTCTATGCAAGAAAAGAATTATACACAAATCTTATTAATTGGAACATATTATGCTCTGAGAATAAAGAACATAATTACTAGATCTGAAAGTGGTATGAGCTATGAAATATACTTTCGTTTGCAATTTAAAGACTTCTTGATTCATATGATCACTTTTCTTCCTTAAATTATCAATAAGGGTTCTTGAAAATCCAGGGGAGGTAGAACGAGGTGGGCTTGGTGGCCTTTTAGGATATGGTGTGATAGGTTTTGGAGTTGATGTTTGAGTAGAATGTAAAATAGGCTTGAAAATATTCTGTGCCGAACTCAGCGAAATTGGAAATGCAATATCTTTCAATTGCAAACTCATAGGAACTTGAGCCGCTCGGACTATGGAAGAAGTTTCATCTATATTTCCAGGCTTACTATTCCTAATCTCAAGGTATTTTACTGGTTCTGTGATGGGAGGTAAGATAACTCTTGAAGACTTAACCTCTCCCCTGTCAAATTTTTCCTTTCCATATATGGAAATAGAAGGACGAGTAAATTCTTTATTTAAATTGGAAGCACTATCAGAAGCTTTTAACTTAGCATAACAAGCATCACACACGCGATGTGGTTTGCTAGGTGTTGGAGCCAATGCTGCTTTGGAAGCCTTTTTTGAACTACAAGGATGACAAAACACCAATCCACAATTATAGCAATTATGCCTTTTTCGGGTAAAACCAAATGGTTGTCGACAATCAGAGCAAGCAGATTGGTCAACTCCAGAGATCCACTTATGCAGGCATATACAAGATGTAAAGGTAGAGCCGCATGAGATATTCTTAACATGTCTGTCTTTCAAGGCTTCCACCAATGTTGGAGTTTTCTGGTCATCTGTGTCTCCATGTCCTAGTCTTCCATTTGCACCTCTTCCCCAAGTATATAGTTCACTTCGTGAAGTCAACACAGCAACATGATGTGCTCCGCATGCTATTTCCTCCACGAACTCACCTACTAACTTATCTCGAACTAGAATTGGCACTTTTCCATCAGAAGTTGGGTTTCCTAGTTGACCATATGCTGTGCCTCCCATTGTGAAAACATGACCAGATACAGTGAGTGCAATAGTCATGGTGTACCCACATGCAATCTGATTAAAACCATAATCAGCAAGGGCAGCTACACAAGTTGGTTGAAGGTAATTTTCCTTGTTAACATGACCCAAACGATACTGATCACCATCACCCCATGTGAAGATCTTCCTGGATGAAGCAGTTGAACCAGAAGAATCCATAATCTCTATAATAGCTGCTGTATGCCACACTCCACATGCAACCTTAATAGCCTTGTGTCCACTCAATAATTGTACCTCCTTTGGATATAATACACTCTCTCGATCCCCATGGCCCAATGCTCCAAATCTTCCATCACCAAAGGTAAACAATTTCCCTTGGGAGGTTGCTAATGCTGAATGCCATGAGCCACAAGCTACGGATACAACCTGAAGTCCCTCTAAAGGGCCACAGACCCTCTTTGGTATCCAGTAGCTAACATCACTGCCATGACCAAGAAGTCCTGCACCATGTGTACCATCACCCCAGGTGAACAGGTCACCTGATAGAGACACAGCACATGAATGATATTCACCACATGCAACAAAAGACATGTTGGACATTGCCAGGGACTCCACAAGATGAGGTCGACCAAAATCTTTTTCAAAGCCGTGGCCAAGTCTTCCACCAGAGTCCTCTCCCCATGTGAAAACCTCTCCTTGCCTTGTAACTAAAGCAATGTGACGTACACCAGTCCCGATCTGATTAACATCAAGAACAACGTCAGATTCTAATGGCTTAGGACTCAACACATCTGTTTTACAAGTGGCTTGACTCCCCAATCCATCAGATGAATTGCCATCTGCCCAAACCTCTCCCCATATATAAACATCACCAAGAGATTCTATGTCATCTAGTCCTGATCCTACACTACTTGAGTGGCTAATACTTGATATACTAACACGAGAACCATCTCCAATACTTGTCCTTATTGGCATATTTGTATCTGATCTTGACCAAGATGATGTAGATTCATGGGATGCTGATTCAAAAGAAAACCTGTTACGGGCAATGTTTGATGCGAACTCTAGTGTTCCAGCAACAAAGTCACCACTTTCCTGAAGAGAGAGTCAAAACAATTACTTTACTGAAATGTTCTAAAAACATAAATGTTAGAAATAATATATATATATATATATATATATATATATATATTACAACTTAAGCTTTCATGGCTTATTGGTTGCCGTGGTTGTCATAGTTAAACAAGCTTGTAAGAAGGAATACTAAAGCTCATATTGAGCATTGGGATATTCCTACGAGATTTTCACATATAGATTTAATCTTATGTCAATAATTTTAATTATTCATATTACTCAACAATATTTGTAGAGTGAATTATTCTGAATATCCTTGAGTTTTTATACGCCATGGTGAATGTTCCTACAGTTTAAGATTTTGCTGATATTAGTGGTAACTCAATCTTTGAATATATAAACATAGAGTTTAATCTATTAGAAATTGAGGAATAAATAGGAAGTAGCAACCGTTTAACATGTAAACTAAGACAAGTTGAAAATTAAACTATCACTTAAACAACTGCTTTAAACTCACACTGCTTAAATCACTTGTTCCGCGCCGAACACGCTCTCCAGTGGAAATTAATGCCTTTAGGCTTGAAAACCATATCTCTACCTCAGCTTGGTCCTTGCAGATCTAACAATATGAAAAGAGGAAGCAATATATTCAAAATTTATACGAAATTGACAAACTTATTCAAAAGGACTGTGTTTTCAAACCAGATCAAGTGATCGTTCCCCCCTCTTATGAATAAGGGAAAATGACAGATAATCTTTTTCAGGGCGCAAGTATCTTCTAAAGACAGCCTGCAATTAAAAGGAAACCCATGATATCTTTATCAGAGTGCTAACATAACCATGAATCTAGCCTCCAAAGACCAAACATATAACTCACTGTTCTCTGTCCTGCGATGATGTGTGAAACAGAAGCCAGTTTTAGACTCTTTTCCTTTCCATGAGAAATCCAAACCAGCTTTGTTTCATCCTGCCAACGCCACTAAATATGAAATCGTTCTTACAGAGATATGAAATTCAATAAATATATAACACGCATGTATCATTGTTTGGACAATACTGTGTTTTCTTCATTATAAATACTCACCGATGAGAGTCTGAAACAACAAAATTTCGGCTTCCCTTTTCGACTATACTTTACTAATTGAGTGCCCTTTTTTAATGTGTTGAAGGCCTTCACAAAGAAACAAGACAGAAATTCAATTCAAGTGGAGCACCGAAGCATCGTAATCTCTAGAAAATCATATCAAATAGTGACAATTTCTATTCCAGAAAAAAAATATAAATCCTTAGTATTTTCCCCGTTTAGATAAAGTGATTTTGATAGTTACTGAATCAAAAAACACTTCAAGGAACAATATCATGATAAATGACTAATCTCTGCTGGAGAACCTGGCTGAACCATCTTTAGTGGAGTCCCTCCTTCTGAGACACATTTTTTTCATCGACAAGACTCAAACTCGAGACCATACTTAAGAAACCGACTCCAATACCACTTGAACCAACCACTCGTTGGTCTGCTTAAACAAGGCAACTCAGTATCCTTTTCATTGCTTTCTTTCATTTGTCTCCTGCATCAACTACAACATTGTTCCCCTTCTAATCAAGTGTACCAAAACTACTTTTCATATATCATGGAAAGTTTTTCAAAAAGAATATTTCATACCCTGCTTTTACCTAACCTTTTATCCCACACATGAAACAAATTGTAACCTGTGAAGGCATACCTCATCTCCATTCACACTTCTTACCAGGACAACCCATATACTTTTATTCCATGCGCCATAACAAAAGATCCCTCAATATTTCGAATATTATTTTCATGATCACAACTTCCACAATGAATACTCACTTGAAGCAAACAACCATAATCATGCCTAATGTGAAAAATTTAAATAAAATAAAAATAAAAGTTATAATATTTTCCTGCTACAAACCAAACCAAACAGTCCTTTTTTGTTTTTCAGATAAAAGCTTAATTTGGTGGTGAAACTAACTTGCTCAATATCACGCTCATAACACCCGTGGCTAGAAAGATCTGCCATTCCATCAGAAATAAATTGTAAGTAAACCACTGAAGAGGACAAAGCTCAAGCATCATGCTTTCTACTAAGGCCTCTCATTAAAGTCTCCGAAAACCTCGACATGATATATTTCTCCTAGACATTGAACAATGTTCTAGGAAAATGAAGAATAAAACCCTTAAACTCATAATGGCACTAGTTGGTGCGCATGATATGTGCTATAGATTCAGAATCGGAGAATGACCCAGATGATGATTTCTCATGAAACTGCCAAAAAGATTGAAATTTTGCAAAAGGGGCTGTGAAAGTTCCATCAACATGTGTCTGATCAGTTTCTGAGCAAAATTGGATTCAGCAGTTGAGAGAGATGCGAAAGTTACGTAAAAAGGAAAGGGAATGAGATATTGGCGCGCTTCTTAAACTTCTTCCACGTTCACCAACTAAGGACATGTTTGGTTTTCATTTGGAAATGTACTTTTAAAACTGAAAACCTACCTTTCTTTCTCATCAAATAAGCTAATCTTCTGTCAATAGCGTTTATATGATTCTATTTTAATAATTAAACCATTCGCCTAACCTGAGTAATATTTTACTTAATTTATTTTCTTTTACAGAAAATATTATATTAAATGAAATTTATAAAAGAAATAAATTAAAATCATTTTTTTAAATATAAGATTTGTTTTCTAAAATGATTTCAATTAAACTTAATATACTTTTGGAATTTTGTTACGAATGTTAGTTTTCAAAAAAGAATTCTTTTAAAATATTTTTTATTACCAATTATAAATATTATGTAACATACTTTTAGATATGTCAAGTCCTATATGTTGAGGTAAATATCAAATTTATTTGAATTAAAAAATAAAAATTAAAAGTCATAATCGAAAAGCAACGAAAATTTAAGCTAAAATGAATATAAAACTTATTCTTTATTTTAAAAGTCATAAATTATTTTAAAAATAATAAAAATTAAAAGTATTAGAACAACGACAGTTTAAAATAAAATGAATACAAAAATTATTTTTATTTTAATTTTAAAATAATAATAAAATATAAATTTCAATAGATAATACATTATTCTTGATAATATTAAGACATATTTTATTATTTCCTCCTTCATAATAACTTTTTTTTATAAATCTCATTTGCAGATTTTAAATTGTATGTAATGAACATCATATTTTCATATAAATCATCAAATCCAATTTATACCTTTCTCTACAATTTCATTGTCTCCTCTTCTATAATAAATGATCAAATACAAATAATACTAAAACCGTCTTTGAAGTAAGAAGAGGATTTTTAGATTAAGGGGAAGAGAGGAGAAAGTAAAAGATAAAAAATAAAAGAATAATACAAAGATTATAAAAGATAAAATTGATTTGATTTATTATAAATTAAATAATAGAATAAATTCATAAATTACTAAAATATCTTTATTATAAATTTTAATAAGAATATATATATTAAAATTTAATTTAGATAAATAAATATTTAATAAAATTGATAAAAGTAAATAAAATTAAAATTATTTTTATATAAAAATAAAAAAAATAATTAAATATTTTATAAACATATTTATAATTTATTTTTATAAATAATATTAAATTGTAAAAAATATTTTAAAAAATAATAATGTAATTTTTAATATATATATATATATATATATATATATTTAAATAATAATATTTTATTCAGAATAATTTTTTTATTAGAATGAGTTAATTATTTTTTAATGTAATATATCTTTAGGAAGGAAGGATAATTAAGAAAAAAAAAAGTGTATCTTTACCTTCAAATCTTCTTGATGGAGAGAAGAAATATGATACTTTTGAATGTATGTTTGTTTATTTTCAAATCAGCATCAATATAATAATTTTTATATAATTCACATTTCCAATTCTTCAACTACAAAAAATGATACGAAACAAACACAAGTTAAAGGAGGTAAATTTCCTATGTTAAAAGAAATAAAACCTCTATATACTACTTATTTATAATTTATTATATATTATTTGAATATTTATTGCAAGGGAAGAAATTATTTTTTAAAAATAATTTTTTATTTTACTTATTTTTTTTAGTTTTTTAAATTTTTTTTTTTTTAATTCTAGTTATACCAGTCAAAGTTTTAATAATAAGTTGTGGACATACAACTTTTATTTATAACCAATAGATGACTATAATTAGACAAATTAAAATATATTAGATAGAGAACTTTGACTTATTAAATAATATAAACCGGTGAATCATATATAAGATATAATTATCATTTATTATTATTTATATATTATTTTAACTAATTTGAATATTTTGAAGAATTTTTTTAATCTTTTATTTGAATATAAAATTTTATTTAATAGAGTTAAAAAATAATTTGAAATTAAAAAATATTATAATAATTTTGATAAACTGAAATTGAAAATTTTTTAATTTCATTTTAAAGGATAAAAATTTGAAATATATATATATATATATATATATATATATATATATATATATATATTTATACGTTTTTATTTTACTTTTTAAATTCATATCTAATTGGGATATATTTAATTTTGGTTGAGTAAGTTGGTTTAGCCAACCAAGATAATTCATCATAGTTCAAATCCAACCCCATCCAATTTAATCTAATGTTTCTTGACCTGATTTACTAGCTTAACTTGACACATTATGACTAGTTTCATTCTATTTGAATCCTAATTCAGCGTGAAATACCTTAACTCATCATAATCATAATTTTGTGTAATACAACTCACAATTCCATAAAAAAATTGCCTCAATCATGTTAATAAATGTCAAATACTATGAATTCAACTTAACTATCAAAAATAATAATATCATTTTTATAATAATTAAATCATTTAAAATCATGATAACTAAAAAGTTTAGAATCGTAGTGTAAAAATATTTAGAAAACCTAAAAAATTGTAATGCATAGTAGATCATATGCAAATGGTAAATCGGGCTAGGTTTGGTGTTCAGTTCACTAAAAAGTCGTGGGACAGATTAACGGTTTTAGTTTGTTAGTCCATTTTAACGGTTAAGTTTAAAGCGGAACGGACTAGTCCACTTACCTGTTTTTAAAAAATATTTATATATTAAAATAAAAATAAAAATTATTATTAATTAAAAATATTATATTATTTTTGTTATATTATTGAAATATTTAAATATATTATAATATTATAATTTAAAATATAAAAATTAATTAATTAAATTTAAATTATTAAGTATAATTAGTTATTCTTATTCATAAATATAATAATTTTTTAATTTATTTAATAAAAATATTAATTGATAAATAAAAACTTAAAAATTATTCCTATAATTTAAGATATATTTTAAATAATATATATATATATATATATATATATATAAATATTTAAATAAGAAAAAATTATTGGCGATGCGGGATCTGTAGTCCGTAAAGGTATCAATATGAGTTGTAACTCGAGCCAATACAGTTCACTACGAATTCGAGCCAAGTTGAGTTTAATTTTTTCATTTTTATTGATAATAGATTAAAAATGAACTCGACTCATTTAATTTACGAGGTTAAGCACGTTCGATGGCGGATCTTGACCATTGATCTTGGGGGCCAAATAATATATTATTAATAAATAATAAATAAATATAAAAGGAAGAAAGAATATGAAAGGTTGAAAAGATAAAATTGTAGATATATACTTAAATATATTAAATTAACATTAATTTTGAGGGAAACAAAATCATAAATTATATGAAAGTTACAAAGCTGAGGAGGAGTTTGAGAGGATAAAGTTATAAATATACAAGTAAATATATTAAATACTCATTATGTTTGGGGGTCAAAATCATTAATTACATGGGAGTTACAAAACTTTGGGGCTCACGACCCTTCTCGACTCCCAAGAAGATCCGTCACTTGAGCACGTTCAAGTTGGGTTATGGTGGGTTGACCCGCAACCCACCATTCATTTTAAATTGTAAAAATAATTATAATAATTTAGTACTTTTAATTGATGTTATTTTTGTCTTTCCACCTTTATTTTTTGTTGTCACTACAAGTCAAACTCTCACTTAAGATTATCATTAATTTTCGTTACACCACTGTGTTCATTGTTACACTTGAGTCACTTGTCATCCTTCCGCTGCAAAACTACATCACAGTGTTTATTGTGTTTGTCGCACCAATGCTTTTCAATTGTTACAGCATTTGTAGCATTTCAGTCTTGCGTTTCAGTTTCGTCATAACGTTTGTCATGTCGCGCCACAATGTTTCAGTCTCACATTTCAATCGAGTCACAATGTTTATCACATTATTGCATTCGTCACGCCACCATGTTTTAGTTGTACCATAGCGTTTGTCGCATTTCAACTGCATTACAATGTTTATTATCTCACTGTGTTTCAGTCATACATACAATTCAGTTATGTTTATTAGAAAAAAAAAATGTGAGTTAGTGAGCCAACTCACCAATATGTAGTGGGTTGAACCGGGTTGTGAAATTTCTGACTCACCATTAAATGAGCCACCCCTAGTAGCCCATCATGACTATAGTGGGTCAATCTATCTCTTCCTGTTTTTGGTAGATTAGTGGTGGAGCGGGTCAAAAAGGGACAGATTGACCCGTTTTGTCAATTCTAATCATATGACAAGAAAACTTGTAAATTGGTAATCAATATAGAAAATTGAAAGACTATCAAGATGTCTCATATCACACAAAGCAAATAGAGAGGAAGCATAACAAGGTCTCTAGACAATACCCCTTTGGAAGGATTAATGGGGACTGCTCTACTACCAAACTTGAAAGGTTTATCTACGATTGAGCATGTGGATGTATACATTATCTAGGTAAAAGTGTATAACACGAATGTGTATTCCCCACTTCACCCAAGGAAGTTACTTCATGATGTTACCTCCCAACTAAATTGATTGTTTCTACCACATCACCTTTTTTGTATTTGTTAACATTTATCACAAGAAGGAGTCTTTATAACTGTTCATAAAATTTTTGGGAAAAATTTCCCTAGGCATAAAAATGATAAACATGTATTATTTACATTTGCAATTTTTTTAGATTAGTTAGGTTCTGCAAACCTTGTACAAAATGGTGTTCTACTCTAGCAAGATGAAACATGAGAAAAGAGTATCTAAATTTGTCTTAATAAAGTTGTGTGAGAATGTATTGCTTGAAAGGATTATTGTATGTTTTTCTCCATGCTAGTAATGTAGAAAACTAGTATAAATAAATAATGATACAAATGAAGATGGATTTGACAATTGACACAAACTCTTTCTCAAGGTCTTTCTACGTTTTTTTTTTAAGTGAAACTGATGATTTTATTGATAGAATAAAGGAAAACTACTAGTAGTCCTTACAGGAGCAGGATCCATCTCTGAAATGATGGAATCTACTTGAATCCCTGACTGTGATTTCGCGGTTTACAATCTTGAATATTACCTTGATGGTGGTGTGGCAACCAGTACAAGCTCGTAGATTCTTTATCACCAATATGGGTGACCCTTTTAGAGTGTTAATTGGTGCAAAAGCAATGATAATGCGTTCATTGTGATATTTTAGGGACTCCACCTTGACTTTTTCATCCACATTGTGAAGGGCACAACTTAAGTCACGTTTATACCCTTATTTCTCCATTTGCTTTTCCAACTCATCAAGCTTCCTTTTTATCTTTCATATGTGGGTGAGATGTGTCATTGGCTTATAGTGATAATAAAGAATTTTTAAATACTCAATATTATAGATTATCTGACGTATAAAATAAAAAATTATATTTGAAGATTTAAAGACTACAATCAGTGGCGGATCTTGACCATTGATCTCGAGGGAGTCAAATAATATATTATTAATAAATAATAAATAAATATAAAAGGAAAAAAGAAGATGAAAAAGTGAAAGAATAAATTTATAGATATATACTTAAATATATTAAATGATCATTAAGTTTGAGGGGAACAAAATCATAAATTATATGAGAGTTACAAAACTGAGGAGGGGCTAAGAGGATAAAATTGTAAATATACAAGTAAGTATATTAAATGTTCGTTAAGTTTGGGGAGGTCAAAATCATAAATTACATGGGAGTTACAACTTTGGTTTAAAATTCTTGCATTATCTCACCAAAATTAAAATAATAACTCATAAAACATAATATTAACTACACGATATATGTAAAATCAAAATATTTCAACTAACTTTCACACTTTTTATTTTCTATTCAATTTTATTCAATAAAACTCCCCCATAAAATTAAATGTTTGTCTGTAACTAACTAAGATCGGTCACAAACCGACCTCTTGACCTCCTGACTGTCCTTTTAATTAAGAATTTCTTTCACCTTGATCAACTTCTTGCAATTCTTGAACAATACCATAGGTAATGACTTTGTGAAGATATTAACAATTTGATATTGGTTTGCCACATGCATGAGCTTCACATTGTCTTCCTTCACTGTTCTTAAATGAAATGAAATTGTACGTCAATATGTTTATTCCTCTCATGGTTGATCAGGTTCTTCACTAGTTCAATGATCGACTTGTTATCAACTTGAATCACTGTTGCACTGAGTTGTTTCTCCTCTGACGAGTTCAATAAATTTCGGAGTCACACTACATTACACACTCCACGATGTTGCAACGTACTTGTCTTCACACGTTGATAATGTCACTATGGGTTACTTCTCCGAAAACCAAGTGAACATCGTATTTGCCATAAAAAATACATATCCTCATAACTTTTCCATCATCCACATCTCCACACTAATAATTATCTAGGTACTTAACGAGTCGGTAATTGTTCGACCTCGTATACAACAGTACGAGTGACATTCTGCCTCGGATGTACCTCAATAATCACTTCAATACCTTCCAATAAGAACAACTCGAATCTTCCCTAAACAAACTAACAATCTCAATGCTCAACAACAAGTTAGTTTTTGTGTTTGTAAGATAACGAAGACTTCTCACTAAGCTTTGATTTCTTCTTGGATTAACTCGGTCTCCTCCATCAAACTTTGAAAGCTTTGTTCCTAGTTTCATAGGGGTTGAGACTAGATTATAACCAATTATGCTCTTCTTTGATAGTTCAGCTAGTCCACCAAAATTCAAGTGACTAAATCAATAATGTCATATCAACATTGTGTCCTCCACGTTAAGTTTCATACACCTTTCTTGAATAATTTTCAACTAAAGCTTATACATTATGTTCTATTCTACTTCAACTTGGAGAATCAACCTTCTGAGTTTGTCTTTCAATTGTATTACTCGGTCTTTCATGAATACCGAGTGGCGGATCTACGGCCCTAAGTCAATAGAGACAATTTACCTTGCAAAAAAAAGATGTGTGAAAAAGCACATAACTAGAGACACATTTATAACAACTATTGGTACCTAAATCTTTTTTGCTTGTTCTGATTTTCCTTGCTCTTGCAGCTTTATATAATGCTCATGAGCTCTCTGTTTCTCTAACTCCTCTCTGCAATCATGTTGAAGAATTTAAAATAAAAGCGAAACAGCCACCACCACCAAAAAATGTGAAGAGTAGAAGCGAAACAACCAAGTAATTTATAAAGTAATGAAAGAGAATAGGAACGAGTAAAGAAGGCTTTTATGGGTTGAGAAAAAAATGTGTTCGAGAAGAAATAAATGGTAAAAAGAAAAACAAAAGCTTACTTTAGTTAGATAAAAAATAATAAAGAAATAGAAACAAATAAAATGTATAATTTTATTCAAGTCAAATGATGTATTTGTACATTTTCAACTACACATAGGTCTATCATAAAGCAACAACCAATGAGTTCAAAATATAAGATTAGGAGGGGCAAAATAAATTTTTTTCATATACTTAGTAATAATTTTAATAAAATCAAGGTTGCACCTATACACTCTCATATATATATATATATATATATATATATATATATATATATATATATATATATATATATATATATATATATATATATATATATATATATATGTCTCTCTCCATCGGTTGTCTCATGTTCAAAATGTTACTTTTGAGGTCAGGAACATAGTATACATCTTATATCGACCCAACTAGGTCATTCATCTGCAAATAGTGGATTTTACCTCAGCCTTTTACCGAAACCTTTGAAGCATCTCTAAACGACACATTATCAACCTCTACCTTCTTTAGTTCTTTAAAGAAATGTTCATCCCCACACATATGATTACTCGTGCCTATGTTTGGATACCATACCAAACCTTCCTAGTTGTAGTCAACATTCTTGCGTAGTCAACATTCTTGCAATTTGCCAAGTTATAGTCGAAATTCTTGTAATTTGTCAAGTTGTAATCCATATTCTTGTAATTTGCCAAGTTGTGATCTGTCATTAACAATATTAGTTCTTCAGTTTCCGTCTCCTCTGCGAGATAGGTCTCTCTCACCTTTTTCTCACTTCAACATTCTTTCGCAAAATGTTTACCTTACCACAGTCGTAACACTTGTCTGAGTAACAATATTTTGCATAGTGATCCTATTTGTCACACTTGAAGCATTCAACATTTGAATGACTCGTCGACCGACCTCCTCTCCAACCACATCTTCTACCATGCCAGTTTTGCTTATTTCCTTCTTCCTTCTCATGACCTCTACCATTTTGACCACCTTGGTCTCGACCATTACATCATCGTCCTCTTTCTCAAGTGTTTTGAGAGTACAGGATTTTCTCACCTGTCTCACTCTGGAGCGTTTAAATTGTTGTCTCCTCCTTCTTTTTCTTCTTCCGCTACTCATAGGTTTCAAGATAATCAATCAGCTCTTTTAACGTTAGCTTGGACAAGTCTTGACGAGTCTTTTGACTGCTCTATTGTACACACTACATTCTCAAAGTCATCTGTTAACGACCACAATATCTTCTTCATAATGTTGTCTTCAGAAAACGTTTTTAATTTTGATTAAGTTGATTCACTAAAGTTTCAACATGCATGACTTATTCGAAAACTTCTTCTGATTCCTTCGTTCTCATGCTCTCCGTTTCGCTACGTAATATTTGTCATCAAATTTGTGTGACTTGATCATTATCCTTGTATGCTCTATAAATGTATTTCATGTTTCTTTTGAGGCTTTAACACTTTCTATCTTCTTAAAAATATATTCATCAACAACTCGAAACAACATATAGGGTTGTGTTTTCTTTCTTATGCTTCTCTCTCAATGTTTTATGGGCAACTGTTGAAAATTTTTTGGTACTTTCTAGTTTTTCAAAACCATCATCGACTATTTCATAAATATTTTGAGATCTCAAAATAACCTTCATATGAAGATTCCAACTCTTATACTTAACTTCTTTTCTCAATCGAAGGCGACACTGTTTATTTGACTAATGATCACTGTCTTCAAATTTTCTCACACTCAAACCTTAGCTGAAAATGATTGATTCTCTCTCCTATGAAATAAAGAATTACATTTCCATATTTGAAGTATGTTAGTTTCACATTTAAAAAACCTAGCATTATCTCATCAATAATAAGTAACGGCAATATCTGCACAATCAATTCAATTAACTTTTAAATTATTCTTTTCTATTTAATTTTATCGAGAAAACATGAATCTTCTATTTGATTTCAACCCAACTGTATGCTGGGTCCTTTCTAACCCCTCGCTCTCTCATGGCCTTCTTCACCTTTCCCACATTCTCCCATTCACCAGCTGCTGCGTAGATATTGGATATGCTAACATATGGAGCAGCATCTCTAAGGATGTTCATATTGAATAGCTGGTCGGCTGCTTTCTTTGCCAACTCTTGATTCTTATGGATCCTGCATGAGTTAAGAATCGATGACCACATTATCTCATCCGGTTCAAATGGCATCTGAGCCATCAATTTCTCAGCCTCGTCAAATCGTCCACCGCGACATAGCATATCAACCATTGATGCATAATGCTCCCTTTTGGGTACAAGTTTATAGACTTGAGTCATGGTGTTGAAGTATTGTAATCCGTCTTCAACTAGACCACAGTGGCTGCAGGCACACAGAACGCTGAGGAAGCTAACAGAACTTGGTTGCAGACCTGAATGAACCATCTGTTCAAATGATCTAAGAGCATGGCCACCGTCTCCGTTTTGGGCATAAGCTGAAATCAGTGCATTCCAGGAGACACAGTTCCTCGCGGGCATCTCTTGAAACATTTGAAGTGCTTCCTTTATGGATCCACATTTTGCATACATGTCAACCAGTGCACTCCCAGAATATACATTTGAAATGCATCCTGATTTTATTACATGCGAATGTAACTGTTTTCCCAGTGTCAGTGAAGCTAGATTTGCGCAGGCTCTTAAGATGCTGGCGTAAGTGGCTGAGTCAGCACCAATTTTGGCTCTTTGCATCTCAACAAATAACTTTAGGCTGTCTTCATGGAGCCCCTTTAGAACATAACCCGATATCAGGGCTGTCCATGGAACTGAACTTTGATGAGCCAGATCAGCAAAAATCCTATTTGCTTCCCCAAATTTGTCACATTTAGCATACATGTCAACCAAAGAATTCCCAACCAGAACTTCTGAAATGGCATCTGTTACAATAGCCTGGGAATGGATTTGCCTACCCATTTTCAGGTTCAAAGCATTTGCAGCAATGCTCAACAAGGTAGCAAATGGGAATTGCCTCCGGTCAAATCTAGTAAACTGTAACTCCCTGAAAAGTTCAAGTGATTCTTCCACTCTTTCATTCCACGCATAACACGTGATGATCACATTGTAAGAGACACCATCCACCACTGGCATCTCATAAAAAAGCATTCTCACTTCAACAACACGGTCATGTTTCGAATAGAAATCAAGCAAAGAATTAGCCGCAAACACATTCCACACAAAATTACACTTCACCATGAAACTGTGAACTTGTTGCCCAAATTCTATATCATCCAAATGTACGCCTGCAGTTAAAATCGCAGCAAAAGTAAATTCCGTGGGTCTGAACCCCAAATTCTGCATTTTGAAAAACAGGTTGATGGCGTCATGATTGAAGCCTTCTTTCGAGTACCCCGTCAACAACGCATTGAAAGTGACATTATCTTTCTCCGGCATATGCTTGAAGAGGTGACAAGCCAAACCAAGGCTACGCGTCTTACAGTAAGAATCAAGCAACGAGTTGCAAACCATGAGGGTGGAATCATACCCCAATTTGACAACATAGGCATGCACTTGTGCAACTTCATTGACACTCTCAAACTCAGTGAACCCAGATAAGAGAGTGGCCAAGGTGATATGATCCGGAACTGTGCCGTGCCAACACATATTAGCAAAGAGACCAAAAGCTTCGCGGAACTTATTGTTCTGAGAGTAGCCACCGATGAGCATTGTCCAGGTAACAACCGAGCGTTCAACCATATTGTCAAACAAGCTCTTAGCAGTGGAAAGGTTGCCAGAGTCTATGTAACCCATGATCATGGTGTTGGTGGAGATGATGTTCTTGCGAGGCATTTCGTCGAACAGTTTGCGTGCTGCACCCAAATCCCCGTGTCGGAGATGAGTTTGCACTTGGAAGTTGAACCGACACGTGTTGGGATCGAAGCCTGTTTTGATGATGGAAGCATCGACCTGAAAGTGTCGTTTTTGAAAATTCAAAGTGCCGTTTTTCCTCGTACATGCTTTGACGTAATTCATGGAAGGGGGTGCAGTCGACTGTTTACAGGAACAGGAGGGGAACGACGGAGATTGATAATGGGATTAATGGTTTTAAGGGACTGAGAGTGGTGGAGATCACGGGGGAGAGCAAGGTATGAGAAAAAAAAAAAAAAAACTTTTTATGAATGATTATTGATTTGTTTGAATGTTCATTTTTATGGGAGTGTACAAGGTAGTTTTTGATTGATTTAGTTTCAGAATTGGTGATTGTCCAAGGTTGAATGTGTAGCTTCTTGTTTGCTATCGAAACTTCAAGGAAGATAACTTGGAAAATTTTAAAAGTTTGAAACTAAATGATGCATGCATCCAGAAATCCAGTAAGGATTAGGAAAGAAATTTATTAGTCAAGCAATCCTACACAGCAGGGCCTAATGCTTCACACAGCAAGAATAACTCAAATTTGAAATTAGGAGACCCTAAATCCTTGGAAATTATGCCTGGAACAAGACAGAAAGAAGGGTTGGCTTATCTTATCTAGATCAACTCTGGCTGATTCATGCTGGCCTGAGCTTAAGTTGACTAAATTGTTTTAAATTGGCTTTGTGCTTCTAATATTATTGGTTGAATTTAGATTAAGGAAGTGAACTTTATGTTTAATAAAACACGTAATTTGATCATTTATGCTAATTTAATTTTTTATAATTTGATATTCATTTATTAAATATTTGCAATAGATCAAAGTTGCTTAATTAGGGACCAAATATGTGATATAGAGACTAAAATTGCACGTCACAAAATTATAGGACCAAAATGAATTTAAACACCATGTAAAATAATGGTATATTATCATTTCTTCAAAAGTTATTATTATTATTTGTTATCTTTTACAAAAACTACCTCGATTTCTTATACAATGCATAGCCATTAATGTCTTTGAACAAAAACAACCAATAACTAGTACTAGTGTCTTAATTAAACAATTTGTGAGGCCTGATAACATTTCTGAAATTGAGGGAAGGAATACATAAGTTTTTATAAATCCTAGTTTCAATGTATTGATTCAATATGCACACTAGGTTTAATCATGACAAAAGGAACAGAGAGAGGCATGGAGAACGGGTGAATCAATAGCAGTGATTTGGCAATCAAAGTTGAACTTGAAAGGTATCAAAGAATTGCAGGATCTTTGTATTTCTTGAAGATAGCTTCAATATCTGCCATGACTTCTGCTGGTAAGGGTCTCTCAGTTGTTGTAAAAGCATCAATGTCTTCTTTTAGCTGGTCCACGGAGGTTGCACCAAAAATTGAACTAGTCATGAATGGACGATCTCTTGCAAATCCAAGTGCAAGCTGAACAGGAGTTAGACCATGCTTCTTGGCCAACTCAAGATACTTAATAGTAACTTCCTGAAATCCAGCCACCAAAATAGGGAGATTCTTCAATATTGTCACCATATTTCATAACATAGTCTAAGGCTCTACTTGAATAAATTATCCTGTAAACGTTTATAGAAGAAAATAAAAAAGATAAAATGAATTAAATTTTTCCTATAAGCTAAAGTAAAGGGATATACTTAACTTTTACAAAAGTTCTCTTCTTTAGTTTTTTCAAAAACTTATGTTCATTAATTGATTTTAACTTACTGCTGCAACTTAGTGTATTTGATCTTTTTCTTTTCTTTTCTTTTTATGTGTTTACAGAGAAGTTTATCCAAATAGGACCTAAACTCCAAATACAAGAACTAGATGGTGTACCCGTGCCGCTGATTTGTTATATCTTTCCATGTAACCCGGAAAGAGGTTAAACCTTCCTCTTTTTGCAGTATCAGAGTTTATATCTATATATTTTCCTGTGAGTGATCCACCTCCAAGTGGGGAATAGGAGAGTAAGCCAATATTGTAATTCTTTGGATGACAGACTTCTACAAGATCAACTGCAAAAAATTAAAGGAACAAAGAATTTAAAGAAGCTTACAAAAACTTTAAGAGTCATATTTTCACTTTGATCCTTAAATCATACGGCAAATTTATGTTGCTAAGGTTCAATTTATCCCTTTCAACTTATACATAAACTAATTTTAGTTAAGTAATAATTTATTTGATTTTCCTTCTTATTTTCTTCTTCTAAAGGTCCTCATAGAGAAAGTTATCCATACAAGTCTTTGGCAAATGTCACAGTCTCACCTTCAAAACGACATCTAACAAGCAAGCTGTAGCTATTTTGGATACTGACAATCTTTGGAAGGCCTTCGACTTTAGCTGCATGGACAAACTCCATCACTCCATAAGAAGTCTCATTTGAAACACCTATGTAGCGTACCTGTGATGCACACAGAAATCTCAAGAAACTGGATCCCAATCACACGCAGAAGAGAATAAACATGACATTATGATCAGAATATTAGAACTTCACATTACGATTGGCACAAATTTATTGGCACAGTAAGCGGATGAGACAGTAAATCCTAGCTTGATTGGACAAGAAGGTTATGGGTTTATGCTTCCTACCGAGAGACATGCAATAGTCTGTTATTATTACAGGTTTGTAATTGGATATGAGATATTGGCCACATAACAGCAAATTAGTCCACAAAAGTGGTATGGCCATACCACCCCTCTCATCCAATCAAAATTTTTTTGAGCGAAAACAATTTATTCTACCATTCCTCCACTGCATTTTGTCCGACAAGAATATCACTATAATTAAGCAAAGAAAGTTAGAACTTACAAGCAAATATCAATAATTTCAGTTGGAATAAATATTTTTAGCAAATAAAAGAAGTGCTAAGATTCTCCAAGCCCAAACCAACAGAAATTATAGAAAACTAGGAAAGCTAAAACATAAAGTGAATTGATAAACATCAGTCACCTTTCCTTCATTGATAACCTCTTGAAAAGCTTGCAACTGCTCAACAAATGGCACACTGGGTCTCCATTTTGAAGGATCATAAGAATACTCCCCAAACAGTGGAACATATCGATCTGGCCTATAATGAAGCAGAACACCGTATATTCAAAAATCAATAGTTCAAAAACTTTTTAGCTTTAAGTTTCAAGATGCAAATAGGAGAATATTTGCAACTTGTTTGTTTAAATGATATATAACGTAAATATACAAACGCATAACACTACTGTCAATATTATAATCAAGGTCATATTCTAGGTCAAGTACATGTGTGGTAAAACCAGTACAAGCCTGACCCTATATCACTACTAACAAATCCTAAAACAGAAAGAATCATAATATTTTAACAATGCAAACTATACACAAGTTTCCCATGGATTTACACGAGTTCAAATTACATAACCAATGAAGTAACAAAAAGATAAGTGAGACACTGATGTTTACATTGTGTAAACTCACCAGTGAATTTGCAGCAAATCAATATAGTCAGTGCCAAGGCGCTTAAGGCTTTTCTCTACACTTTCTCTGATATTTACAGCATCAACCCGCAAGACATTTGCATTCTCACGCATGTAACTCGACCTCTCAGAATAACCACATACTTTTGTAGCCAAAATAATCTATCCACAAAGATGTTACACAAAATGGTTTCAAACTGTAAACAAAGAGTGACTCCGCAAAAACCATCCAAAACGGTTGAAAATCAATTCTCAGGGTCAACCCATCGTCATATATGGCAAAACGAGCCAAATTAAAAATAAATTCAGTGAGCAATGTTTCTCAATGCAAAAACAACTTACCAAAAGCTCCATAGACTTACAAACAAGACACTCTAACGCTAGTAGAACTATTTCACTTTGAAAGTAACCATGAAATATTACTCTTAACTAATTCTGTCTCCAAAGCACATAGAAAAGCAGCATAGACACAGTGGACAAATGAACACTCAATACCTTGTCACGAGGTTGAGACTTGAGCCAACTACCAATATAGAGATCAGTTCTTCCTTGTGTCTCTTTCTTTATTGGAATTGGGTACTGCCATCAAAAACCAATATTTCATTACTAATGCAATCATAATGATTGGGTTATGCTAGGAACATGATAAAGGACCAATAAGAAGGCTTGAGGATAGAATAGGAATTATGTATGTTTTGTATTGGGCCTTTGTATTTGTTTATTAGAAACTCTTTTTGAAAATTAATTACTATTAGACTAATTAAATAACTTATTGGATGAGCCTAAATAGTTTAATGGATCTAACAGTCTTATGTCTATAGTATACATAGATTTTTGTTAACTTTTTGTAATAATTTAGACTCATTTGAAATATAAGCTTAGCTTATGCTCTGGGAGAGAAAGATTCTCTAAGTTCTTGTGGAGAATATTTACTTTTATTTTTAAATTGCTAATTCAAAGTGATAAATCTTTCTCAACTTATCAACTAATTTTGATTGTAGTGTCTTATTCATCTTCTTGTCCCCTTCGGCATCTTCTATTTTTGTTTATGATCGGTAGAATATTTCGGAAACGACCATATTAGGTATTCATCACATTATTATGAAATTAAGTGAATCTTGCATGATATCAAAACATCATATCATATTTGAAAAATAGTAAATTAACTAACCATAAAGGGAAAGAACATGAGAGATGGGAAGAGTAAATCCTGGTCAATATTATTTTTATCTTAATCAATCATTTGATTATATCGTTATTGATTATATCGTTGAGATTCAGTCATCTCACGCTCTTACCTGGTATGTGTATATTATATTACACTCTTCCTTGTATGGTTCCAAAATTTAAAAATTACTTAAGTAGTCCTAAAATTTCATGTTAAGTAATTCTTCAAATAAAAACTCCCTGAAATTTGTTGCCACGCCCCTTTAGTTGTTGTGATCTCTAGCTTGCCTTAATTGTGACATCTTTGGATTTTTCCTAATTCTAACATCAATTAGATATGTGACATAATTAGAGTTTATAAAGCTTGGATAGTACTTATTTTACAAGCTAATTTTGTTGAGTAGGTTGAGAAGCCAAATTCTAAGAAAAATTATCTCTAAAATGCATCAATTTAAGGACTAAAGTAGTGAAAATTCACTTGGGCAGTTTGGCTTCGTTTCTAACCTTTCCTCTCCTGCACACAGCAATCGTATCTTTTACAGTAATCGATTCATTTAAGGGGGAAATTAATTAAATGGAAAGAGTTACTGTTAGAATAATAAGAAAATCCAAACATTTCAGCAATCCAGGGAAGTCTATAAAGTTGGATTCCCTAATTTTGAGTTATATTTGAACTAGTTTCCAAGGCTTGATTGATTATGGGTTCGGGCTAACTTTAATCTTTCTATTTAACCAAGTTCTTATATAAATATAGATAAGGTTCCTAACCAGACAAAGTCTATTTTTTTATATCTGAACACACATTGTAAATGCAGATAAAAGATTTGAAGAAGAAAACTACAGCCTCAGCAGTATCGATAGCGTTAATGCCCCGGTCAAACGCGTAATTAAGAATGTCGTGAGCTTCTTTCTCCGTGTTTTGCTCCCCAAAGGTCATCTGAAATCAACAACGTCGTACCAACCAAAATGAAAGCGAACGAGTGGAACAAACAAACAAATAACAAGGTCGTTTTTTTTTAATGAATTAAAAAAAGATGACTTACAGTACCAATAGTGATTTCGCTGATGTTGAGATCGGAGTCTCCAAGGTTCCTGTACTGCAACGGCGCGTTGTTGAGGGCACAGAACAGAGGCCAATCGCTTGCACTGCTCTTCCTCTTAGTGTTTCTTGGAAGGGTGAAAGAGTGAATGAGAGGCAATGGTGGTTTGAGAGGGTGAAAAAAAGAATGGTTTTCACGAGAAAATGAAGAAAAAGAAGAAGAAACAGTGAACCAACACACACAGGCCATGTTTCAGCTTATCCTTACAAAGACTCACACTAAAATTAAGGCACTGTTCCAGAACCAGAACATAAACCACACCTGAAAGCTATCTTCATTTATACTCTTTTTTTTTATTTGAAAACATTTATTTATTTTTACTATTTAAAAAACAGTAATACCATTTATATAAAAAAAAAATGAAAGGAAAAGAAGAAGAAATGAAGATAAGGAATGATTTTTCTTCTCTCTCATTATTATTGGATAAGATTCTAATTTTTCCATAACTTTTATTCTATTCAAAGAAATTGACCTTATAATAAGTGAAATACAGGATTTTCATTATTTATTTTTTTATTCATTATAATAAGTGATCTACTTATTATTAATAAAAAATTTAAATTAAGCCTGTTAATTTTAAAATGCAAGCATGCAAATCCAGATTTAATCAAGTTTTTTAATTTAAAAAAAAATATATATATATATATATATATATATATATATATATATATAACAATGTAACAGTTGAAATTGAGGTTTTTAGTTTTATAAATTTTAACTATGTGTTGGTTACAAGTTATATTATGCATAAATTTAAATTATCAACATCATGTTAATGATTTTATTACTAATTATTTTTTCTAACTGAGGAACTTTATTTTAATAATAATGTGACGAAATTGAGTGATACAAAATATATATATATATATATATATATATATATATATATATATATATATATCTTATCATTGTTTTTTATATTTTAATAAATAATGAGTTATTACGTTAAACAAATAAATAATAAAGTCTTTTAATTATTTTTCGAGTAGGTGAATTTCTCATCCTCTTTAAATAAGTGAGACAAAAAATTATATAATGAATAATTTTCTTAAGAGTGTTACTTAATGAAAAATACTAATTATGTTTTAAGTAAAGTTTTTTAGATTATAAACAGAAACATATTTTTTTTTATTTCACTCTAAAACCCAAATTCTCTCTCTTCTTTATAGAAGTTTGAAAAAACAAAAAAAATCTTCTCTGATTCTACTAAGCTGAGAGTAAATTTAGTTGAATAGGATAAAACTCTCTTGTAGGTAAGTAATGTTTTTCCTCTTTGGAACTTTAAGTTCTCTTCTATATTGTCTTTGATTGAATGTGAATTTTGAGGCAAAAAATGTGGGATTTGGGAATTTTAATAAAAATATGTTTGACTAAGATGCTTAGGGTTTAGGAGGAAATGTTTGGTCATAAGCACTTGTAAGTGTATTTGTAGTTGTTAGATTTTTTGGGGTTAAAAATATGTTTATTATAAGTTAATTTTAATTTATAAAAAAATATTTTAATTATATTTTCTTAAAAAAAAAAAAGCTTAAATAGAAGCTTGTACAAAGTTCAAACATATCCTAGAGACATAGATTGACAGGCACAAAGTGGCTGTTTTCCACCTATTGAAAATGAAGTTACAAAAGCGATTCTACAAATAAGCAATTACTAATGTAGTGTTGAAGTGGTCATCATGTCTATTATTGTGATCTTTATTACACCATTATACCACCTACATAATGTAATTTGTTACCAATTTCATTGAATAATAATTCTTTTACAAATAAATGAATTAATCTTATCAAGAAAAAAAATATTCTAAAAATGTTTTTTTAAAACTTTTATCATCAATCAACATAATTTTCTTAAAAGGCTTTAAAAAATTAAACATTTTTTTTATAAATATAAATGAATAAATTAATTTATAAAATCTCTTTTGAATTTTTTTCTAAATTCTTGTTTTTATCTTATCCATAAGCTAAATTTAATCAGTAAAGTGATTTAAGCAAAATTGTTTTAAATATCATTAAAATAAACTGAAACATATATATATGATCTAATTGTCAAACGCTATTTGTTATAGAAACATTATAGTTAGCTGGCGACAGCTAGAAGCACTTATTCCTTGATTTCGGATCATAAATAGTTGAACGTACTTTGTTCTTAGTAAGTGGAGTTAAGCTGAGAACTTGGTTTAACATAATATAATTTATAGAATGATTTAATAAAAATAAAATAAAATTATTATTATAATATTAAAAGAAAATTATTTAGAAGAATTATATGGATTGGGCTTTAATCTATTACATAATATAATAATTTATAGAATGATTTAATAAAAATAAAATAAAACTATTATTATAATATTAAAAGAGAATTATTTAGAAAAATTATATGGATTTAGCTTTAATCTATTACATAAAATTATTAGATAATAGCATATAATTTATTTATTATTTTGATTAAATAAATTAAATTATTGTTTTTTTATTTTTTAAATGGTTCAAAATTATTCTTAGAACATTTTGGATTTGAAACTCAGTGATTTAGGTTATCATTCTCATCGTTGCATCCAATTCGCAAAAGTTGTGAATCATGGAAACGAAAGGTAGCAATGTTGAGTCTCATATTCATAGAAGAATGATCAAAGTGTATCTTTCAAAATAAATGTATATGGATTGAAAATGCAAATACAGATGCATTTCTTGGGATGCACTTCATTTTATGAAAAAAGAAAAACAGTTATTGATTAGTAAAAGAATATAATGATGTTAACGTGAAAAGAAGCTAGGTATAGAGTTCTGATACCATTGAATCTGAAGGTGCAGATGAAATGACTTGTTCCCTTTTTAAGTGTTAAGCGCAGAATCCATCAAGTTCCACAATTAGGGCATTAGTTTAATGAAGCCTTTGCGGTCAATGATTTCGTGGTTGAAAGGAAATGATTATGATCTGCAACGGAGATATCTGGGGATTAGCACCTTGTTGCAATGCAACAATGCAACATGCATGAGGGTTGATTTGGCTTTTCATTTTTTCTGCAAACCCTACTTATTATTACTACTACTACAGTGCATGTGTGTTCAGGGTCTGGTTGATGATGATCCCATTCATGAAGTAAAGTTAGTCATATCAGACAGAGAAGGGTAAAGTTGTCATTTCAGAAAAGGTGTTGTCAATCAACCTAAAAGGAAGATGCAACAAAATCATGTTATTCCCTCATTTATTTTTCCTCATATTTTTTTCACCCCCCCATGACTTTATGCTGTCTGCATCAGTCATCTTTCACTGTCATTATCAACCTATTTTCATTTCCACAAAAGCCCTAAAGGCCAAAACACACCACCCCCTTCTTTCTCATTTACACCCTCCCTTTTCTCCATTTGCCTCCCTCTCCCAACACCCTCTGTGCAACCCCCTTCCTTCCCTTTTTACAGAAACAGAAATCCCATTTCCTCACAAAATTTTTCACAAAACCATACAAGTTTCTAACACTGAGACACAGTAGAGTAATTTTTAAGTGTGTCAATAAGAACTTGATTTTCTAAACAAACTTGTGAATAAGATATCTAGAATTTGTTTTGATCACTTCTGTGTTTTTAGAAATTTATCTCTTGATGATTTCTGATGGTAAAAACTTTTTTTTTTTTTTAAGAAAGAGAAAGAACTAAGCTATTAGAATATTACAATATTCTAGGATTTCACAAAAACCAAAGGAAATTCAACCTAGCCCCATACCAAAACATGTTATAGTCTAATCACTATTCTTTTACCCCATTCTCTCACCTATAACATTATTCCGACCCTTCCCTTCTTTCCTCACACACTTCCTCATACTATCCTCTCCTCCTTCTTCTTCTTCTTCTTCTTCTTCTTCAAATCTGATCTGATCAAGTTTTTATTTTCATCTTCTTCTTCAGCCATGTCAACCAGTGAACAGGGTCCGATCTAGATCAGAATTCAGAAACCAGCCATGAACTCACTCCAGGATTTTGAATCCTCTTCAAGCAAAGAAATGATTAACACAAGCCTCAACAACCCTATCACAAACCTAACCCCCTCTTCAAACTTGTCCTCAGCATCATCATTATCCACTACAGCAACAACAACATCATCATCACCACCTTCCACCCCGAGCCGCTATGAGAACCAAAAGCGGAGAGACTGGAACACCTTCGGGCAGTACCTCAGAAACCACAGGCCCCCACTTTCCCTCTCTCGCTGCAGTGGTGCCCATGTTCTCGAGTTCCTCAGGTACCTTGACCAGTTCGGGAAAACCAAGGTTCACACGCACCTTTGTCCCTTCTTTGGGCATCCAAACCCTCCTGCACCGTGTCCCTGTCCTCTGCGCCAAGCCTGGGGGAGCCTCGACGCCCTCATAGGGCGTCTCAGAGCTGCTTTCGAAGAGAATGATGGAAAACCTGAGGCCAACCCTTTTGGTGCTCGTGCTGTGAGGCTCTACCTTCGTGAAGTTCGTGACTCTCAGGCCAAAGCTAGAGGCATCAGCTACGAGAAAAAGAAGCGCAAGCGTCCCCCTCAACCACCTTCATCAAATGCCACCACTCAGTAGAGAAGTATATATGCATATAAATATAGTAAGGACTCCACTATAACAAACTCCACAAACTATAATCACCAGCGTTTATTATTATGATATAGTCTACGAATTCAGGTCCGCCACATGTTCATGGTCAGCTAATTTCTACATACGAGGTTAAGTTTTAAAAAATAAAATAAAATAAAAATAAACTAGAAGAATTGACAAAAATTGGTGTGTTTTACCAACTAGTTAGAAAGAATTAATAAAACTTCACTGTATGTTACATAAAGATTGATCAAAACTCTATTAGTCCTAAAACATTTAATATTTTCTTGACAAAGTCCATGATATATATCACATATATTACTACGTAGGCAGATGAATTAAGTCACAGCACATGTTATATTATAGTTTATATGATATTTATACGATTTAGGTTTTAACTGTCTGCCACTGCAATTGTATCTGCACCGTTGAGATTTTCTTTAGTCTCAGCTACCATTTTTGGTCTGTACACTGCATCGCAGATGCAACATGATTGTATTTGCCTGTGATTTCTTCAAATATAAAAAACTGCAAAGAAATCAAAACCTTATCAACACAAGTTAAATATTTTCGTATGACATGTAGTTAGAAAGATTGCCTTTGGATTTGAGTTTGACTACCTATCTATGCATGTTGTTTAAACGCTTGATTTATCTTGCTATCTATTACATTGCTTACCCTAAAGAATATATGCATACATGTTGTTTCCATTTTTTTTTCCTTTGTTATGTATTTCTTATTATGCAGAAGTTGTGATTTGACATGAGGTTATTGAAGGTTTTAAACTGCGGTAGAGGCTTTCCTTAATGTTATTATTGGAACAAAAATTACAGGCAAGTGTAATTTACGTGGCTGGGGAAATGTTCAGAGCTTTGATATTGCAATAATAACTGTTGCAGTTGTGATGCTTGATTTGAAACCTGCAATCTAAGACTTGCCCTGCGAAACTGGACTCAAAAAAAAAAAAAAAAAAGAAAGGAAAACACTGTGCGTTGGAAACTGCAGTGTTACTGGTAGAAGGGCTGGCTCGATCGGTGTAAAGAAGTGAGAGGGGTTATTGTGTGACCTATTCACTGTCCAATTTGTAATAAATATGTTATGTACTTGAAGGTGGGTCATTTATGACGAGTAATAGATTTGCAGATCATGTTCCATGTTTTCTTTGGATGCAGTAAAATGCTATTACTTTGTTTTCCTTTTCCCCCCCATATGAATTGCTAGCACTATTGAGTATTTGGCAACTATCACACACACACTTGATCATCCACCGGTTAATTTCTAGCATTACTATTTACTGTGTAGTATTACAAGTATGTATTTACATTTTTTTTTCTATGTTTTCGTGCTTTTGAGTCTTCTGATACCAGGCGGGTGGAGGGGGCCCCCGTCGAGAGTCGAGTTAGGGATTTCGTGCGGTGTTCTTTCATAAATATGTGAACTGTAGAAAGTGAGACTGAACAATGCTTGAAACTGTTATGCAATTGGTAGCATCACAAGCTTAGTGATTGTTTCTTCGGAGTTTGTGCATCTCATGAAACACTTTCCCTCTCTCGCTCTCTCGCTCTTTGGTGTCTCTGATCACTTTCTCCTACTTCAGCGGGAGTGAAAGAATCAGTGAAGTTTTCTCCCAGTAGGCTATTATTTATATATCCACCCCCCTATCAGTGTTTCAAAATCATGGTCTTAATCTATGTTAGATAAGAAATGTATCAGTGTAAAACATGCATGTGAAGTTATGCTCCAGTATCTGCTATCAAGTTTCTAGAGATTATAATCACTTGCAAAAATGGTTGAAAGATAGTTGTACTATGATTGGAAAAAGCAAAAGTAGGGGAATGAATGGTTATAAAAATTGAGAAAATGAAACACAAATTCAGTTTTCAAAATGTCAATTATGTATTTTTGGTGTATTATTATTTTTTATCTATATTCACAATCCTGTTGAATTTGAGTATTTTTACTCTTTTATGGAGTGGAAATAAAAGAAATAAAATGCTTTTAATAAATAATAAATCTAAAATAAACCTCACTGAATTTAGTATAATTTTAGTATTAAATTAAACTATTAATTCCAATGAACTCTAATAAACTCACGTTACTTTGTAGTGGATAAGGATGCTTTGAAAGTGGTCAAAACATGAAGATTGAAAATTATTAACTGAGAGATATATACCTTCGATAAAGACATACACATAATTTAAGAGATTGTGATTCAACTGGGATTTGGAATCAGCACTAAATGCAGATCAATCCGTACAGATTTTCTATGTTAACTTGTCGAGATGTTTGATTAAGAAAAGGATAAAGGTTTGTAAATTAATTAAATTTGCTTTGTAGTGGGTTTACTGTGAGAAATCATATGATATAGGGCATGGACAATATAAAACTTTTACACTATCTACCAATCAAACTTATAATTAATGTGATTTTTAAATCACTTAATGTAAAATTTAACAAACATATAATACATAATGTTTGTTAAATAAAATTCTCCATAAATATTTTCAAAAAATTGATACAAAAATATTAAAATAAACTTATGTTATGTATGAAATAAATAAAAAATAAAAAAACACTTTTGAATTAATTTTTTTAAATTATTTTTATAACTGTATTTATGAAAAGTATTATCTAAATGCACCATAGTGTTGAACAGTTTTACCTCGTCACACTAATTACTTTTAAGTGCGTATTTATTTTTTAAAAAGTTGCAAAAATAATCACAAGAATATTAAAAATAAAATTACAATTTTAAAAAATTAGTAAAAAGTAGGTAAAGTAAAAAATTTAGAAGAAATACAAAAGTAACTGCTATAAAATTAGATTTATAGTGTTTTTTGTTTAAAAAAAACACTTTGACTCTCCTATTGCCTTCAAATTTTTGTGCCTATACTAAAATAGATGATTAAAATTTTAAATTATTTAAATTTTTAAAAAATAGAATCAAAATGACTTGTTAGTGGTGGCTCATCATAATTGAGCCTGAAATTTACAGTAAGTATAGTTTCCGGAATTAAAAAATATGGGTATTTATTTCAAAAAATAGAGTAATATATGTTGAAAAAATGGTGTATAAGTAAAATGCAGGGGCTTATTTAGCAATTTCTGCGTCTATGAAATATGGGCCTAGCCCACACCTAATCCTGCAACCCAATGTTTTAAATTCCAAAACTTCTTCTTTAGGGTTCCATCGTTCGTTCGTTCTTCGTCGCCATAGCACCCACTCCTTGGTTCCCCATCGCCACGCACAGTGCCAAACAATGGTGAGTCTCATTTCACATCTTCTTCCTTCATCATATTTCATTCTATTTCGATTTTGATGATGATGTTTTATTTGACTTGATTTGACCTCACAGGCTCCGAAAAGAGGTGCGAAAGCTCCAGTAGTAGCAGCGAAGAAGAAGCCCGTTAGTATTACCACCTTTTATCAACAATGATAATATCAATAATAATGATGAAAATGAGGATTTCTTTTTAATCTAGAGTTTTGAATGTTAGTGGCTCGATTAAAAACGTGACTTTGTTTTGATTGGTGTAGGAGAAAGTGACGAACCCGTTGTTCGAGAAGCGTCCGAAGCAGTTCGGGATCGGAGGGGCATTGCCTCCGAAGCGGGACCTGACACGGTTTGTGAAGTGGCCGAAGACTGTTCAAATCCAACGCAAGAAGCGCATCCTCAAGCAGAGGCTCAAGGTCCCTCCCGCACTCAACCAGTTCACCAAAACCCTCGACAAAAATCTCGGTATCGTAAACTTTTCCACAATACATGTACATGAATTGAGTATTTTTCGTATTTTGTCAGAGTTTGACCGAAAATATTAGGAGCATGCCTGGGGAAAAGACTCTTTTGTGATTTCAGTTGTTTTTGTGATTAAAAGGTTTATGCTTGGACTTAGGTCTAATTTGTAAAGAGTATTTGTTTCGTTAAAATAATTTAATTTTACGAATTTGTAAATTTGTTGCAATGGTCATTTTCCAAAAAGCTTTTCAGCATATGTTACTTCTGAATGGGCAAAGTCACTTTCAGCGAACTTACCCGAAGAGAGACTGGAACATTTTTTTATATATTTAGGGGCAAAAAAAATTTCATCCAAGTGTGAAACATAGTTCTGATTATTGACAATCTGGTTTTGTGGAACCAGCAACAAACCTATTCAAGATGCTGCTGAAGTACAGGCCAGAAGACAAAGCAGAGAAGAAGGAGCGTTTGTTGAAGAGGGCTCAGGCTGAGGCTGATGGCAAAAGTGTTGAAGCCAAGAAACCTATTGTTGTCAAATATGGTCTCAACCACGTTACCTACCTTATTGAGCAGGTCTTTTTTATCCCTATTGTTGTTGCTGTTTTGGTTGTCATTGTTGTTAATTGTAGTGCTAAGGTTTTACATTACGATGTAGCAGCCACAATCCTCAACATTCTGGTCATTTGTCAACGTTAGACTGAAATTGAGGTTGTGGAGAACTGCCAAAGATCCAGTTGTAGACCATTTTATTTAAAAGAAGTGGTATAATGATGCAATTTGCCTGCGAAATAAGTTAGTTGTGTTGTTTCTGTTTTGAAAGTTTCTGATTATATGAATCTTTTCTAAATTGTTGACTTCCCTAGCATTTGGTGAATAATTCCATGCTGGAATTTGGTTTTAAATGGGGTCCAATGCGTTAGAAGTGATGATGTCATTGTTGCTGTAATTGTGAAACTTTGTATGTTTGGATATTATTTAATATGGAATGAAGTAGAATATAATTGAGTGGAACAAAGTTACTGTTCCATTCTTTGATATTTGTTTGATCGAATGGAAAACGGAGTGGTTTATAGTCGCATACCCTTTTGTGGAGAAAAAAAGAGGGCTGTTGGAGGGAATGAAATATCATGCTTTACATATTGTTTTAAACAATTCAAATATCTGAACCCAATAACATAATGTTTTGTTATTTTGTTAATTGATGTATGAGTAACAATGGATCTTGTTTATTTTTTCAGAATAAGGCGCAACTTGTGGTGATTGCTCATGATGTGGACCCAATCGAGCTTGTGGTCTGGCTTCCAGCACTCTGCAGGAAGATGGAAATTCCATACTGCATTGTCAAGGGCAAAGCACGCCTGGGATCGGTAATTACATTGATTTACCTAGACATATTTTCATAACTGAAAACTGGAATTACTGGTTGGTGTTTGGTTTTTGAAACATTGCCGCAGATGATCTTGGAAAATTCATGTGTATGAATCTTTGATATATTATTTATTAATTTTATTAATGTGAACTTTTGACAGATTGTCCACAAGAAAACTGCTTCAGTTTTGTGCTTGACAACTGTCAAGAATGAAGATAAAATGGAGTTCAGTAGAATCTTAGAAGCTATTAAGGTGATCTAGTTTTGAATTTTATTTGTTTTAGCTAAGTACTATTTTTATTGATGAAATTCACGGAATATACTTGTTTTCTGATCATTATTTTTCTCTTCAGGCTAACTTCAATGACAAGTTTGATGAGTACAGAAAGAAGTGGGGTGGTGGAATCATGGGTTCCAAATCCCAAGCCAAGACTAGGGCTAAGGAGAAACTCCTTGCCAAAGAAGCAGCCCAAAGAATGTCTTAGATTCAGTTGTTTTTATAAGTTTGAGGTTGTCATTTTTCTATATTTTATATGGGAGCATATACAAATTAATGTGAGGTTTCACTCCATTTTGGTAGCTCGTAATCCAGAAAGACCGATTTCGATAGTTGATATTTGTTTTTCAGTAGTTATTTTAGACTTAACAATGGAATGTTTTCCTTTTTCGGTTCGGTAGCTACTATTTGTCTCATGATTTTGCAGCAATTAGTGGTGGTTTCGCCTTTTTCTGGATTGTTTTCCTATAACTGTTAAATAACTGTAGTCGCTAAGAAGTGTATTTTTGTTTGAAGTGTCTTTTATTATATTTTGTTGATAACTTGGGAATCCTATTCTCTAGAGTCTCATTTTTAGAATATTTTGCTGAGAGATTCATTTACTCTAGAATTAAGGAGAGTAAATTATAGAATTTTTTTTCTTAATTTTTATATATTTTTAATTTAAAGATCTTATATATTTTTATTTTTTATTTTTAAATTACAATAAAATTAACTGCGAAAATAAAAAATTCATTCTCTTTTTGATGAACTACTAATCCAAATAAATAAAATGATTATTCTAAGGCAACAAGATATTTGGCTAGGAATTAGTTAGAATTGGATGTTGATAATAGGGGATTAGAAAATGTTTTATGTTTTTAGAGTTTGGTGCATGTTTGGTTTGTAGTTGGGGTTATAATTTCTTAAAATGATCTCTTTGTTGCAATTAAGTGAACATTTAAAATTATAAAAATAGATTTATAAATTTTAATGTAAAATTATATATTCTAACGTATAAGTTAGAAATGAAAGATTTTTTCGGCATCTAAATGATTTCACTTATATTCTGAATTTTTTTATTAGACAATAATGTTTTTATATTTTGTTGGTGTATTTTAAGATAAAAACAAGAAAGAGCATACAGACAGAAGTTTCACAGTATATTTTACTTTTACACAAATGTAGCAATTTTTTATTGCAGTTTTACTTTTTTATCCTTGGAATGTTTTATGTCATTTTTGGACTCCATTGTCAATGCAGGGATTGAAAAATGTATAAATATCATGCTATTGCCGTAAATAACGGGGATGTACCATTTGTTCAAGGTGTAACTTTAATTTTAATAGTTCAAGTTTTACTATTTTATTTGATTTTTATATATTACTTTATAAATAATTATATTCAAATTTTAAATGGTCTAATATAAAATTAGAATATAAAAATATGATTTTTTTTTCAAAATTTGAAATTATCATAATTTGAATGCTTTTAATTATAAAAAATGTTAATATTACTTTTTTATTATCTAAAATTTAAATGTTTAAAATTTTAAATTATTTATTTTTATGTTTTTAGAAATCTTGAGACAAAAAAGTTAAGTCTTTAATATATTTACAAGCAATTATGAATTTAATTATACAACCATTTTAAGTCTTGTTTGATAATAACTTGTCGATATTAAAAAGAAAAACTTGTGGATAAGGTGCATCAACCTTAAAACTATGTTAGAAAAACTTTACTTTACTTTACTATTTTCAAATCAACAGAGCTGAGTTTATTAGTTTTATATTCTAAAAAATAATATTAAACGATGTAAGTATACAAATTTGACCCGTGATATGAATTATCTTTATCCATATTTACAATTAATATCGCTTCATTATATCACTTGCTAATACCAAATATACAATTCATTATACATATTAAAAAGTGTTACTAATTATAATGTAGTGGGACTTGAAAATTTTACATCAGACTCTTGCAATGATATACACTATACAAGTAAATTACATATTCTTACCAAATTATATTCTCATTTTCTTACTATTCTACATCATTACCTAGAATATTTAATGATCAATTAAAGATTATAGTCTATAATCAGGGTTGATTTATTTTGTTAGTAAATAAGTATAATATTCCATTCCAAGCAGAAAATGCCTGTATAAATATTACACATTAGAGTGACAAACACTAACCTTCCATCACCAAGACAAAGTCTGTATGTTTTGATTATTAAGTAGCTTACCTTATACCCTAATGAAGGGCAAAATAATGAATAGCCAATAGAAGCATAACAATGCCTATGGCATAATAATAACTTGCATCATTATCACAAAAATGAGAATAAAATAAGGAAATTGATAAATATTATCTAATAATGCTACAAAATGCAATTGTTGTTTACTGCTTCCAGCACTGGGGCATGCATGCTTCGGATCCCTTGTAGCAGCAGAGAATAATATATAAGAAAGTGGTAATGATAAAAAGCCATTTATGGTTGTGTGGCTGTCTTGTTATTCTGTATTCCTAAAACTTTCAGAGGTGAGCCAAAATTTCTTCTGGACAGCAAAAATGACTTCATTGGCATCTTGGTCAGAGTCAGAACCTGCATCTGCAGTTCCAACTGCTTCCCAGTGCATTGCTGTTAGGTACTTCTTCACAAAATCAATCACATGTTGCTTATCCCTAATGATGATGAAACCAGTAGGTCTCAACAGACGGTCCATCTCAATCAGTAGATCCACTGGACTGCACCCTCTCTTTTCAATGTCAGAAAACACACTCCATGCATGAAGTAAATCATAAGTCCGGGGGTACGTTGAATATGCTTCACACCTGTTATAAGATATTCTTCACTCTCAGTATATTACTTTTGTCAATCACATTCATTCTCAGATTTTGATTCTGAACAATGCAAGGAGGAAGGAGCTACTAATAAAAAGATAACAATTGAATGAAGGATACACCACAGGTTAAAGAGAATGGAGTAACGAATCTCAGTGGCTTAATTAGTGAAATAAAAAAGTTCTCTCACAATCAGCTAAGTCAATTAAGTTTAGATGGGTCTTGAAATCAGATATATCTTCAAATGAGACTTAAAAGGTGATGTGAGTCAAATGCATTGAAAGATATCAAAGATGCAATAATAAATTTATGCTTTAGGAGAACCAGTTGTAATACCAGTCATGTATAGACCCTATGAGGCCTCTGTCATATATAAGCTTAAGCGTGTTTGGTCCATCACGAGGTACAACATTCATCACCCAAACATCCTTGCCTCTAAGAGCAGCTGCAAATGAACCCATGTTTGCTTTCATGTCCATCACATTCCTGACCGTGTTTGGTGACATTTTAGGGCCCACCAGATTCCAGTAATTCTCAACTCTTCCTTGCCATAAATCCTGTACAAAAAGAAAAAAAGTTAAGACTATAGCCTATTTATCTAATTGTATCTTTGTTAGTTCAAAACTTTATATGCTGTTTACAAGAACAATAACCTAATTATAAGGAGCCAGAGAATAAATTGCAAATTCCAATTACCGTATCCTTTACAAACATTTCATTTGAAAAGCCAAAGTCAGCTAATCTAGGAGGAGGAGTGGTCAGTCTTGCAGGCCATGGAGCTAATCCGCTACCCTGGACTCTGTTGTCATCTGATAAAATCAACAAAAGTTTCATCAGTTGGAGTCTTTTACCTCATTTAGTATCAGCTCAAAACAATTCATGTACAATAATAACAAGATTGACTTTTGAGTACTTCATGTGAAGCCAAGATGGATATGTTGACCTAAAGTACACATATTTCTTCTTCAATACAGAAGGGTGGATTTATCACTGCTTGTCTAATTTACTTGAATTCAATAAATGGCTATTACATTGCCATGATATCGTAGTTTCTTATTTTGTCATTCTCTAACAATAATCAGCCTTGTAATTCAATGTATTCACTCTCCCTTCCTCTCTTTTCATAACATTCATGTGCCAATCAAATCGCCTTTTGGAACTTGAACACAGAATACTCCTCAATATAATTAGAGGAGATGAAGATGACACAACTAACCTAAATGGTCATCAAGTGTTAACAATTTATTATCAGTTCTCAAAATTTAATATTACCCTTCCAAGTGGAAGCTCATTAACAGGGACATTTCATTCATTTAGGAGATCAACTAAAATAGCAATAAAAGAAAGCAAACTCAGTTGTAGTATGGCTCATGATACCGTAGAAATAAATATACAATTTGAAGATACACTAAAAAGAAACGAAGCAACAATATATTGCCAGTAAAATGGAAAAAATTATAATTTGTATACAGGGCATAGAAATAAAGTAAAAAAATCATCATATATTCCAAATAGCACATGAGAAAAAGGTACTCACGTTCAGAGTATGGTGTGATACAGGCTTCCATATTCACTCCCCAAACTGCATCTGGGTCCTCATCAGACTGGCAAAGAGGAGGGCGAGTGCCGGGTTCTCTCTCCATATAACATTCATTTGTCAAAGGTTTTTGCCAGATGACAGTTTGGTCCCTCTTTGCAGCAATAGTCCAACACATACGTCCCACAAGGGCACTCATTTCTCTCCATATCCTTCTATCCTCTTCATCCTGAGCATATGCTTCTGGAGATGAGTATGCAAAGTAACCTCCCGGCCTAAGCAACCGGTCTAGTTCAAGGAGTAGTATTCCATCCCTTTGAAGCCAATCAATCCGGCAACGAGAACAGTGTGCAAGTTCAAAAGATCTGCTAGGGTAAGGGAGTCTCTTAGTACCCAAGACACCAAGATATGCAGGAATTCCTCTCTCTAGAGCAAACTGAATTTGATTTTGATGCACATCATTGGGTGCCAAGGACATTGCAATGATATCAGATGAAAGAAGATAAGCTCCAAAACTCGCAACACCACACCCAACGTCAAGAACTGTCCGCAGTCTTCCTTCATTATTAAGATTATTTTTTGAAAAATTGAGCATCTGTCAATACAAACTCACTGTGAGATCCATAAAGTGAATTTTAATAATCAGAATGTACCAAACTTACATTTGCAATTGAGGCAATGTACTTGTCAGCTCCATAGTGAAAATGTGTCCCTCCTCCAGGAAACGATATTTTTTCACCTTTTACAGTCATCCAGTTCTGGTCAGACTTCTCATGTGCAAGATGAGTGTGAGGTATGTTTGCTTTCCACACCTCATCTCTGCTCTGTGGCCACTTTATAGG